TGAAGGGAGGGGGGGGGGGGGGAGGGGGTTATGGACCGTCCGGTCTATGTTTCCCTCGCGAGGCCAGATCAGACACTAGCCCATACTAGAATGGGAAGCATGATTCTGCGCTACCTGGCTGAGGACGTCGTAACACGTCGCCGTACATTGCTGTACATCGTACAGTTGACAAAGATGGTGTCGAGATGGCCAGATGAGGCGTGGAACGTTGCCCGACGGATTTATACCCTGGATGTGAACAAGCCGAGCCAAGCAAGCCATCGACCCGCCGTCTCACAAGCTAGACCCGCCGAACTAGATGGGGCGGTGGTGACCCATCTCCAGCCGGGCGGATGTCGAGCTACTCTTACATGTAATACACCAAGGGATTTAGTGCCCGCGTCCGACCATTTGGATCATAGGCTCGATCCGGTACAAGTGTCTGCCAGCAAACGTTCGCTCGAGGTCCCCCCTCCCTATACGGCTGCGCACGCTAACGAACACGGATACTCGTAGGAAGGGTACTCCGCAGGCAACAGGGCCCTCTCCGTCGGGCTGCACGAACCTCGGCGCGTGCTCGCCCTGGCCATGATAACTGGCTTCCTCGGGGCATGCTGACATGCTACAGCATCCAGAGCGAGGCAAGCTGTCGGCGGGGTGAGGGCCCAGGATGCGCTACACGAGGACGACGGGGAGGATGGCGACGTGGTACTGCACCGGCGCATCGGACGCAACGGAACGAATGATGGAAGAAAGCCGCTAATGTGCTTTCTTTTTTTCCCTTTCCCTCCTCGTCCCCTTTAACTACTCGTACTTGGGCAAGCGGATATTACTGTTGGCGGTCACGGAACGGCACGCGCTAACCTCGCAAGTACATCAGTACATGAGATATTACTCGATGAGTCGATAGGACCGGGCGGGCCCCCCTCGGCCCCCCCCCCTCCTCCCAGGTTCCCACCCCTCAGAGCTGGATCCGACACTCTGGCTCACGCACATTGCATGAAGCTGAGTGGCCAGCTACCTGGCAGGGTGCTACCAACAGGTTGGCCAGGTCGGGGAGAGCTGTCGCCGATCAGCATTAGACGAATGACATAGGCTGTAAGCTGTACAGATTACAGATTACTCGTAGGCTACTCGTATACGCTGCGCGGACATGGTCTGCGCTCCGTGGGACGACTACTTGTACTCGGTACAGGAGAGCAGTGTTACTCGGCAGCACTCCATACTTTCCGTTACGAGCACTCATGGGCCCACGGGACATTACGAGTAATACTACTAGCCAGCAGCGTTGCCTGTGCACGGCCTGCCACCCGCACGGAGTGTATAACAGTCCTCACGCGTGTCCTGGCGATGGTGCCGTGGTGGTGTCGGTGGGACGGCCCTATCCGCTGGGACGGGACGACGACGGCCTACCTGGCCGACGTCTGCGCCCAACGTCGGATGGCGCTGGGGTCTCTCGACAGGGTCTCCTCGGCTGAGGTCTGGACTGATAGCACCTCACACGTGTCGTCACCGGCGCACAGCTGAAGTGGACGGGCAGCCAGAGGGTTATGGTGGTGGTGACCCCCATACTCCGTATTCCCACATGAGCGCGGTACACATGGCTCTACAAGATGCCGGATTGGCTTCAAGAAGATCACCACGAGTACACGGGGCACTACGGAGGGTCCGTCGGTGGCAGGACGGAGAGCCCACTTGCAGGCATCGAGAGACTGCTAGGGCCAACAGGATTGATGGACCAATAGATGATGTCGACGGACTTCCCCCTCCACCCCCCTCTTCCCTTTCTTCTCCCCTTACGGATACGGGAAGGAAGAAGGGAAGAGGTGAATAAGGGGGGGGGGGGGACACGCGCGCGCGAACGCACACATACATGCTCACTATTGGGGGTAGGGGTAGGGGGGAGGAGGATTCAAAACAGGAAAAACATGGCCGTCAATTACGGCCGCCTCGGACCTGGACTGTCTGCGGTCTGCGCACAGCCGTGCGATGATGGTGTCCCGCAATACAGGCACGAGTAGGCGTTGAGATGGGCATGGACGGATGGTACGAGGGTGGCGGTATGGCTACAGGCGATGCCATGCAGATTACAGATTACAGGTAGCATCATCTACCCCGTCTGCGAGTACGAGCAGCCGTCCAAGTGATGGCGTGCAATTTCTGGGATTCTGTGTGTGCTCTGTGCTGTGGAGGGGTTGGTCCGTAGGGACGGTGAGACATGAGGTCGACCCTTGTTGGTGAAACAAGGCCAAGGGTCAGGATGGGTGTCTACATGCAGACAGGGGTACAGAGGAGGAGCACGGAAGGGGCACGGAAAGGGGGGAGGGGTCAGACGGTTGACGTGTGTGTGCATGATACTACCACGTAGGTAAAGAGGGAAAAAATTGACATCTGACACTCTGGTATCTTGGCAGTGAATTATAATGCTATGACGAATGACGAATGACGGCCCCTTTTTATGGGGTGCGGCGAGCACATGCAATCAATCAAGTCAATCAATCAATCGATATACGATGATGTACGGAGTAGTTGACACCACATTACCACGTACGAGCTCGAGCTCTGACAATAGTCCCGTCGCGACCCCGTCGCGGCGGGGGCAGTCGAAGGGGGAAGACGGGAAGCTGCGACGACGTTGACAAGTCGGTGGGCAGCAGAGCAGCCCTGCGACTGGATGAGAGTAGCCATGCCAACTTCGCTATTCAATACCCGTACCCTCGCAGCCAGTCCGATGCCAGGTATCACGGATGCAGTGCAGCCTTGGCTAGCTTCCAGGGCTTCCAGGTGTACACCATCAGCCTGGTCTCCGGACGTCCATCTGGCTATCTGGTACGTGGCCGGTGAGGATTCAGGCTGGTCGCGGTGCACCGCCGTCGAGCGTCCTGGAGCTGGAGGCTCCAAGTTCAGAGCGTCCTGACCGCACTTTCAAGGCCGACCGGGTGGACAACAGGCCGGCAGGCTCTAGCAGGCACGGATCGGGTCTAGCCGAGTGAGAGTGATGGAATATCATTGGATACCATGACGGAATCCTGCACAGACTACTCTACTCTGATGGTGCTTCTGTATCTGCTCTGATGGTGCCCTGTATCTGCTCTGATGGTGCCCTGTATTCACTACGGCTATGGTAGCTAGCAAAGATTCTTGATCATCTCTCCAGCAGCAGCACAGATTGCATGGTATGTATGGGCGATGCTACTATTCTATTCTTATTTAGAGGGTGGTATTTCTCACCCATGTACGGAGTACGGAGTACGGAGCGATATCACATTTTATTATTACCATGTTTCGGTAGGGTTTTCCCTGGTCGTCAAGATTGCGGGACCCTCGTTTCTCTATCTACCATGCCGGCCCCGTCCCTGCTATCTGGGTGGTTTTGCCATCGACATGTGCTATCCATTACCTTGGAGAGGAAAGCAAGAGCGGCGCGCATCTTCCCTCGTTCCTCTCCTCTCGTTACTGCTCTTCCCAATGTGGAGTTGAACGGACCGTGCATGACATGATGATATCAGACTAGGCCGGACCAGGTCACGATGATGACCATGATGAGAAGGTTCAAGGTCCGTGAGTAGTGATTGCTACAGTAGTATATCAGACAGGATATATTACGAGAATGAGAGAACCTGTGCTTCTTTTGGGGGAAATCTGGACCAAAAGAGGAGGGAGTAGAAGAAGGAGAAGAAGGAGAAAAAAGAAAAAAAAAATAGGAACAACCCCCCCTCCCCTTTCCTCAAGTGGATTCAGATAGGGCAGGGCAGTTTGTATGTACGTACGTACGTGTGTACACACAGACACACACACACACACACGTACTCGTACACACAAACCCCTGCTCTGGTCGATATACAAAGGTACAATAGTAGTACCACTTTATCGACCATGTCAACTTCTCTGACCCAGACTGTCGGGACCAAGCAGAGTGGAGGGATTTTCTTCTGGCCAGGATGTTGCCGGCCGTTCCACGGACTGGGCGGTATCACGAAGTAGGAGATGGAGGGGGGGGTCCCCTTTGCTGTGGAGAGAAGAGAATTGGGATGTTTCGGCAGATGAGAGTTTTTTTTTTCTTTAAAAAAAAAATTCAATGTCTAATTTCCTTCCCCCCCAGAGAGGGTGGGCGTGTGTGTGCACTTCCAATAGTAGCAATCAGGGCGAGCCAACAAGATTCGGTGAATGGACTAGAATCTCAATAACAAGGCTGAATACGAAGTGCCCACGTATATGTGTGTGTGTGTGTATCTACGAGTACAAGAAGAAGAAGAAGAAGAAGAAGAACAACAACAACAACAACAACAACAACACCAACACCAACACCACCAACACCTACGAGTACTCGCTCTTCTACTCCCTAGTACTCCGTACTCCGTACTGCATGTTGCAATGGCCCGGTGGCCCCGGCGGCCGTGAAAGAGAGACCCGTTAGGCATCAGGCCTTGGGGACCATGTCTCATAACACATCTCCGGCCAAGACATCTGACCAGGTCGATGTGACGGTACATCATGTCGGCCTCGGGCGGGGGGGGGGGGGGTTGCGTCTCAGTCTTTACCGGCACAGCCAGCCTCAGGCCTCAGGTAGGCCGTGTCCGAGCTAGAAGCGTTGGGCCGTGCAATACGGACAAGACACCGTCGTCATATGGGATGATTCAGACGGCACTATATTAGGAGAGTCATGTTTCTTCTCACATCCGCGATACATTGTACCGAGTACAGATCATTCTGTCATCACTGTTGGTTGTATACACGTGCATGTACCATGTATATGTATATATATATATATATGTGTGTGTGTGTGTGTGTGTGTCCCGTATGATATACCAATGCTCCGTATAACCCTCGAGCCTCGAGCCCCGAGCCTCCCCACGCAAACCATGACAGAATAAAAGAACGGTTTTTATAGCAAACAAACAAATAGAGAGAGAGAGAGAGAGAGAGGATACAAAAGTACACCGTAAGCAGATGACTTAAATTACAAGTCAAGGCCAAGCTTCTCATACGACTGACAATCTCGGGGGACCCCTTTCCACTCTGTACAAGGGTCTTTGGCAAAAACACAGACGTGTACACACACTCACACACATACATACATACATACATACACATACATATACACACATACATATACGCACATACATATATACACACATACATATACACATATTACACGCATACAACTCCTACGGGTCTCCCCATGGGCCCATTCCTTCCCTGAAACGGTCCTCATTTCCAATGAGCAGAGAAGGGGGGGAGAACTGGAAAACAAAACAAACAGAAAATTAAAAGAAAAAAAAGAAAATGAGAAAATCCGTTGGGAACCCAACAACAGCTCTCTTGGTCGCCCATGCCAAGACGGCCCGTGATGTTTTTTCCTTTCTTTCTTCCTTTTCTTTCTTTCGTACATGTACGAGCACTACCAGTACGTGTACGCAGTTTTCCGTGTACGAGTAGACGGAAAATGTAAACAAGACACAACTCATACGTATGAATTTTTTTTTTATAAAGAAAAAACCTCTTGGTTTCGTCTTCTTCCTTTTATCGTCACCTTACGATATCACAGGTGCATTGACTCCTTCTTTCAGGAAGAGCCTTTACGTTTGTGATGATCGATGTTTTATTATTCTAGGATGACTCTTATTGTGATAGTTATGAATATGTTTGCTAAGTCATCCTAAGGCAACAACCTCAGTACCGGATTATCCCTTCTTCCAGTTGCATCTGGCTGTTTGATGAAGACACATACAAACAAAATCTTCTTGTCAATATTAACTAATTTTATTTCATTTTATATCAATATCTTCAAATATTTCTTCTCCCTTTCTTTTCTTGAAAAGAAAACCCCCCCTTTTTTCCCCTCCTTTTTTTTCTCTTTCGCTCGCGTGTCCATTTCCATTTCCATGTCCCCTGCGCGTGGAGCTCGTAGATGATACGCGACAATGTTGTTGATCTATACAGTGGTAGCGGTCATCGAGGGTAAGCTTGACCTCGCTTGACCTCTCTTGACGATTGACGTGCGCACTCTCTGGACCGACTTTATCCAGCTTGCCTTGGTCGATGATTGGGGTATTCGGCAGAAGAGCAGAGATGCATGCAACGGTTGGTTCACCTATTGCTGATATCCTTCGATATCCTTCATCCTTCTACCCCTTTTTAACCGGAAAGGAGACTTGGGCCATCCCATCTATCTTGCAGAGGATCCTGACTGATGATCCCATGATTCATTTTGTGTATGTGTATTTGTATGTGTATTTGTATGTGTATGTGTGTGTGTGTGTGTGTGTGTGTGTGTTTCCCTTACCCCCTCGACAACATTCAGGGGGGGTTTATATATATATATATATATAAAAGGATGAAAAAAAGGRGGGGGGGGGGGGGAATGTAAAGGTATTATTTACTGCGTGACAAGAAACTAGAAAAAAAACCCAACAAGATAGAAAAAAAATCACCACTCGTATTCACCAGTGGCCTTATGGAAGACGTATTCCTTTCCGTTGACTGTCAGGACACCGTCCTTGAGGGTACACTTCCTGTATAGTTGTCAGCATCCTCTTTCCTTCTTCTTTTCCAAGTATAGAGGAAGGAAAAGCAGTGAGAGAATCTGGCGAGGATAGAGAGAGGTGAAGAGGAATCACGTACCACTTGTTCTTGACTCGCTGCACCTTGTCGTACATGCAGAGCATTATGTGACCCAGGCCCTCGTCGTCAACCTCGTCCTCGGACCTGTCCTCGTCCGGATCATCCAGATCAGAGTTGATGGCGTCCTCATCCGCCTCGACGGGCTCGTCATCGTCGTCGCCGCCGTCGTGTCCGGCGATACCCTTGCCTTTGCTCCTGTTGCTCGTCGCCGTCCTGTGACGCGTCGCCTCCTTCAAGGGGACCATGAGGCCTCCGCCCTCCATGCTCTTCGCCCTGGCGGCAATCCGGTCGTGCAGCATCTTGTCAATCTCGACGCGCCCAAGCTCCTGCACATCACCGCTGGCGTTCCTCTCGACCAGGACACCCTCAAAGTTGTCGTCGTCGTCGTCGTCGTCGTCGCCGGCGCCATCCGTCTGAGAGGCGTGCGGCTGCTGCTGTCCGTTCGCTGCACCCTGCTGCTGTTGGGCAGTGGCAGCAGCCATCTGTTGACGGTAAGCTTGCTGCATGGCTTCTGGCGTCTGCTGTGACTGCTGCTGCTGCTGCTGCTGCTGCTGCTGCTGACCGGCCTGGATAGCATTGATGGACCCCACGGCCCTCTCCCCGTACTGCTTCTGCACAAGCTGGGCCGCACGGCTCGCCGCCACATTGTTCTTCCCGCCATCCAGGGAATTGAAGTTCATGGGCGGGGGCATCTGACCGCCCGCCGTGCCGGGTTCTTGCTTGATGTGAGCTGCGGCCCCGGGATCCGCTTCGCCAGCCTCCTGCTTGACGCCGCCGTTCTGCTGCTGCGGTGCCGCGCCGCCTGTGGGGATCGGCAGTTGCGGCGGAAACTGCGCCTGTGCGTTGTTGTTCGGCTGAGGCACCGACTCCTCGACAGCCACCTGCTGAGGCACCGGCTCGGGAGCTTGGGGCGGCGGTGCCGGGGGGTCGGGCTTGGGGTCCCACGGGAATCGTGCGACGCCCAGTTGGGAGAGCTTTTGTTGCCAGCCCTGAGAGAAAGTCAGTTTTGGGCACATTCCAGAGGAGGTGCATCGTGACGCGAAGGAATGTGCTGGGCGGGACACGAGGCTGCTCCCGCTCGCAGCGGTTGATCCGACGGCAGGCGAGTGATTGGCCTCCAGCTCTGTTGCAATGCCGCCATGTCACACACCAGAAGGGGGTGACAGGGCGGGACAATCCCCGGTCCGGGGCGCATCCTTACCTGGCGCAGCTCCTCTAGCACGGCATCCTCCACACCACTCTCCTCAAAGTCAACACGGGAAGTGTTGACCACCTCGTCAATTATGGACTGGTAGACGTTTCCCACCGCCTGGTTCGACATGATTGCCAAGCGCGAGTCTTCGAGGGCACGGAGAGGTGGTCGGTATCGTATGTATATCACCGGGCAATTGTTCCAGGACTTCCGTCTCTCTCTCTCTCTCTCTCTCTCTCTCTCTCTCTCTCTCTCTCTCTCTCTCTCTCTCTCTCGCTCGCTCGCTCGCTCTCTCTCTCTTCTTCTTCTTTCCCTTACTCTGTTTTTCACCTTGAAACTGTTGTTGCCGCGAGAAAGAGAGCGTGAATCAGATACTAGCGGTCGGAGAGTATCGAGTGGCGAGTGGCGAGTGGCTGGCTACCCAGCGAAAGTCGGCAGCAAAGTAACAAGTCGAGCAAACGTCGATTTCTTATCGGGGCACGCGCGCGTATGTTTGTATTATGGACGGGAGAGAGAGCATCTGTTGTCCCGTCGTTTCTTCAATTATCCGTCCGGTCAGTCGTATCGAGGGAAGTTCCTGCTCTTCCCCTTCGTCGTTCTCATGTGTTGTATGAGAGAAGGTGAGGTGGATGGCGTTGGAGGCGGCTCGGTAGAATCGTCTGCCATCTGCCCTGCATTGATTCATCCCCGCGGATTAGTCATTAATAGGTCCACCAATCACGCCACTGTTCAGACCAAGGGCCCACATACTGCGCCGTACCAATATATCCGCCTTTGAACCTGCTCGTACGGGGCACGAAACAAGGGCAAATACGCAGTAGTAAGTATCAGTATTCCGCTTCATCCTTTTCGAGATGATACCATCATCAATCATCAGACAAAATGGATGGCCTCCTTCTCTACAATCTCCCCCTCCCATTCACGCAAACTTCACCAGGAACAAGGTGGAACTATCCCCCAGTCTCAGGTAAATTGACCAGCACAAAGGCAAAGCTAATGTTTACAAGAGAATTCCCAATTCACAATATTATTATAACCATCGCAGTAACCCGCAATACCAAGCCGAATACCTTCCGAACAATGCAGAAAATCAAAAGCAAGAAGAAAAGCCATGATAGAGGCAAAAGAAAAAAAAGAACCAAAAAAAAACTACGATCTTCCTTTTCCTTGTGAGACCCCGAATCCATTGTCACAACTCGTTCCCTAGGACCATAAATTCCCTCCTCGTTTCGTTCATTGCGTAGAAAAGCACTTTGTGACCGTGGTATAATACCGAAACGCCGCGCTTGAAATTTCACCGTCTCGCAAGAGCGACTGTGACCTAAGAGAGAGCTATATATCACTTACCGCCAGACTAGTTTTTGGGCCCTGAATGCTACTGCTGCTAGCTCTAGCAGCAGCACCTCAACAGTTACCGGATAGTCATCTGCTTAGCCATCTCGGCCTTGCTCGAAGAGCCGGAACCGCTGATGCTACCAGCAGCACCGGCCTTCTTCTCAAAGACCTTCCAGAACTTGAGGCTCTCGTCGGCGGCGGCGGTGGCGAGCATCTGGCCGTCGGGGCTCAGGCAGCTGTGGAGAACACGGCTCTCGTGGGCAGGGATCTCCACGTTGCGCACCATGGTGGGGTAGCTCCAGATGCTCAGCGAGTTGTCCGGGAAGCCGCTCGAGCTGACAATCTCGCGGTAGTGGGGGCTCCAGCGGAGCGAGGTGACCTGGGAACCAGTGTCGATGCTGTTGACGCGGGCACCCGAGGTGGTGTTCCAGAAGTGGATGTTGCGGTCGTACGAACCACCGCCGGTGGCGAGCAGGTTCATGTTCCAGGGGCACCAGGCAAGGGCCTTGACGGCGGCCTTGTGGTTGGTCTTGGTGAACTTGGGCACCGACAGGGAGCGGGCGTCCCAGATGGAGACGAGGTTGTCGTTGCCGCCAGTCGCGAGCTGGGCACCGTCCGAGCGCCACTCGAGGCCGCAGACCTCCGAGGTGTGGGAGACGAGCTCGGCAACCTTGTGCTCGGCGATGCGCACATCGTGGTTGTAGACGAGGCCGCTACGGGCACCGGTCGAGAGCAGGTGCTTGTTCCAGCCCATGACACCGACACGGGTGTCGTGGCCGTACATACTGCGGATCTTCTGGTTCTCGGCAACATCCCAGATCTGGACCTCGCCTGTTCCGAGACCGACGCTAACGTAGGCCCCGTCGCCAGACCACTTGACGCTGCTGACGTACGTGTCGGGCGATGTCTCGAGCAGGCAGCTGACGCTGCCTTCGTCGGCAGACCAGACGTAGACGTTGCGCTCCAGGCCAATGGCAACCTGATTGCCGGAGCTCCAGTCAAGCAGGTTCAGGTAGTAGTCGTCAATCAGACCGGGTGCATCGAGGACACGCTCGGGAGCCGTGGCGATGCGGCGGCGCGTCTGGGCAGAGCTGGAGCTGGCCGACTTCAGGGGACGGTTGTACTGCTGGCGCAGATCGATGGGCTTGGAGGATTCTGGGGGAGCAGGCTTGAACTCGAGGATACGGGTGTTGAGTTTGACACCGCAGGCGTTGGCCAGCGAGTCCTGGTACGCAGCCGTGTTGGGGGATGGTCGGTTGTAGGTCGTGGCCTCCTCCTCCTCCTCATCGCCACCGATGGTCAGGCCCTCTAGAGCGGCAGCAGCCTCATCGGCAGCAGACGAGAGCACAGAAGAGCTCGAAGTGGTAGTTGTGGTGCTTGTGGTGGCTGTGGTCTTGGAACGCTTACGGTCGGTGACATCGAGCTTGCTGGAGCCGGTGTGAGAAATTCCCGAGCTGGCGGAGCGGTTGGGGATGAAGCGGTCCCCCGAGTAGTTGAGCGTCGTCTTGGACTTCTGACGGATGGGAGCCTTCTTGGCCTTGGCACTGGAGGGGTCCTTGGTGTTGCCGGTCCCTACGAGGGTGAAGTCGGAGACGCCCAGCTCGAGGGCCTTGCGGGGGGTGTGGACGGTGCGGGCAATGTTTGACTTCGTCTTTGGCGAGTCTTTGTGTGTAGGCTTGGGCTTGGATGTGGATCGGGTGAGGTGGGACATCAGGTTGCCGCCGTACACGGACCTGGACGAGGCACGGGTTTCATTACCAGGCTGCTTCTCGGGGGTGAAGGGAGACGAGTCCAGGTTGAGAGGAACGGCCTTGCCCTGCTGATGAGGAGAAGGGGTAAGAGGCATCCGTCCGCCAGCAGTACGGGTGTTGAAGAGGCCCCGGTGGGACTTGATGGGGGTGGAGACAGCCGCGGAGGCCATTTTGAATTTTTTTTTTCTGGCTGGAAAGAAAAGAACAACAACAACAAAAGTGCAATGATACGAGGATATCTAAAGGACCCAAGGGCGTACAGAAGGATGAATAGAGCGTATGAAAGGCTTGTCGAGGTTGTTTGAAGGGGTGGTTTTCGGGTGAAGAGTAAGGAAGGAACCGCGAAATGGTCGAGGACCATGATGTCTTTTATTTACTTTGGGCCCCACACGCACTTGGCCGGGCAACGAAGAATCTCAATGTCGGCGTTAAAGAAACTCCGTTCCGGGACAAATTCTCTGACTGGAGCTATTCCGCTTTCGGACTAAAACTGTCCCTCCCCTGCTTCAGACCTGCGTCAATCTCCGAGTTCCTGGGGTCCGTAGCCGGGCATCCAAACCGTCGTCCCGCCTTCCGACGACCACTCCGTTGACGGGTCAGTGACAATCTCACGCAGCTGATACCTGACTCCCTGACCGCCTCTAATTACCCAAAAGCCTCCGACCCTCAACGCTAGCATTGTCCTCTTGTTTTATCCGCGGTTTATCCCCCTCGCCCCTCTCCCCTCCCCAGCTGACCGCTGAGGACGCCAACATCGTGAGATGATCATCCCCCAGTGAGACGACTACGGAGTAGCACAGCCAAGGCCAAGGCCGTACAATCAGACCAACCTACTATGACAGCGTCCGGGGAGAGTATCCCGTCCATCTTTGGGAGACCCAGCACGGCCCCGGGTAACCCCGCTGCCACTCCCGCGCCGGCGGCGGCCACCAGCAACGGCAACAACGGGGCCATCCTATCCCAGTCGGCGAACAACCTGTCGAGCGCCGGCACCGTCGTGCCACCGCACAGCACTGCCACCACTACCGCTGCGGCATCGTCCGGCGGCGGCGGCACATACATCATGGCCAACTCGCCTGTAAAGGTCCGGCCTGTCACCCATGGCTATCGTCCCAAGGTGACGCGGACGCTAGGTCAGCGGCCGGCCTGCCTGGTGAACGCATCGGTCACGTACTGCGGCAACAACCAGATCTTTGCCTTTGGAGGCTTCGATCAGTACACGGACGAGGTGTACAACCATGTGCTCCGGTTGGACCTAGCGAGCCACCAGTGGTCCCTCGTTGACAATTACGGCGACATTCCCGGTGTGCGGATGGGTAAGCACGCTACCGATCCGGGGAAGTGGATACACTTGAATCGGATATTAGGCTAACACTACCTTGTACGTCGCACCCAGGCCACACTGCTACCCTCTATCAGGGCGACAAGCTACTCATCTTTGGTGGCGAGAACGAGCATCGAACATACCTATCCGACCTCATCATCTTCGACCTCAAGACTGCGCACTGGACGCAACCGTCGGTGACGGGACCCATCCCCAAGGGTCGCGCGCGGCACGCCGCCGTCTTGCACGAAGACAAGCTGTTTGTCATAGGAGGCATCACTGGGCAGAACAACTACGTGTTGGATGACATTTGCTTCCTCGACCTCAAGACGTACACGTGGTCGCGGTCGTGGCGCTTCGTCGGCCGCTTCGACCACTCGGCATATATATGGGGCGATCGGGTCTGGGTATTTGGCGGGCTGAGCGAGGACATGGACAAGATCAGCGATATGTGGTGGCTCGATCTCAAGGGCACACCCGAGTTTGACTCGCGGCCCCAGATTGGTGTCTTTGACCGGCACTCCGCGGGCCGCATGCAACCGTCGGGCGGGTCTTACCGCCAACCGTATAGCATAGGAGGGCCGACGCAGACGGCCGTGGGGACGACGTCCGGGTACGCGGCCAACTCGCGCACCGCGCAGGTCAACCCCCCCTCTTTCCAGGTCAAGTCGTACGCGCCCATCGCACCGGGTTCCATCTCGGCCCTCAAGTTCATGTCAGGCTCGACCACGCCGCCGCAGGGATCCGGAATCCACTTCCACGCCTACTCGTCCGGGACGCTCCTCGACTTCGTCACACCCGCAGCCACAATCACCCCCCGCGAATGCTCGCTGTCGGTGCTGGATCTGACCACGCTCCGGTGGCAGAAGCTCGCCGAGGGCCGCGAGATATTCAAGGCCGGGTACAGGTGGCACTACTGCACCATCAACGAAGACGGCACCAAGGCCTGGCTGCTAGGATGTGCCACGGACCCTGCGACCACCGACGTAGGGCCCAACGGCTACGAAGAATACCTCAGGTGAGAAAACACGCTTCTCCCCCCTCCTCCTCCCTACCATGACTGATGTTTATACGTCCACCTAGTGACATAATGGAGATTGATCTCCGACGCTACGGCTTCCTGGGGAACAACCTGACGCCGGAGCCGCGCGAGACGACGCGTCCGTCGCTCACGGCCCGACCGATAGATCAGCCGTCGCAGGGTCTAGGCTCCGACCTAGCCAAGCTCTTCAACCAGCCGCCCGAAACAGGTAGCGGTACCGACTTCATCATCACAGCCCTCCCAGAGGGCTCCTCGCCCGACGAGGACTCAGGCAGCACAGTGCTAGACGGCTACGCCGAGGACGACGAGTACGCCGACGAGCCCGTCACGGATGTGGGCGTCAGGAACGGCTGGCTCACGAACGGCGCGCCCACGTCGCAGCCCATCCATGTGCACAAGCTCATCCTGCAGGCGCGCTGGCCGCACTTCTCCCGCCTGTACAAGTCGCGCATGGCCGAGTTCCACGCCAACAGGATGCATATGCCCGAGCCGTTCCCCGTGGTACAGTCCTTCCTCCACTACCTGTACACGGACCATATCCGGTCCCGCGGCGACCCGGCCGACACGCCGACCCGCCTGTCCGACGTGGCTGGCCTCCTGATCCTGTCAAACATGTACAACCTCTCCCACCTGCGTCTCCTGTGCGTCAACCGCCTGGCCCGCGAGCTCGACGTCGAGCACGCCTGCTCCATCTGGCATGCCGCCGGCCTGGCGGACGAGGAGTGGCTGCGCAAGCGCGCCGGGAACTTCTGCTTCAACCACTGGGGCCGTATCGTCCGCACGAAGGGCTTCCTCCGCTTGCCGCGGTCCGCTCTCGTGGAACTCAGCCAGGAGATCGACATGGAGGGCAGGGTCGTCGGGGGCGAGGAGCTCGAGTGGGGTGCTGCCGCTGCTGCCGCCGCCGAGGCCGCCGGTCCCGGTGGCCTCATGCTTCACGATTCCGGTGGCCATCATGGAAGCGATGGGCTGAGGAAGGTGAGTATAGGGAGTGGTGGGAGTGGTCAGCTTCTCGAGTCCGAGGTTGATGATGATGGGATGGATATGAATTAGTTTCCTATTTCTTCTCTCTCTCTCTCTCTCTCTCTCTTCTCTCTCTCTCCTTCTTTCTTTCCTCTGCTTTCTATCCTCTACTGCCTTGTTTTCTTTCAGCATGTGACAGTGCTCCTTGCTTTTCTTCTTCTTTTTGGTCTTGTCATTTACACACATATATTTCCTTGCATTTTCTCCGTTGATGGGTCCATCTCAAACTCCCCTCCCCTCCTCCCCCCCCCCAAAAAAAAAACACTCCTTTACTGTTCGATAACTAGGTGTTGGTGGCAGCAATGATTATCCTAGCACATGCATGATTTACGAAGATAAAATAAAAGAGTAGATGTAAATCTGATACCAACATGAACGTGGATGATCTCTTTTTTTTATGCGAATAAAACAGAGAGAGAAAACATAGCATTCTAAGAGGACAAAAAAAAACTCGTCTTTTCGTGCGCTTCGCAGCAAAACAAATCTTTGTATAGAACTTCTCTTAGCCCCCCCCCCCCTCCTCTAATGTAATCAGATAACTTTGCATAATCCATTCTATAACCAAGACCAAGAACCGTGGACGAAACCTCAAAAACAAAACCAAGGAACAAAAGAACCGCAGTTCAAAACAGCAACGAGACAGGACAAGAAATCATCACTGGAAAATCTAGACAGCCGAAAATAAAGGAGCCCTTGGCGACATCATCTCATCTCTCTGACCAGACCAACAAGTATGTACCAGCTGAAGCCAGTGCACTACATGGCAATGACAAGGAGGGGAAGGGGGGGAGAGGAAATGAGCGGCTTGCTCTCACCCCTCCCTTCCGAACCAATGTGTGACTCAAGCTGACCGTGGGATACCCGTAGGCACCCATCCATCCCTCATTCCCCCTTGTCCCTGATGTCCAAGGCACCATATCCGGATCCGGATGGATGGGATCGAGTGGGGGGTGAGGGGTGGGTGAGGGGGGAGGGGAGGAAGGGGGTGGGGTGAGAAAGGCGCAGGTGCAGTATTATTTGTATTCCGTACCATCCGTGATCACCGTAATCTTGAAAGATGCGTTCTTTTTTTCTTTTCCTCTCGTCATTTTTCCCACTCGTTTTATCTCGTCCCGTAACCCTTCCTCTTTTTCTTTCTCACGCCTTTTTTCCCCCCCCTCTTTCCTCGCAAGACAACAAGACAACAAAACCAGAAAACGCCGTCGCGATATGCTGCGACCAAAAGACTGTGTATAATAAAGTAGGGGAATCCAAACCTAGAGGATGACAGAAAAAAATCACAGCGATGAAAGGAAGTAACAAGAAATAGAACTTTTCTGTGGAGGGGAAGGCTATAATGATGGTGGAGGAGGAGGAGGAGGAGGAGGTGGTGGTGGTGGTGGTGGTGGAGGAGGAGGAGGAGTCTGCGTGGGGTGCGTATATATATGCGCACTTGGTGTGCGCGCATATCTATGTGCGAGGTGTCGTAGTTGGGTTCAATAGCAGAGCGGTCGCATGACGGACGCTCAGGTCCTATAGCGCTATCGGTGCTTCTCCCAAGTTGCTTTGCCTGTTGGGACTCTCAAGTATCGGTCCGTTGAGGCCCAGCTGAGGCAGCTTGATCCCAGCAGCCTCTGCCTGAAGCTTGAAGTCGGGGTTGCAAGGGAGCGAGTGCGCCTTGTGCTGCGGGTAGGGGATGCTAGTCAGTGCTTACCCAGATAGCCAGGAAGACGCGCAAAGGAAAAGAGGGAAGATGGGGGAGACGCACGTATTTCAGACCGTTCAGGTTCTTGTACCGCTTCCCGCACGTCTCGCAGTTGAAGGGCTTCTCCTTTTCCATCCCCATAGTTCCCGGGTAGGGAGCGCTGGTTTCTGGATTCACGATGGAAAAGGTACCGTCGCCATTTTCATGGAGCTGTTGAGTCTGGTGGCCATGTGCCTTGTGATACCTGCAGGATTGAAATGTTAGCCAGTGTATAGAGAGGCGGGCCGATGTTGGACACGGATAGAAAACATACTTGAGACCATTCTGGTTCTTGTAGGCCTTTTCGCATCCGATGACGGGACACTTGAAAGGCTTGTGTTCCTCCGCCAACATCATGGACTGGAGATGCTGCATGATGAGCTTGCTAGCCTGAGGGTCACTCATCTGCGACTCGCTGAGCCCGAGCTGGGCCAGCTGGGCCTGGATACTGCTGTTGCTGCCTGGAGCGAAGGTGCCGTTAGGGCTGAAGAGGTGCTTGCCTGGGTCGTCGATGCAGAAGGTGGTATCCGGGTTGCCTCCGCTGCCGCCGTAGCCGACGTCGCTCATGTCGCCGCTGGGGCCGCCACTTCCGCCCATGGGCATGCCGGGGAGGTCCTCGTCCATGTCGTCCATGCCGATCTCGGCGGCCTGGCCACTCTGCTGGAGCTGCTGCTGATGCTGCTGATGCTGCTGATGCTGCTGATGCTGATGCTGCTGTTGCTGCTGCTGCGGAGTGATCGGGGGCATCTGTCGCTGCTGGGTGGAGAGGGTGGGCGTGTTGACCGAGGATACGGTGGGGTTGTGCTGGAAGCCAAAGGTGGCACCGGCAGGCGTGGTAGGCTGGGATGCGCGCAGGCCATGAGTGATGCCGCCAGTGTCCATGCGAAGTTGAGGGCGCTGCTGCTGGCCAAAGATGTGGCGGGTGTGGTGCATGCGCGAGCTATCGTCGAGCTCCATGGTACCGACCGTGTCGTCGTCCATCTCCATGTCGGCTACGGCGTCCATGTCGGCTACGGCATCCATATCGTCCTGCATGTTGTCCTGCATGTTGCCCATGCCCAGGCCAATCTGGGTGTCCTGCGGGGCACTCATGAGGGACATGGCCGACGCACCCGGAGTCTGGCGGTTCAACCGGGTAGGTGAGGGGTGGGCCGTCGTCTGGCCAGGGGTCGCGGGTGTGGTTCGGGAGCCACTACGGTCATCCGCGCCGGCCTGCATCATCATGGGTGAGAACTGATTAAAGTTATTATTCCGTGCAGCGTTAGTGCTCGTGTCCGTATGGGCCTCCTCGTAGTGCTGGAGGAGGTCGTGCAAGTTCGGCAGGACCTGTCCACAGCATGTGAAGTCGCGCATGAAGTTGGCCTCCAGCTTGGGCAGGTAAGAGCCCGAGTGAACGGATGGGGACTGGTGTGCGGCGCCAAAGGGTGACGATCCTTGCATTGTGAAACTGCGACCAAAACCACATGGTCAGCGCTCAGATAAATTCATGTGACATGTGACACCCGGCGGCACTGTGAAGATGTGACAGCGCAAGAGCAGCCAGGCCAGATGGGGAAGGAAGCACAGGAAGAAAAGGAAAGAGATGGGGAAGAGGTGAGAGGGGTGTTGGGAGACGTTAAGACGGTGGTGAGCGACGATGCGCGCGCGCGCATGCGCGCGCATGCGGGATGGGTCGGTGTTGAGGGGTAAGTCGGGGTTCAAAATGTCTCGCCCAGGCCTCATGTGTATACGCGTATGTACTTGCGCCTGTCTTGCACCGGTCCTGCTACCATGACGACGCTGGGGTGCGGGAGCGAGCAGAAGAGGAAGAGGGGGGGAGGGGGCTAGACGATGACAAGGGAAAGGTCGGTATACGTACTCGTCGCGAACGAAGCTGCCAAAGGAGACACCTCCCCAGCTGAGGCCACCCATCAGACTGCCGGCCAGACTCTCGCGACGGTTCCGGTTCAGACTGTCCTGAGCCGCGTTGTTGGTAGAAATGGGACGAGGTCCCGCGCTCACAAACGAGTCTTGTCTCGGACGGCCCATGGAGGCGTCGAGGGTGCCGCCAGATGCCATGGCGGCGATGGCGGCGGCGAAGAAGCCGGTGGACTGCGGTGAGGGCGGCTTATGGTGAGCCGGGAGTGAGGCGACAGCGACGGAGGAGGGCGACGGGCTGGTGAGGTCGATGTAGTTGCTGCTCTTTCCGACAGGGGACTGCGAGGAGCCGTAATCCGAGAGAGTGCGGGCAGAGTCAGCAGCGTTACCGTTGCCAGGAGGCGTGGTGAGGTCTGTGACGGCGGCGGTGGTGGTGTGCGTGGTGAGAGTAGCAGTACCGGCAGCAGCAGTACTTGTAGTGGTGTTGGTGGTGGTACTCGTAGGCTCGTCGTGACCGAAAGGCCCAAGAACCGGTTTGTCCTTCAGGTGAGGAAACAGGCAGAACGGCGCCGACGAGTATCTGTAGGATGCAGAGGTGAAGGGATCGTCGAAGGTAGGATGAGTGGGTCGGAGTGTCTCTCTCGGTGGTGTTTGTGGTGGTGATGGGTTGTGGCTGGCCGGGTTGGCGATGGAGGAGGAGAAGGGTGAGTAGGGAAAGGTCGAGGTGGTGACGGTGGTGGGAGTGGTAATAGCGGGCGAAATAGCACTCTTTGTGGCGACGGCGGGGGTACGTCCGGTAAGACGACTCGTTGGTCTGTGGGTCCCGGCTGCTGAGAGAGTCTTAGCCTGGGCCTGAGCCCGATCGCCATTTGGACTGTGAGCAGCAGCACCACCTGTGCTAGCAGTAGCGGCAGTGGTGGTAGCACCAGTAGCAGCACCTTTAGCAGCACCTCTAGTCTTATTGCAGCTGCCTCTGGGCCTACCGCGACCCCGTTTAGGGGCACTGTTAGCGGTATCACCGGCATCCTTAGCAGCATTGGCAACGCTAGTGCTAGCATGGCCACTAGGAGAGCTGTCACCAGATCTAGCCTCTTCGGGAATGGACACAGTCTGTTCCTGCTGCTGCTGCTGCTGCTGGTCCCTGTGCTCCTGCTGCGTGTAGTACTGCCGCCACTGCTGCTGCTTGTAGTTCCGTTTCAGGCAGTACTCCTGTTGCTGCTGCTTCAGACGCTGATAGTGCTGTTGTCGAATGTACTGCCTGTGCTGTTGGCTGTCCTGTTGTTGGCCATGCTGTTCCCGTTCCTGCTCCTGCTCCTGCTGGTAACACTCCTCAGCATTCTGTGTCTGCTGCTCCTTCTGCTGGTGCTTAGATCTCTCGAGCGCTTCTATAAAGGAGCCGAAACCCGGGCCATCCCCAATAGCCGAACTACGAATCGCATCACCTGGCTGAGTCGCGGCACTAATCCTCCAGTTGGCCATCCTCGTCCTCCAAGTCGGACTCGCCGGAGGACTGACGCTCCCGACTTCAGACAGCTCGGAGTCTCCATCGGGTGCAGCTCTCCGGATCCTCTCGGAAACTGCATACGCCGACCTAGAGTTGCCAGTTACAGATACAGGTGCGGGTGCGGGTGCGGGTACCGGTACGGGTACAGGTGTAGGTGTAGGTGCGTCACGTCGACTCCCGCCACGACTTTGGTTCTGACGTATCTGACATTGCCGTAGAAGAGACAGTAGTCCGATGGCTTTTGCCACCCGGGCTCCCTTTCCCTGATCCTTGTCCTTCTTCTCGTAGCCGGCAGCAGTAGCAGTCTTCTTGGTAACACCGCCAGCATTAGTAGCCTTCTCGTTGCGAGTGTTGCCGTTGCCGTTGATTGCGACATGGCCGCTAGTCCTACCAACTCCAGATCCGGCTGCAGGTCTGCCGCCGCAGTTGTCTTGGAAGCTTACAGGTGGTGCAAGAGTGGACTGCTGTTGCTGCTGTTGCTGCTGGGGCGACGGCGGGTAGCTCAAGGCCGCAGCCCGTCTCGTCTGCTGATACTGATCGGTATCCATCGTGGATGGCATCACTTCAGAAAAGAGATGTCAGATGTCCGATATCTCATTTCTCTGTTTCCGTCAAATAAGTATGGTATCCGGGGTGCTGTATCACGTTGGCTTCCCCTCGATGTTGATATCTTGTCCGTTTATTTGAATGTACGCGCATCCTATATTACATGGCACTTCAAGGTTCTGCACGGATACCGCTCTGGCTTTAGAGCGTATCCGAGAAGCTCATGTGCATCAGCATTTGAGTGTATTATGGTTTGGCCGCCAGGAAGCCCTCACTTTTTATCTAACGATGCCTATAAGCTTTCTGGTTGCATTAAAACTACATGGATATATATGTACGTGCTGGCTGAGCATACCGGTCGCTGCTGCCATGGAACGTCACCACTATCGCTACTGCTGCTGCTGCTGCTGCTGCTGGCAATATACTAGCAGTAGTTGCAGCAGTGGCCATCACGGATTTCCGTCTTTCCAATGGTTGATGAAAGAGAGAGAGAGAGAGACGCGAGTCGTGTAGTTAGCGGAAGCGCCGAAGACAGGAATCAAAGCAAGCAAGCGCAAGCTGTTTGCATGCCTACTACTACTAGCAATCAATCAACACGCGATACTAGTAGCGTTCCCTGTCGAATTTCAGTGTACGGGTAGATCAATCCCGATAGACCAACGACATGCCGAGCAACACAGAGAGGTCCCTCTGATGGCGTCTATCAGACACTGAGAGAATGTTGTACATACACACCCCGACGTCGAATGTAGGAAAGAGCCAAAAAGGATATCTCGCAGCCACTACAGATCACCTCGAAACACTCTCAACTCATGTTGGCCGCCGCCATTGTCGATATCGACTCGTTCCCATTCTACGGTAATGCCACCCCTTCTCCCCACCCCCACCCTCTCTCCTAAAAAAGCCAAGAATGATCTCAGGGTTATGTGGTGTTGAATGAATCAATTTAAACTCTGACTTTCCGAAAGCAGCAGCGTTCTTACTCATAGCTGTTCGTATTAGCCTCGGATTGGACCTCCCAGTTGCGTTGCGGTGTGCTGCTGCTTGTAATCTGTGCTCGCAGACTGTATATGTAGCATTACATGTACGGAGTACGGAGTAGACTGGGACAGATGACTATTACCTCGTACTGTATCTTTTCTTTTTTTTTTTAAAAAAAAAAAAGAAGAAGAAAAAGAGCTATGTATGCTAAATATACTCGTAGTTGGTAGTGCAGAGGGAGAGAGACGTCTGATATATACACCAGCCCTATACCCGATGCGAATCCCCATGCCCTTGTCTCAAACAGGCATGTGGCCGGCGACTTGAGCAGCGTCGCCCCGACAGGCGGTGGCGCCCTGGCTGACGCTTGACTGGCAATCCTGAGTCATACCTCACGGGCCACGAGTATTGTCGTGCTCGCACTCCCACTCAGCCCATGGCATTAATAAACTCTCTCCAATCTCAACTGTATGTACACGTAACCTTGACTACCTAACACTCGTAGTCATCATTCTCTTCGCACTCCTCTCTCTATATTCCTCGTCATCTCAATACCGTGTACGATTCTGGTCGTTTCCGGAGCAGTTTGCCCCATCTCCCCTGCAAGGGTGACGACGGTACAGGTATGGATACTCTGTGTCGTACATAATAGCATTATTATCATTACGTCGTAGACAAGGTCACAGCCCCCCAGGCACATAAAAGGATCAGCAGGGTTCAGCCAGGTTCTTCTGATTATATAATCGTTTCTTTCTTTTCCAAGCAAGACAGCGTCAACGCATTGGTATACAGGAATAGGAAAAATACATATTGCTAATAATATATTATCTTTTTTCTTTTCTTTTCTTTTCTTTTCTTTCCTCTTTTTTTGAGTGCCTCTTGTATCACTCCATGTCTTCTTGTCCTGATAACCGCTCCACCCTGTTTTCTCTACCGTCAGCTCCTCATTCTTGTGCTTGTCATACGGTATACTATACTCCGTACATGAATACGTAGTCGCGCCTCTCGCATTTGGACCCTGGACGCCGCCCATGCTTCCATCTCCACTGTTGGGTGGATTCTATTGAGTAAGAACACATCGACTCCTCGTCAAGTCCCTCTGCCAAGGAACCTGGCGTCGCGTGACAAAATCCTTTGTGTTCCTGTCTAATTATTCTGACACGCATCGGTTTGTGCCGTTGAGACTCTGCTCTGCCTGGGCCGCTGGGCCTCCCAACCTCGGTCTCGCTTTCTCTCTCATCTCTTCATCCTGTCTCTCTCTTCCATTCTCGGTAATTTTCACGGTCCGATGTGCATTTGCCATTGCACATGTTGTACAAATATCAACACGACGTACGGCAAGTGCAGAAGCCACTGCCAATCAGATACATATATGACCTATTACGTAGGCGAATATGCAAGTACGAACAATGGGGCTCCGCATCTCGGACGTACGAGTGCGGTAATACTATATATGTACTACTACTACTACTACTACCACTACTACTACTACTACTACTACTAAATTTCATATGTTTAGCGACATAAGGCATTATTGCGTCGAGCTTGAGGGCTTGAGGGGGCTGGGTTTTTACAGAGTATTATTGCAAGCAGTAGCCTTGGTCGCACGGACCATGTGCCAAGAACCCCGGCAGAGAATGTGCCATGTGCCATATGTGAAGCCACCGCCATGGGCCCGAGAAGATAGTTGCACTAAGTACTCCGTACCACGGTACCAGCGTTATTATTACCGAGCTTTACACGCTACCACTGTGCTTCCAGAAAAGCCTCGTTTCTGGTATCCACGTGGCCTGCATTCAGGGGCATGGAAATGACCCTTATTTCCTACGGAACTCGTCCTTGTGTATGATAGCTTCCTTCTCTCTCTTTTGAACAACCATCAGGGACTTCGACTACTCGTACAGACATATTGTCTGTGTACGCCATCGCACGTGCGTTGTACCAAGGGTCACTAGTGAAGTAGATACATAGATACACATCACGAAGCAGTACTGTTATTACAGCCGGCCCAGTGCTCCTTGTCAATAGCACAGAACCATTATTGCGACGGAATAAGTACGACGTTATTGTACAGGCTACAATCAAATACGACACACGTAATACAGATTACATATGAACCTCTTTGGGGGGGGGGGGGGGGGGGGGGGGGGGGAGTTACCGCTATAGAGGATAATACGCCACACGTTGAGCTCTGTGTGTGTGTGTGTGTCTTCACTGGCCTCACTGCGGCGTGTGTAATTCTTATTCAGAGCACGCTGTAAGGATTGTGTACGTGTGGATGCTGAGATTTTGCAGCTACTATTTATCATATTACTCCATGAGTCCATATATTTGTTTTATAAACTCCTCACCACCGATGACGGATCAGAGCCAACCAATGATTCCAACCACAAAGTAATCCGAAGAAAAATATAACMCCCCCCCCCCCCTCCCCCTCTCACGTCTTGGCCCCTCCCGCATCCTTGTTCGATTGTCCCACCACGCGCACCCCCGCGTTTGCATTCCTTCCAGAAGCCTTCTGTCTTGTCTGTAAATGCCGCACGAGCTTGCCGTTTGCTTTTTCTTGTTCTTCTTATGTGGAAGTCACAGCAGCAGCACTACAAGTAGGAGTATTATCACTAGTGGTAGTGGTAGTATTCAACTAGTATTACAAGTAACAACACTCTCAAGTGTCCGAGGTGATACCTGGGCGGGGCAGAGCCCCCCTCCTTTGAGAGCCTCCTCAAGGCTCGAGCCCTGCCAAGGCTTGCTGGAGAGTATCCTACCGCAAATCATCTTCCAACTCAACCGACGACCCGTGGCCCAGGCACATCTTACACGGAAACAATTCCTGGCCACCATCAATCAAAGCGCCGCCTCTCCCCCCCCCCCCCCCTAACCAGCTCAGGTCGGCCCGTACTTTGGCAGGTCGGTTAAAGCTCGGTATGTAACGAGCGGTGGCAATAGGCATATGAATGGCCCTCTCTCCTCCTCCTCCTCCTCTCTCCGAAGCGAGGCAAAGATGCTAAAAGTTGCAGTGAAGATGATCCGATAGAGTAAAAAGCAGTAGTAAGTGACATGATATAAATTCGGGAACTACGTCTTTGTCAGAGTCTATGTCTGTGAGGGAAAAAATAAAGACTAGGAGGACCAGGAGGAGGCTCGAGAATAAAGTTTACATGGAATATTTCATTACGTCACGTTTTGTTCGAAGCCGTTCCGTGCTTGGTTCCATTCATTCTCGATTCCGCGCCGCCGTTTGTGGCAACGGAAGATCTACCTGAGCGGGCTTGAGGCTCTGGGCTTGGTCTGAGCCGGTTCTGGTTTTCCCATTGCGGCCTTGGGATCGCTGGCTGTGTACACGTAATACTGCGTGGTAAAGTACATGATAAGTAGCAGCCGTAACCAAGGGAAAGAAGCGCTTATAGTTATGATTCAAATCGGGGGGGGAAGACCCGCGGAGATACAGCTACGAAATATTCCCGATGAACCGTAGAATCATCAGACCACAAGTACGATGCCGGGATGTGACCGACCCGAAATCGCAGACCTGAGACGACGGACCGCGATCGGCATGTTGTCATCGGGTGGTCCGTTATGGAGTGAATTGCACTACATTGCGAATAAGGGTATTGATCACTATCTTCCGATTATTGTGTGCATTCTTGTTCCAGTCTACAACATCGAATAGCTCTTACAAGACCATGGAAAGCCATTCGCCCATGTGTAAGGGCCATTGTGAGTCTCCCAGGTGCGACAGTCGTCGTGGTTGCGGCTTTGCTTTATCTCTCCCCTCTCCCTCTCCTGCAGAGTATCCATGGCAATATCACAGTCGTTCTCCTTTTTCTACAAGTCTTTGCTTTCGTAGTACCACTCACTATTCGGCGAAGAGATAACAATGTGCATACATGTGTTTGTGCTCCGGCCCGCGCAATGAACGGTGTTTTCTCGGCATCTGGGACCTACCGCTCAATAACGGGAGCTTTCGGGGGATGACTAACGCTACATACTGAATGGCGATTGGCAGCAAATGTAGTTTTTTTCATTGAATTATCCGCACATCAGTCTGACCAACCGTCATCGATTTATTGCATACAATCCCCTCTCCCAGATTATCATTGAGTTCTGAATAACTATCTTCAAGACGCCCCGCCCATTCCCCAACGGCCCAGCTACCGGGACCGACTTTCTCGGTTAACTATTCTTTTCAATCTGTATAACTTCCCCCCCCTCCACGCACACACCCGCGCTGAATTCCTCGAGCTTCTAACCGAATCTCTCTCTCTACGAGATTACATCACGCCATATCAGACCAACCTACCTACCTACCCTTCGAACCAGCAGTCGTCCAACACAACCGCCCAAGATGAAGGTCATGACCCCCGAGGAAGAGCGCGACCACTACAACCAGGTCATCAAGGGTGGAATCATCGGCGGATCCGTCTGCACGGTCCTGGGGCTGGGCGGCGTGATACTCGCGTCGAAGCGGTACCCTGCCTTCCGCGGACTGACGCTCCCCTTCCGCTCGTTCCTGGTGACGTCGTCGGGGACGTTTGGCGCCATTGTCAACGCCGACCGCTTCTCGGTCGAATACCAGCGCGCCCAGGACCCCAAGGCGCAGTACCGCGACTCAAGCCAGCGCGCGCTCGAGGTCGTGCGCGAGAACGAGACGGCCTATGAGAAGTTCCTCGAGTGGGGCCGCGACAACCGCTACTCGGTCGTCTTCGCCTCGTGGATCGCCAGCATGGGCGTCGCCTTCGCCCTCGTCAACCGCGCCCCCATGAGCACCTCCCAGAAGCTCGTCCAGGCCCGCGTCTACGCCCAGGGCCTCACCCTCGCCGTCCTCATCGTCACCGCCCTCTTCGAGGCCAACGATGCCCAGAAGGGTGAGGGTCGCTGGCAGACCATCCGCATCATCGATCCCAACGACCCCGAGCACAAGCACCTCATCGAGAAGAAGGTTCACAAGGAGGAGTATGAGGGTCAGGATCTCTGGAAGGGTACGTTCATCCCCACACGCCCCGTCTCCTTCCATCTTCCGAGGGAAATCATACCCCATATCTTCTGTTGCTAACAACTCCTTCTGCAGACATGGTTGCCGCCGAGGAGAGGCGCCTCGAGGCACGTCACCGGTCCGAGAAGAAGACTGCTTAAATTTGTACCCGAAGCTGTCCATCTTATTGACTTTTCCATCACGCACAAATGCCCTCCGCTCTCTTGGTATAATACATTTCTTTAGTCCCCCCCCCCCCCCCCCCTCCCTGCTCCATATAATGTACTACCCCATGTGTTACCAAAATTTTTATACATGCCATTTTGCTTTGCTTTCTCACCCGTACCCACTTTGCTTTCATATCCTGAGTCTTGCTTGGCTTCGCTGTTTTAGTCATGCATTTGTATTGGCGTCTGGTCTGGAGTTTGGTTTTCTTAGATTCGCATTTCAGTGTCAAAAGTACCAGCTCCAAAGGAAGAGAGGGGGGAGGGGGGAGGGGGGAGTGGCAGCGAGAGCGTGAGTAATGTGGGCAAGTGTCTGGACATTTTGTCCATTACATCACGACGAATTTTTACTCACTATAAAAAAACTATAGAGACCACATTGCTACATATAATATCAAAGGTCAATGAATCCAGTGATAGGTGGTGAACTGAATTTGAATCATAATAATAATAGGAACGCGATAACGGGCGAGAAAGATATAAGCGGCGGTTTGAGGCCCGCTCCCCACGATCTAAATCGTCACCGTTGGAAGCTTGATACTAGCAGTATTACTATGTAAATGCCATTTTACTATTACTCAGTAGGAGCTATACATAAACGCATATGAGATGCGAGACTATGAAATCTCTTTGCATTGATCGTTTCCTTGGGCGTCATCATCGATTTGCGGTGCTCCGTATGAAGATTTCTTCTGGTTTTGCCCAACTCCCCAACAGCCCATGTGCGGGCCGGAAAACAAAACGGAGAAAGTAACAGTTTCGAATCAAACAAAAGGCTTTTACCGATAAACAAGAAAGAAAAAAAGGGAATAAAGGAAAGATAGGGAAATAAAATACAAAAGAAACGAGAAACATGAAGCGAAAAGGGGGAGGGGGGGACGTTAGATGGGTTTGAAATACGAAAGAGAAAAAAAAAAAAGGTTATATGGTCCTTCACACTTCAATGGTAAAGTGACTAATTTGAGAATAATAGGCATGAACAGCAAGTTCAAGGATCATGACATCCCTAAAGACATCGGTGCCATCAAAGCCGCCGATGATGACCAGCCGACTATCGTACAGCAAGGCGGAGTGATAGCCCCTGCCCGAGGGGGGGCGTCCGTAGGCCTTCCGGCGATCCCAGGTCATGGTGACGAGGTTGAGGAGGAGGATGTCGTCGACGTAATCCTTGCCGTCGTGGCCGCCGACGACGAACAGGTAGGAGCCGACGATGGTGGCGGTGTGGGAGAGGCGGCCGTAGCGGTCGGGCACGTCGACGTGGCGCCAGGTGTGGTCGTCGACGTCATAGACCCAGACGTCGTCGAAGCACTCGGCGCCGTCGGAGCCGCCGTAGATGATGAGCTTGCTGCCGACCATGTTGGCGGTGTGGTAGCCGCGAGCGCGGGGCTTGAGCCGGCGCGAGGCGGGGGTGCCGACGGCGGCGGCGGCGGCGGCCGGCGTGTCGGGGGCCGACACAAGCTTCCAAGACATCTTGGTCATGTCGCTGACGTCGAGGCGCCACACGTCGTTGAGGGCGCGCACGCCGTCGCCGCCGCCAAAAACGTAGATGCCGCTGCGGTACAGGCACGCCGTGTGCGCCCGCCGCTTCGGCGGCACCCTGTCGCCCACTATGCGCGGCCGCGTCCATCGGAAGTTGGCCGTGTCGAGCACGTGCACGTCGTTGTAGTAGGCCGGCCCGTCGCCGCCGCCGAACATGACCAGCCGGCGCCCCACGGCCGTGCACGTCATGGCCCGCAGCGGCGTCGGCACCTCGCCCACCACGTGCGGCCGCGACCAGTGGAACGTGTCGGCGTCCAGCACGTAGAGATCGTTGAAGCACGCCCGGGCGTCGCACCCGCCAAACACGTAGATGCTCGACCCGATGGCCGCCGTGGCGTGCGCCCGCAGACACGGCACCGGAACCCCCGATGTGGGCGCCCGGGACCAGTACATGCCCGACGCGGGAGCTTGCGGCACGTCGGGCGCGTCTCCTGGCTTCTGGAGCGGCGGGAACGCCGTGTGCTGTCCCCGCGGCGGTTGCGAGGTGCTCGTCGGCGTTCGTGACGTCGTCGTCGCCACCGCCGTTGACGACGCCCCCGGTGCCGATGTCGATGCCAGCCACCCAGAAGACGAGGTGGACGCATGCCCACCGCCGCCACCGCCGCCTGCTGTGGTTGATGTCGACCGCGTCGCCGCCACCGTTCTCCTCCCGTAGCTGGCTAGCTTCTCGTCCACGCCGCCGCTGCCTCCGTCATATTCGTTGTCCAGCTGCTGGTAGCCGTTGACCGTCGCCCCACGACGCGGCTTGGACTTGCTGCTTCCGCCGCCGCCGTGGCTGTTGGAAGACGTCCCCGGTCTCGCGGACGAGGTGCGCGGTGAGGCCCCCGCCACCGTGGCCGACTGTGACCTCTGACGTACAGATAGGTCCGAGGGTACGCGGCGAGCGGCCGCTGCTGCCGCCGCTCCTGCCTCGTGCGAACCGCTGCCGCTCTTGGCCGATAGGTGTCCCGGCGTGTGGCTCCGGGGGAGCGGGCTGCGCTCAATAGATCCGTCCGAGGTCTCGGGGTCGACGACGTGCTGGCCGTTGCCGATGCTGCTGGTCGGGACGATGCGCTGGGCTCGGATCACTTTGCTGTTCTTGCTAGCATGGAGGGGCGATCTGCTATCGGCCGATCTGCTTGTCGAGTCTGCCATTGTCTTTACGGGAGGAGGACAACGGCCCCCAGGCGGGGCAGGGGAAAAAACAGGCCAGAGGGGGAGGAGGAGAAGGAAGTGGGCGGGAGGCAGAATTGGCCCTTCTCCTTCTCTCTCGTCTGTTTCGTACGGGGAGAAGAAGGAGGAGAAAAAGGCGGGAAGGGGAGCAGACGATCCTCGATGTCCAGGGGAAAACAATAGATGGATATATCTCTGGACAGCAAAAAAAAGACTGCAGCAGAGAAGGGGGTGAGCTCGGGATGTTGGCTGAGCCCACTATGCCGGTACTACGGAGTTTGGACCTTTTGGCACAGCAGTGACCACTGTAATGGCGGTTCCAATAGGCGTAAAAGGGTCCAATCACTCCGTATCCTTACAGGCTCGTCACGCTGCTCTGCTCGTACGGACAGCGCATTACTCCGTACTTGTGAGCAGGCAGTGGTAGCGATTACTACTAGTATTACGGTAGGTAGGAATAGTACTCGTATCCAACACCATCGGTTCGTGGCTCCGACTCCAGTCCATGGAACTCTTCCCCCACCAGTTGGTTCCTTGGGCTGAGTTGCTAGCCGTCGGGGTCGAGCGTGCGATGGGCCTAGATGAGGCGCTGTCCGTACCTCTTGCTCCCTGGGACGGCGGGGGGCACTAGCCTTCCATGTCACGGCTGGTTATATCTTATTACAGGAGAGCTAGCAATGCTAACAATGCTACAACGTTGATCGGAATATTCGGGCAGTCATGGAGACTAGTATTATGTATCAGTTCTATAGGGCGCGGCTACTAAGAAATTTACCACCGGGGGGGGGAGTAATGCACATGGGTATGCATATGCTGCTAATGTATCATTACATATTACATACTCGTAGAGAATGCCTGTGTGAACATATCAGCAGGGCACGAGTGTCTCTGTAATATGTTACCGTCTTACATTGCAATATTCCCACGCTGGATGCGGGGGCAGACATGTCCCTGTAATCCCAGCTCACCTCTCGGCCAGCGTTACAACGGGGCAGCTTCTGCCAGCCGCTCTGTCCGCATAGCACCAAGGGCGCCCTCCACGACAGGCAACGTTTCATGATATATGCCATTCTGCATTGTCCGGGGCTGTGTCTAGCCCGTCAATGTCACAGTCAGAATCAGTCGTATCCCACTGCCGCCGCTGACACGATCACGTACTCGTACGAGTACATAGAATAGTAATGCTCGGTGGTGATGATGTTGAACTCAGACCCAACCATTAAAGTACGTAACAGCTGCAAACATGCAAACATAGCGTACAGGTACTAGAAGTACAGTGCCACTGCAGATTAGTGAGTAATAATGTGACAGTGTGATTCGTGGTAGGTACGCGCGCATGCTTCCTTCCCGTTGCCGATCTTTTTTCTCAGTGAAAAAAGGGAAGGAACGACTCGTAGTCATTATTCATAAAGGAAACGCCAGGAATAATGAGGAAGCATGGAAGGTTATAGACTGAAACGGTCTTTTCAATTAAACCACACGATATTTCTGTGTACATATACTGCGCCTACGAGTCTGTCAATATATCAATTCCTCGTCCTTCTTCATGGATTGCGGCTGGAGCACAAGGAGGCATACAAAATAAAATATGGAGAGTCGATTGTGCACTAGAGGGCAGACCCTGCCCAGAACACTTCGCGGCTGGCCCGCCTTGACTACGGTACGTCAATCACAACGACACGCGACACTCGCTCATCCGACTGCACACACCGAGATCGCGGTTGAGAGCTCTAAGCCGCGATTGATCTCTTTCGTCTGTTCATCATTCTGCACGGCGGCCGTATTCACCTCGTCATCACCGGACTGCTATAGCACCTTTGTGCGTGAAAAATCCATTGGCACTCGTACCATAAGAGCCTGCCTTTCACTATCAGAGCCATGGCAGAAAACTCTGACGCCGCCAAGGCCCCGGTATCGACGCCTGCTGAGCCCGTCGTGACGGATGACGGGCCTGCTGCGAAGCGTGTTAAGCTGGACAGCACTCATCACGCCCCTGCGTCTGGAGACTCTCGGAATAAAAAGAAAGATGATGCCTCACCTACAAAACAAGAGGCCGATAACGAGGACGGCCAACGTCAGAATGACACGAGGAAGGGATTGGCACCGATCAAGAAAGAGTACGAATCACAACGTTGGTCACATTGAGAGATCAGCAACGAGGAGAAGTGGAACGGGACGGAGAATGAGAGAGAACCTCTGCTAATACGCTCCAGGTTCCTCGTCGAGATGGCGTCGCAGCGGCAGGTGGCAGATGACGATGCTGCCGAAGGCCGATCAGAGCAGCTCGGTGGCGACGCCAGGGACGCCAAGGACGCTGACGGCTCCAAGCCCCAGAAGGGCAAGAGGAAGAAGCAAAAGGGCCAGAACACGGAGCGCAGCTTTGGTCGCTTCGATGACGACCTCCGCCTGTGCAACAGCCGCGCGTATTCCCCTGAATTCTCGCCCAAGGAGTGCCGCTACGGCGACAAGTGCCGTCTCCTGCACGATCTCCGCAAGTACCTGGACGAGGGCCGTCGCGACGACGTCGAGACTTTTGGCGGCAAATGCCCTGTTTTTGAGAAGTACGGCGAGTGCCGCTCGGGCTGGAAGTGCCGCTTCGTCAGGAGCCACATGCAAGAGGTGGAGCGCGAAGACGGACGCAAGGAGCTCGTGCTACAAGGCCGAAGCGAGGATGGCCAAGACGACGGCGGCGAGTCCCGCCCCGATGTGGGCAACGTCGTCCCCATGAGCGTCAAGATTGAACTGAACCGCAAGCGGACCGACTTCTCCAAGGCCGACAGCTACATCAAATGGCTCAACAAGGAGGCCCAGATGAGCGACAACTTCAACAACCACCGCCAGAAGGACCAGACCAAGGAGGAGAGTATGGAGGAGATGCGCGCCCAGTTCGTCGACCCGCCCTTCAAGGCGTCAGAGAAGAGACGCCTGTACTTTGGGCCCGAGACCCCCGTGCTGGCGCCCCTTACCACTCAGGGCAACCTGCCCTTCCGTCGGCTCTGCGTCGAGCTGGGCGCCCAGCTGACGTACTCGGAGATGGCTCTGGGCCTACCCCTGCTGCAAGGCACAAACGCCGACTGGGCCCTCATGAAGGCTCATGAGACGGAGCTGCAACCCCCGCGCGTCTCGCCGCCCACCACCGGCAACGGCAACAGCACCGTTCCCGTCTTCGACAACGGCGGGTACGACCACGCGCGAGACATCCGCTTCGGCGCGCAGATCTCGGCCAGCCAGCCGTGGGTGGCGGTCAAGGCGGCCGACGCGCTGAGCCGCTTCTGCCCGCAACTGCGACTCATCGACCTCAACTGCGGCTGCCCGATCGACATGGTGTACAAGTCCGGCGGCGGTTCCGCCCTCCTCGACTCGCACGGCAAGCTTGAGCGCATGATCCGCGGCATGAACGCCGTATCGGGCGAGGTGCCGGTGACGGCCAAGATCCGCACAGGAGTCCGCCAGAACCGCCCCACGGCATGGCAGGTGATGAACAAGCTCGCCTTTGGCGGACGCGAGCACCGCGAGCGTCTGGGCGCGCCGGGCTGCGCGGCCATCACGCTGCACGGCCGCAGCCGCGAGCAGCGTTACACCAAGCGCGCAGACTGGGGCTTCATAGCCGAGAGTGCAGCCCTGGTCAAGACGTACAACGAGGAGCTGGCCCGGCTGACAGACACGGCCGCCGAGCCTGACCCGAGAACGCAGCCAAGCGCGGGGCGCCTCTTCTTCATCGGCAACGGTGACTGCTACTCCCACGTCGACTACCAGAACCACATCGACGAGGCCCGCGTCGACAGCGTCATGGTCGGCCGTGGCGCCCTCATCAAGCCCTGGCTCTTTGAAGAGATTGAAAAGGGCCAATACCTGGACAAGTCCGCCTCGGAACGCCTGACCTACATCGAGAAGTTTGTCCGCTACGGCCTCGAGGCATGGGGCTCCGACGAGCTGGGGATAGGCTTCACCCGTCGCTTCCTCCTCGAGTGGCTCAGCTTCTCCCACAGGTACATACCCGTCGGCCTGCTCGAGCATCTACCTCCCAACCTGAACGATAGGCCGCCCGCCTATAGGGGAAGGAATGACCTCGAGACGTTGCTGGCTTCGGATAATTATCTCGACTGGATCAAGATTTCGTATGTCCATCTTCCCCTCTTCCCGTTTCTCCTTCCTACTTCTGCCATGTCAATCAATCGGGCTAACAACAACAACAACAATAAAGCGAAATGTTCCTCGGTCCCGTCCATCCGGGTTTCAAGTTCCAGCCTAAGCACAAGTCTAATGCTTATGAAACTGAGGGTTGATTTGTTTCTGCGTTTCACTGTAGTACTTCATTCACTCGCACACAATCAAACAGCTACAAGGCGAAAAGTAGGGGAAAAAAGTGGAATTTAGATAGATGATAAAAGAACACCGTTTTGTTTTTGATCTTCTCGTGCAAAATGTTTGATACACGCGCGCCCCTTCCCCCCCCCTCCGAGAAAAAATACGGTTATAATAGGTAATAATGGATGGCATGAATGGATGACATGAAAGAGAAAACAACAACCGCTAGAGCAGGATAACCATGTGAAAGATATATAAGATAGGTAATCTTTTTTAAACCAGTCCAAGAAAACAAACTCAGGAATGAGAATGTTGGAGAGGAAGCAAAGGAAAAAGGAAAGGAGCCAAAAGGATAAGAGAACAGGTGGTTATCAATTAAGGTGTCCGCTTCCCACAGACTCAAGAATAAAAGTGGCTCCTCTGCATGCCGTCAACAGTAGCATGAACCAACTCCTTCTTCGGGTCAGAAGCCTCGCTTGCACTGGTAAGCGAGTTTGCACGGCTGCTCTCGCTAGCAGGTGTGGCTTTGATGGCCTTGACGTCAGCCTTGGCACCGACACCGCCGGGACGCCTGAGAACCTCGAGGTACGTTGAGGGGAGGTAGCCCTGGCGCCCGTCACGCGAGCGGCACTGCCACCAGTCGCTAGGGTTGCCCAAGGGGTCGTTCTTGCTGAGGACGGCGACGAGGTCACCCTTGCGGGCCTCGAGCTCGACGCCCGTGTTGGGCTGGGGGATGAAGTCGTACAGCAGACGGCAGAACTCGAGCTTGGACGGGTCGAGCGTCTGCTGCTGCTGCTGCTGCATAGCCATCTGCTGCTGCTGGAGGCGCTTCTCCTCTTCCTCATGCGACGCGGCGAGGGACTTGATCGCCTTGGACATGAGGTAGGGGAGGCCAAAGGCCGCGAGGATGAAGAAGAAGAGGGGCTTGCGGCTGGCACGCGGGGGGCCGGCACCGGCAGCTGAGCTGCCACGACCCTCGAAGCGGGCAAAGGCTGCGGGGGTTAGGGCCATGGCGTCGGCTGGTGGGGGGCGGCCGGTGATCTTGGCTACCAGGGTGCGTATCCAGCGCATCAGGGTGAAGATGCCCAGGAGCGAACCCAGCGTGTCGCGGAGGTTGCTGAATTGCTCTGCTACCGAGACCATGGCTGGTGGGGGGTGTTGGCATTTGGCCTTCAGAAGAAAAGAAGGAGAGGAAGGGAGAAGACTTACCAAAGAAGCTCGAGTGCGTAGCCATGTACGTGCTCTCCAACATCTGAGAGAAACCGCCAAACGTAGCGACGATCCCCTCGAGCATCTGGAAAGTGGCGGCAGTGCTGTTGCTGAAGCGGTTGGTCAGGCTGTTGGGGTCGTTGCCCATCATGCCCCCCGGCATACCACCATACATGCCGCCACCCATCATGCCACCGCCGTACATGCCTCCTCCGTACATCCCACCGCCCATCATGCCGTTTCCGAAGCGCGAATACGGGCTCGAGTAGGGGGACGAGTACGCGCTGCCACCGTACGCGCCGCCGTATCCGCCGCCGTACGGCGACGCCCCCATGGGCGAGCCCCCCATGCGGCTGTAGTTTGAGGTGTTCTGGTTGGCTGCCGAGGCGAGGGACGACGGTTTCTCAGGCACGGGTGGTGCAGCAGAGGATGTGGCGGTAGTCGAGGGTGTCGCGGTGGTCGTCGACGCGACGGGTGTGGCCGTGGCAGTCGCCGCACCGGCGCCAGCCCTCTCCCAGGGCTTAGGAGGCGAGGCCATGACGGTGATATTTTAGATCTGTGGGTGTATATGGAGAATCGCGGCCCCTAACTATGGCAGCGTCGCCGCCGCCGCTGTCGGCGTTTGGGAAGGGATGAAACCGTGTTGTATGACGTCGGATATCGAACCCTTGGGACGAAAAGAGCTGTTTCAGGATGTAAACGATTCGTGATTCTATTTGATCCGCAGATCGGTGGTTGAGAGTAGGCGGGGTGAATGAGTGTGTGTGTGTGTGTGTGTGTGTGTGTGTGTGCGGAGAAATCGTGATGGGCAGAGATAGATAGAATATGGTTGATGGGATGCAGATTTGGGTGGCGACCGAATCGTCCAATTATTACCGGGGGAGGGAGGTTTTGCGGGGCCCTTGGTAGGTTGGTATACCTCTGTTGGTGTGCCCTTAAGAGTTTCCTAACTCCCTTTCCAACGTGGAGGGAAGGAGAGAACGATGGCGGAACCAGGTCTTGGCTCTCTCCTGCCGTGTGTCTGCTGTTTCGTTCTTTGCCTCGGTTCTCGGCGACAAAATCCGACGGTGGAAGGGCCTGTGATGGTGATTATGTAATTTTAGGATATGCCAATCAGTGTACAGATCTGTACAGATTACAGATTACAGATTACAGATTTACTCCCATTCATTAGTACAGAGAGTGGTGATGCTGATGGCCTCCGTCACCACCCGCCGCCCAGTAAGCTACCCGAGAGTATCATGCCCAAGAGTCTTGGTCCGTATATAGACGTCAATACAAACGTGTAAATACATCTAGCAACCACCCTTCCTCGTCCTTACTTGTTCTTCTTAAACCCGACGCGCCATGTCAGATTATCTGTTTTGACTATGAATGAAAAACGACCACTCAGTCCTGATCTCGTCGCCAATCCCTTCATCAAGAAACGCAACCTCAACTGGACCATCTCGCCACCTGCCACCAATAAGCTAGATCATCAAGATGGTGATGCTGACGATGATGATGAGGCGTCCGAGGACCACGACAACGACGACAACCCGACAACAGCAGCCATCGAGGCAGGCCACTCCTCTATAACAGACCACCCATCTCTGTTCAGCAACGTTCTCAAACGCCATACCCTACCCTCGGCACCCATCTTACTGCCCGTCCAGTCCTGCGTGGACCTCTACAGATCGTGCATCAACAGCCCCCAGGGCGCCCACTTCGTCATCCACCAGCACGACCACCCCGTCGCAGGGACACACTACGACCTCCGTCTGCAGATCAACCCATCCAGTAGCGTGAGCTGGGCCGTCATGTATGGACTACCCGGTGATCCCAATAGTAGTCGGCTGAATCGCAATGCAACCGAGACGCGAATCCACTGTCTATGGGTATGTTTCTCAATTTCTTCCTCGACTTCTTCCTTCCCTGTTGCTCTTGTTCATTCACTCACCGTGTCCTCACATGATCCCATGATCACTGACACCCAACCTGAAAGAACCACATCATTGAAACGGCTTCAGAAACAACAGGTTCCCTCTTAATCTGGGACGCAGGGACATACTCCATTCTCCCTGCCCAGACTCCGCCCATTGACCCATCATCAGACAACGATCACTCCTCCTCCTCTTCCTCCCCACCCCGTACCGCGTCCCAGCAAACTCTTCTACACGAGGCCTTTCAGCAGCGCAAGATCCGTGTCCGTCTCCACGGTTCTCGCCTGCCAGATCCCTACGTCCTCAACCTCCGTTTGACCAAGAAGGAAGATGCTGCAGGCCGGTCCCGTCGTCCAGCTGCACGGCGGCGCGGAAAACCCACCTCACCCGAGGAAACAAGCGACAACGAGAATGGAGCAGAAGAAGATGGAGCTATTGTTCCCAATAGCCATGGAAACAACGAGGCCTTGTCTGCTATGGAACGTGAGATGCGCGAATTGGAGGACCAAGAAGTACGTCAGACAAATGCTTACCCCGGCGCGACCAACACCATCGGTAGTGTCCACCAGCGGAAGTGGTATCTCAGTCTCGACAGAGTGGCCTGTGGTCTCATAGAGGGCAGGGATAAAGTCTGGAGGCGCCGGTCCGGGGACGCGACAGCGTCCGACGGACATGGGCATGAGGATGCGCACGGCGAACGCCTTACATACCCCTTTTACGTCCGCGGGGCAGACCACGAGCGTAGCGTCGTGACGGCCAGGAAGGGTGAGAATGTCCTCTTCGACGAGGGAGTCGTGGGCTTTATTAGACGAAGAGGTTGGAAACCGATATTGTCATGATGTCTGCTGCACAGCATACGAATGATATCACGACAGCCTTGTTCTTTGTTTCATATTTGTTTCCACACCTACTATACAGCTAAGCGATGTGTCACCTGGCAGGAATCAAACAAAAAAGATATGGTGACGAAAGAAGGCAACATGTGTCTCTTGAGAAAAAAGAAGCAGTATTCAGCAGAAGCAATCCTGCATTCTGTCCTTTCGTATCTTGGGGACTGATCAGTAAGAAAAAAAAGCAAAAAGCCCGACTCCGTTGCTACACCTGTACACCTTGATCCGAAACAAACTGATAGAAAGAGAGGAAAAGAATAAACGCCGTTCCATATCCTGGTACACCTTGTCCGACTTAGGTACGGAGCACGGTTTGAACAGCTGCTCTGCCGTAGCCAAGCCTCATTATGACGAGAGAAGAACGATATCAAAAGCGAGAACCGGGTCGCTAACCAACAAGTAGTGATTCAGAGAAAAGTGAGAGTGAGAACAGAACTCAGGCATCTGACTGACCAACCGGAGTCGGCGCGATACGTCGCTTCTTGGGCTCCTTGATCTCCTCCTTCTCACTCTCGCTGGCATCCCTCTTGGTACCGGCAGTGCTGGTGACTCCCGACGCGCCGTTGCTCCCGGGTGTCTCCGGCGGTGTCGTTATAGGAACGCCCGTGACCTTGCCCGAGTTAGCGGCCGCGATACCGGGTACGCTACCGCCCACGAGGGTAGGGTTACTCTTGACGCCACCTGCGGGCACGACAGAAGACTGCGTGGCAATGGATGACGTCGAGTTGGACCGTGCAGGCGAGTGCGGTCGTTGCGGAGTGACAACCGCAGCGGCGGCGGCAGAAGAAGCGGAGTACGCTGCAGATACCGGCGGCGGCGAGGGGGCAGTGAAGCTGCTGCCGGCCCCTGCCGAGGTCCGCTGCTGGCCGCTGGCCGAGTTGGATCTATACGGTGACGGGGGTGCGAATTGCGGGAAAGGTGTGGCAGCTGGGGTGTTGTGGGTTGACGATACGCCTGTGGCGGCTGACTTGGGGGGACCGATCTCGCCCTTGAACACTTCTCCCAGCTCCCCGGGTGCGAATGATAGACTTGAGCAGAAGCCATCAGAGGACGACACCATGAGTGTGAGACCGTCACTCGACCTGTAGCGGGTGAAGGCTTGTCAGTAAGAGCGATATCGCTTCTGACGTATGTTGAGCGGAATTAATTGGGTTTACGTACCATGCCAGGTCGGTGAATGTTGCACAGTGCAGGTTGCTCACGACACAGATGGGCGTCTTCTGCTGCGTGTCATACAACAGGACCGAATCCTGCGTTGCCACTGCATATATGATGCGGTAGTTGAGAGAGAAGGCGGGCCTTGGTCCGTTAGGGTTGGCTGAGACTGCATCCATCGCTCCCGCTCCCCTGGCGTCGGGCGTTGCAGATATTGTCGGAGGGGGCGGGGGCTCCATGCCAGGAGCTCCGGGCGACGGTGCCGAAAGAGGCTCGGGTAACAGGGGCATCAGCTCGTCGGAGGATGACGTATCAATGGCGATGTGCTTGGTGGCTGGCGGGTTCTGGCGCAGCGTGTAGATTACAGGCGAGCACTTGACCACTACCGAGGGCTTCTTGTGGCCCGGTAGATGCGCCACCGGAGGCTTGTTGATGCCGCCTCGAGTGTAGATGTAGACAGTGTTGATGACTTCGGTGGTGGGCTTCGAGTCCTTGTCTGTCTGCTGCTGGTTCTGGTACTGACCGGAGGGCGTGAGAAGCAGACTACCATCCGGCGTGAAGGTGAGGCGGCGGAAGAAAGAGGTGAGAGTCTCATTCGCGTACAGGGCGGCATTCTTCATACCCGTTCCCATGGTGGCAGACGTGACAGAGGGCTTGGGGGAGGCCTCCATGGGCATGACGGCAGGCAGCGGCATCGACGGAGCTGGGGAGACTGATCGGCGCGACGACGAGAAGGACGAACGGCGGCTGTGGCTAACAACGCTTGGGGGGTTCATGGGCAGCGCGGCCGAAGTAGGCGTCCCCGGGGCAGAGGGAGCAGGCGAGCCGATCGACGCAGCAGAGTCAACGGCCGAGAGCTGAGCCCGGTGACCAAAGTCGGGCGGCACCGGGCTGCTCGACGAGATGCGCCGGGGGGGCAGGTCGGCCTTGACATGGCTGGCGAGCTTTGGCGTCTTGTCATCGGAGCCCAGTGTATAACTTCCGTCCTTGGTCTTGAGGGAGTAGATGTGCACCGACCGGTCGGAAGACTGCGTAGCAATGTACTCGTTGAGGGGATCCCAGCACACGCCCTGGACGTAATGGCTATGCTCGGCAATCTGACGGACGAGCGTTCCTGCACGGTGACAGTCAGCAAACGCGTGAATCGGCAAGCGTCACACACGACGAGAAAGGATCTGCTAGAAGGGGTCTGCTTACCCGAGTTGGCATTGTATATGCGGGCAATGTTGTCCATGCTGCCGATGATGAAGTGCATCGAGTCGGGAGACCATGCCAAGTCGTATATCTCGGCGCCACTCGACCGGCACATGTGCTTAGCGCGCCATGATTCCTTGTCGTCGAGGGAGTCGGAACCAAAAGTGTTGGGGGGGGTGTCGCTTGGGACCCAGAGGATCACGTTGCCGTCGTCACCGGCCGAGGCTAAGAGTTCACCTGGGATAGCAAAGAGGGGCTTGTCAGCATGGCCGGGATGCCGGGGGACAATGGGAACAGATGACCCAAGGAGGTAAAGGAGCATACCTTGCGGGGCCCACCGAACGACGTTGACAGCCTGGTTGTGTTTGGCGAGGGTGGCTAGGTATTCGACCTTGCGCTCAGGACCCTGACTGTCGACGTTCCAGATACGGACGTTATTGTCACCACCGGCAGTGGCCAAGCGTCCCTTGCCGGCGGGCTCGAAATGCGCCGAGTAGACAGGTGCATTTTGATCATGCCAATTGACGATGAGAGGCGTAGCCTTCATGGCGTCGTGGTAAGTCTGGAGTGGTGATGGTGGTGGTGGTGGTGGTGGTGGTGATGGTGGTGGTGAAGCTGCATGGGATGACGGGCTAGTAGGCAAACGCGGCGCGCGCTTGGCGGGCCGTGTAGACGCTCAACCCAGGGATGAATTGAGCCCCCCAGTAAGGGCACACAAGGCGAGACAAAGGGGCTAGATGGTGACGACGGGCGAGGGTCGAGTTTTGCAGAGCTGGAAAAGGTTCCGAGACGGAGCTGAATGACAATGTTGGGCGGGCTTAGAGAGTTTAATAGTCGAAGTTGAAGTAGGGGAAGAGACGGAGCAGAAGAAGAGAGTGATAATCTCAATATTACCGTCGTCAGTCCATGGGACCAGGCTAACAGGTTTGGGTTGGGAAGGTGCAGTTCTCTTTAGCCCTAGAAGGAGGATCGACGAGGGTGAAAGGATGCAGGGAAGCTTGCAGAAGGGAAAGCGCGAAAGGGTGGGTGATACAGAGTGCAGACAGCATGAAAGTGATTTTGATAGGATTAACGGGATTCCTACAAGTTGACGCCTTCGATCCATGGCCTTCTTTTTCGGTTGTCTTTCTGGAGTATTACTGGTTTTACGGTACTCTGGATTATCATGTACTACTCGTACTAGTGGTAGTAATAATAGTACCGCCGCACTCGTACGGAGTACGGATAGAGGTGGCAGCATTGCAATCTATCGTGTATTAGCAGTTACTCATAGTGCTTGTACTACGAGTCTCATCATTATCATGGACACTGTCTTCCTTCTTGGTGAATGTTGTTATTACAATAACTGTACGTGTACTTGTACCTGCACAGGCCGTATTAGTATAACACTTGGCTGTCTTGGCTTGTTAGGGGAGCGTGTCTTAGTAATAGTACACCACTATACCTGTATTCGTAGCATGAGCCCCACTCCATTCCATCGATCCTCTGCAAGGCTCTGTAGTGCTTCCATCGCAGTGCTTCACAGCGCTTATATGGACGTTGAGACTCGACGGGCGACTTCATGTGTGAGGACACGAGAGCCTTGAATGTGAGTCGGTAGCTGTCCGTCCCCATTCGATGACCAGAAGTTGGCCGTTGGCAGCTGTTCGGCGCGATGTGCTTCAGCTCGTCAGGATCAACGCTGAGCGCAGGGGGCCTACAGCTGCCTGTAATATAATATGTACTACTGCATTATATGCGAGGCGTCCTCCAGGGAGCATTACGGGTGGTCACCCGTGCAGTTATTTCCACCGTGTCTTACAGTGGAATATCTCCAATGGTCCATGGTCATGGATAGGTCCATCAAGGCCAAGGGCTCCGGCTGTCTTACGCATGTAGTCACTAGTGAGGCGTCTATCCATCCATATGCGTTGCTCGCATGCGTAACTCGTATGCACACTTTGCATGAACGGAGACGGATGCCTTCAGGGCCTTCCATTTTTTCCTTTGCCTCACAGTCTCACCAAGCAGGAGCCGTACGATTAGGTCGAGCCTTCCTCATTCATAGGCTATAGCAAGCATGCCGTATCATTGCCAGGTCAGACTCACCATCTCCCCTCCCCCTCCCCTCCCCTCCCCTCTCTCCTTTCCTTTCTCCCCTTATCTTCTTCCCCTGTCTTCTTCCCTGATTCCTTCTTGGTCCCATATACTCGTATATCATGGGTAAGTTGCAAGGCAGCCTTAGTCCATCACTCAATCACTCCCTTGAGTCCTCCCCTTCCCGATCCACCTCTCTAGGGCCTCTGTTGCTTCTGGTGCATGCCTGCCCCATCCTGAGCAAACGACATGCACTAGTACGTTACCATCCGTAATCACGGTCTACCCACCACCAATATCCAGGTCCGACACACACGAGCTGATTCCCACAATATACATGTGCGAGAGCCGAAGCTGTGTCACATTGACCGTGGGTCAGATGGCCGCGGTTCGCCATGGCCCCGAGCCCTTGTTAGCCAAGACGCGGGGAGTCCAACAACGCCAGGCAACCAGAAGAAGGCATACCCGGCCGCCGCGCAAACGCATGCCATAATTCGAGCTGGTATCAACACACTCGTGCAGCTATAGGTAGAGATTGAAGATGTGTGTGCGAGTGTACGAGTACGTGTCGCGCTAGACATCTCGGCCCATGACTCAACGTATTCCCGCCTACTCATACAGGAAAGGTGGTATACTCTCTTGACCCTATCTATTGCTGACACCCCCAGATTTTCTCCACCCGTTCGAGCATAATACGCCGAACGTGTCTAGGAAATCGAACCCTTTGAATCTTGCCACAAGCTAGACTACGACTTCGACTGTGACTATGATGAGTGCTAGTGATAACTACTGCGGGGCGAATACTACAGAGTGCGGGATGACTGTACAAACTCCGCCATAGGTCCCAGGATGAACCCCAAGATGAGCACATCCGTGATGACTACTTGACGACTGGTCATTGCAATCAATAAACGGTCAGCCCCATATGGATCTTTTGACAAGATGACAAGAGAAACGCCTATCGGCCAACCAGCCGTTGACAAGGGTACTGTCAAGTGTCCGGGAGTGACGGAGAAGGTGAGTGGGCTTCACCACCGTAACATCGTCGCAATCAGGGCGGTTGCCTCTATCATCAAAAAGTCCCTTGACCTTGCATATTTCTTCCTGCGCTTACACTGAGACGCAACTCTGTAACCCGACTTTCTAGATTTCGTTCTGCGCAAGTTTCCCGTAATCCGTAACACGTTAATAGCCAGCTGGCCGTCCTCTTCTTGATGACGCCATTCTGACTGTACTTTACGGCTTCAAATACAAATAATTCCCAACAAGCACTTACTTGTATTTTGGTAAGTAAGAATCCCGTCGTTTGTTTCTTACTTTTTGCTCGTGTTGTTCTCGCCATGATACTACCCTGAGAGCCATCTTGATTCCCTTCTTTCTCCTCCTTCTCCTCCTTCCTTTCCGTCTTCCTCCTTTCCTCCACTTTATGTTTATAAACGCCGGTAACAGATTCACTATCACTGCGAGCTTTGAGGGCTGAGTCGCGTCTTCACCATGGGCTACAACCCATTTCTCCTATCGCCTTCTGCGAGCGCGCTGGTACTTACGTCCCTATCGTCTATTCCAGCAATCGCAGCTGTTGTCGATCAAATCCGTAAAGGCGCGCCCAAGGATAACTTCTATGAAGATCGCGATGGAGAGAGTACACCAGAGGCTATTGCTGCTTTCTCTAATAAGGCCTCCAAGATTACCGTACTCGCCTCCGCTTTACTCGGTCTTGTTACTTCTGCTGCAATCTCAGTCTTGACAACTCTTGATGCCGATAGAGGAGATCAATTCCTGGAGAATTGGCTTACCACGGCTGCCTGGGTATGATCACATCTGTGTGATCTGAAAGCAAGAGCAAACAAGTTTTGCGCAACGTGCTAACGTGGTCTGTGGCCGACACATATAGGTTCTGATTGTGACCCAGTCAGTCAGTATGAGTGCCATCCATGAGCCTGTTCGTGTTCACGATCTCGGGCTCTGGTCATCTATGTCCTCCGTCGTGCTCCTCTCCGTCCTTATTCTCCAGGCTTTTACCGTATCGGCCGCAGACAAAGCGCACCGCTGTCGGAATGATGCGGTCCTCGGACTGCGCCTCACCAACATTGCCATGGCGGTTGTCATCCTGTTTGCAAGTGTCCTCATCCCTCGCCGCCCCCACGTCTTCTTCCGCGATGCGCTGGTCGACCCCCAGCGCACGTCCTCTCTCCTCAACCGCTTCACCTGGACTTGGACGGGCCCAATTCTTGACCTGGCCGCCAAGAAGGGCGATCTCGAGAGCAAGGACATCCCGCAGCCTGACCACACCATTCGAACCGAAAATGTCATGGCCGACTGGAAAGCCTACAACTTCAAGGGGAAACTCATCTGGTCCATCTTGTACGCCTACAGGTGGCGGTTCGCTACCCAGTGGACTGTCACCGTCTCCAAGTGCATCCTGGGTGTTGGTCCGTTCTGGGTCATGCGCAAACTCATCAATATACTCCAGGAGCGCGGTGGGGGAGGTTCGCCTCCCTACACCCTCTGGGTGCTTGTCATATCGCTTGGCCTCCTCGGCCTCATCGAACAGGTAGCTGCACCTAGCCTTAGATACCACACTTGTGAGGAACGAAGGCTAATGATTTTGTCCCATCGCATCAGTGGATGGACGGATGGATTCAATACTACTCTACTGCCATGATTGCGCAGCCCCTTAGGGCCCAGCTGTCGGCACTCGTCTATGAGAAATCACTTCGGCGCAAAAACGTGAAGTCGGCTGACAAACCAAAGACGACCGAAAAAATCCCCGGTGGCCAGGCAGGAGATAGCCAAGAGGCCTCGAACAGCGCGGCACATGGAGCTGACTCTGGGGATGGAAGCAACAGATCAACCGCCATCAAGGACAAAGCCAACGACGAGAAGGATGAATCTGCATCAGATGAAGATTCGAGCGTGCTCAAATCCCGCCAGGCTATTGTCAACCTTGTCGGTGTCGACGCAAGGCACGTTGCCAGCTTCGCCGGTATCCAATACTACATCATCTCTAGTCTTGGAAAACTCCTAATCCTGTCTGCCTTCCTTATCCAAATCCTTGGCTGGATCCCCTTCGTGACTGGCATAACAGCCTGGGGACTGTCGCTGCCATTCAACACCTTTGCTGCCAAGAGCTACCTTAGATTCAGCGAGGCGGTGATGAAGGTCCGAGACGAGAAATTGGCCATCGTCAACGAGGCCTTGCTGGGAATCCGCCAGATCAAGTTTGCGGCCCTAGAGCCGCAATGGGAGAAGCGAATCATGGAAATGCGCGACAAGGAACTCGAGGTAACATGGAAGATGTTCTTGAGTGACACATGCCTGTTTGGCTGCTGGATAGCCAGCCCCATTCTCCTTGCTGCGACGTCCCTCGCCACTTACGCCATAATCCACGGTGAACTTTCGCCTTCTACCGCATTCGTGAGTATTAGTGTCTTCAAGTCTCTCGAGCTGGCCCTCGGTGCCATGCCGGAGATTCTCACCACTGGATTCGACACCCTCGTATCGATCAGGCGAATCGATACCTACCTCTCCGGACCGGAGATGAAACAGGCTGTCTCCGAAGGGAGCGACGTGGCGTTCGAGAACGCAACGATCGCCTGGCCTGTGGATGAGGAGGTGGATGAGGAAGATCGCTTCACACTGAGCGGCCTCGACCTTTTGTTCCCTCCTGGAGAGCTCTCCGTTGTCTCCGGCAAGACCGGTACCGGGAAGAGCCTGATACTTTCCGCACTGATCGGAGAGGCTGATGTCCTAGGCGGCAGGGTCGTGATGCCGCTAACGGTACCGCCGCTGGAGCGTCATGATGACAAGGCTAATGCTAGTAACTGGATCCTTCCCGGCTCAGTTGCCTACGTGGCACAGACCCCTTGGCTCGAGAGCGCTTCGCTGCGAGACAATATACTGTTTGGCCTCCCGATGGACGAAACACGATATAACAAGGTCCTTGCCGTCTGCGCCCTTCGTAAGGATCTCCAGATCCTCACAGAGGGCGACAAGACGGAACTAGGCGCCAACGGTGTCAACCTCAGCGGCGGACAGAAATGGCGTATCACTCTGGCGAGGGCCATTTACTCCCGTGCTGGGATCCTCATCATGGACGACATCTTTAGCGCTGTCGACGCGCACGTTGGAAGGCACATTTTCGAAGAATGCATTGGTGGCGACATCTGCAAGGGCCGAACTCGCATCCTCGTTACCCACCACGTCGGACTGGTCCAGCCACTCGCCAAGTTCATCGTCGAGCTTGGGGACGACGGTGTGCTCTACTCAGGCTCAACGGAACAGCTCATCGAAGACGGTACACTGGAGAAGATCAAAAGGATGGAGAGCCCCCTGACCGCGGAACCGAGCCAGGAGATTGGCGAGTCGTCGATGGCCGTGAGCTCCGACGGGGCATCAACGCAAGACAGTGCGAATGATGACAATGCCGTCCCCAAAACCAACGGCTTGGATGACGCTCAAGGGAAGAAGTATGTCCAGGAGGAGACTCGCCAGACAGGCAACGTCAAGAGCAGGGTCTACCTTGCCTACCTGAAAGCTTGCGGTGGCTTGTCATACTGGATCTTGTGCTTTTCAGTCTATCTCGCATTCGAGACCCTCAACCTTGCGCGGGCCTGGTGGGTCAAGGTCTGGACCAGCAGCCACCGCGACAGTTCCATGGTTGTCAACTCGTACGACGAGCACGACTATGTCTACGGCCTTTCCCTCCAACAGCCGCGGCAGAGCGCTTTCCATGCTTTCAGCAGCCCTGTGGTTGCCCAGTCCGACAATGGAGATCTCAAGTACTATCTCGGTATATATGTTGGCCTTTCGGTGATTGGCGCAATCGTTGGAACTTCCCGTTTCTTCTGGTCCTTCTACATCAGCCTCAAGGGGTCGCGTGTCCTATTTTCCCGCATCCTGCATACGGTTCTGAGGACTCGCATCCGGTGGTTGGACACGGTGCCTGTAGGCCGTATCCTCAACCGCCTGACATCAGACTTCGAGATCATCGACCAGCGCCTGGCTCTGGATATGGGTCTGGTTGCATGGCAAGCCTTTAGCCTCTCCGCCATCTGCATTGCCGGAGCTCTCGTATCGCCGTACATCCTGCCGCTATCGATCGTCCTCATCGCCACGTCCATCTTTATAGGAAAGAAGTACCTGAACGGAGCGAGACCCCTCAAGCGCCTCGAGAGCACGACCAAGTCTCCCGTGTTCGAGCTCTTCAACGCCACGCTCTCGGGGATCACGACGCTGCGGGCCTTCCAGAAGCCTGGGACCTACGTCGACACCATGTACAAGGACCTCGACCTGTTCGGCTCAGTTTCTGTATACATGCTGAACGCGAGCCGCTGGCTGGGATTCCGCATGGCCATCATAGGCACCACATTCACCACGATCGTTGGCATCGTCGTCATCCTCAGCCATGGAATCAACGCTGCCCTAGCGGGGTTCATACTCTCCTTCTCCCTCGACTTCGCCTTCAGCATGTCCCTCGCCATACGCATCTACTCCAATCTCGAGCTGGACATGAACGCTACCGAACGTGTGATTGAATATGCCGAGCTCGAGACCGAGGCGCAGGACGGCGTCGAGCCTCCCGCCGCCTGGCCAACGTCTGGCAGCGTCGAAGTCAAGAACCTCGAGGTCGCCTACGGCGACGGCCTGCCGCTCGTGCTCAAGGGCATCAGTTTCGATGTCAAGGACGGCGAGAGGATTGGCGTCGTTGGTCGTACTGGCGCCGGAAAGTCGTCGCTCACCCTGGCCCTGTTCCGCTTCCTCGAGGCTAGGTCCGGGTCCATCATCATTGACGGACTGGACATTTCCAAGCTGGACCTCCACGCTCTACGTTCGCGACTCGCCATCATCCCTCAGGTAAGGAGTCCACGTTCCTGTTCCATCTTGACCTTCTCTATGCTGACATGAGAAAATAAACAATACAGGATCCAGTCCTCTTCTCAGGTACTATCCGCAGTAACCTCGACCCTTTTGAGGAGCGCAGCGACAGTGAGCTCCGAGAGGCCCTCGCGCGCGTGCACCTCGTCGACTCGGCCTCGTCGACGCCGACAGTGGTGAGCACGGAGCCCTCCTCGTCAGCCGCCGCATCGACGACCCTGTTGCCCCAAAACACCAACATCTTCCGCGACCTTTCAAGCCCCATCTCCGAGTCCGGGGGTAACCTGTCCCAGGGGCAGCGGCAGCTCCTCTGCCTGGCGCGGGCCATCGTTTCCCTGCCCAGGGTCATGGTGCTCGACGAGGCTACGTCGGCCGTCGACATGTCGACCGACGCGCTCATCCAGCGCAGCATCCGCGAGGAGTTTACGGGCAGCACGCTCATCGTCATCGCGCACCGTCTCAGCACCATTGCCGACTTTGACCGCATCCTTGTGCTCAGCGAGGGTCAGTCGGTCGAGTGTGGAACGCCGCGCGAGCTGTGGGAGAGGGAGGGCAGCATCTTTAGGGATATGTGTGATAGTAGTGGTGAGAAGGATAAGTTGAGGGAAAAGATTTTTTGAAAAGGGTTCCCAGATTCTCTCTCGGGTCTCGCTCTCGCTCTCTCTCTCTCTCTCTCTCTTCTTCTGTCTAATCTATGTTATTATTTGATATGACGTGCTTTCTTAAACTACGAGGACAATATGGCAAAAAGAACAATATTTTTTCCACTGGTTTATATACACCTGATTTGGCCATTTGATTTGATGTGGCTCTTTATTTTTGATGTCCTGCTGGAAAGTCTCGTTTTCCATTAAACGAATTGGAATATTATACACGAGGACCACGTGACAAGAGAATACACAGTTGATTTCGGTTCGATAACCTTACTCGGGGTACGTTGCGCTTGGCTTGGCTGACTTGCCCAGACAAGAAATATACAGTGGTGTCGAAAGAGAGACGAGAGATGGGAGTGTCAACGACTTGATAGACCAGCCCTGGCAGTAACGCCGACGTTGCTCGCATGGGCAAGGAGAAACTTGCAGCACGTAAGTGTAAGCTTACAAGCCTTTGTCCAGCCGTCGTCCTGGGCGATGCCCAGCTTGATGCTGACGTCGGAGATCTTGTCGCCGTCAATGCGGTAGGGCAGGCTGAGAGTGTTGCCGGTGGCCTCTGTCTGACGCTCGACGTGCAGGCCGAGCTGGCGGACGAGTTCGAGGAAGGCGACCATTGCGTTGTCGAACTTTCGGTGCATAAAGGTGAGGCCAAGGGGCATGTCACCCGAGCTGTAGAGTTCGAGGACATGCTTCTTTGGCGGCAGAGGATGATGGCTAGTGTGAGGAGCGGCAGAGGCCGCTGCGGAGGTAGCAACGTGTCGACTGGACGAGGGGCTGGGGGTCTCGTAGCGGATGATGGTCGAGGTGCTGCCCATCGGACGGGGTTCGTAGCCCTGGAAGGTGTAGCCGAGCTTGTCGGCCACGGTGACGAGGAGGAGGAGAGAGTGGCCCCAGGCGGCGTTGATCTCGGGCCAGTCGACGGGCTTGGTGGACAGGCGGCCGAGGCGGAGGCCGTTGATGGTGGCGAAGCTGCCGTCGTGGCTGATGCAGAAGGTGTCGTTGTAGACGTTGGATCGTTGCAGTTTCTGAAGCAGCTGCGAGTCGTTGGCGTAGCGGACGTTGACGCTGTCGCGCTCCGACTGGAACTCGGCCATGGACGCGGCGAAGGCGTTGCGTTCCCGCCAGAAGGCCTCCTCCTCGGAGTCCAGGCGGCGAGACTCCTCCTCCAGGGCGAGTATCTCGGCGTCCAGCCCGTCCTTCTCCGCCTCAAGCTTCTGCAGCTCCGCCATGGCGAGCTCCTCGTCGCGCTGGGACTTCTTCGTCGCCTCCTGCTGTTGGCGCACGTCCTCCTTGCTCGGCTGGTCGGCCTGTAACTGCCGCAGGTGCTTGGCATATGCATCGCGCTCGCGGCTCGCCGCTTCTAGCCGCTTCTGGAAGCCCTCAACCAGCATGTCGGCGCACTCCACGCATATGGGGTGGTCGATGTCGGAGCGCGACGAGAGGATCTCGAACAACCGGTTGACTCGGTCCATCTCGTCGCCTCGGTATTTCTGATGGTCATCAGCCTCTTCCGCAGGAGAGGCTGACTTCTTGCTAGCTTTGTTCTTGCTACCGCTGCCGCCAGTGTCTGCTGCCGTCCGTGACATCTTGGGCGACTGTGGGTGGCCTAGTTGCGACTCTGTCAGGTAGATGAAGGACATGGTCGAGTCGCGTGGCTGCTGCATCCCGTGGTTCCTTTTGAATGTAGGGTTTGTTGATTGCTTGGATGCCTCGTCGTACAGTGCCTTGCGTGACCTGTCCTGCTGTGATGACGGCTTCAGAGGCTGCGAGGCGGGGCTGGACGGTCGTCTGCGTGAGGTCTGCGGGGAGGAGGAGGCTGCCGCCAGGGATTAGCTCTGTGCGCGGGACAAGGGGGGAGGGGGGGCCTCTTCTTGTCGTTTTAGAGACTCTGAGAGTACTCACAGATGATTAGGTCATAGGCTGCGGGGTTGAGGTCCTCGAGGGAGCCATCTAGTCGTAGAGGCTGACGACATTTTTGGCAGAACATGTTTGATTTGTCGCGTCGTGGTGGTGATGGGTCTGGCTAAGCTGGTTGTGTGCGGGCGGGCGCAGTACGCCTGTAGCTGGCAGTTGGAGAGTCGTATGCGTTCTAACAGTATTGATTCCCGGCCGGCTTCAGCTTGTTGAGAATCGATGTATATACCTGTAGTTGTGTGAGGGTGAGAATTGATTAAGCCCAGCAGTATGCACAAGTGTCAAGAGATATTAATATATAGAAACATGATGCTTTGACGTTCGTCATAGCCCAGGTACCCAAATACTGGGCCCGGATATGTCACGGGATACGTACCTTTTTTTTCCCATTAACGCGCCCCTCTGTCGCGTTTTGGCGTTGCTCCTTCGACATCCCAGCCCTTTCACCAAAGAGTCCCACCTTGAATCTGGAAGCATTTTACTCGCTACATTCCATTATACACCTCTCACCATCGAAATTTTGACCTCAAGAGGGTCAAGTATGCATTCAGATTTCTCATACCGCTCATAGGGCGCCCCTTCAAACGGCCCTAAAACCCTGGCTGCCACTTCATACGGTACGGTGGCCATGGAGCCCCCAGCCAAGCGAGCACGTCTTGATGAGCCGCCCTATTATGAGCACCGCCATGTTGATGACGTTGTCATCGATCCTCAACTTAGTCATGGAGTCCACGAGAAGGAGGGAGTGAATGGTCCCAGCTTGACACACGAGGAGGGGGGGGAGGGGGACTTTGCGGGCAAATCCGAAATCGACCTCGAAGCCGAATACATTCTCGAACAGCAGCGTGCAAAGGCCGGGAGCCGCTTCCAACAGGCCATGGCCAGCATCTTCGACAAATACAGTCGCGATTTTGCCGACGTTGGGGACGAAATCGACCTTGCGACCGGCCAGGTTATCGTCGACAACGGTCATCTAGCCAACATGCGCTATGAAGGCGATCTCGGGATTGATGATGGGACGACAACCGACGGACACGACGATGGCGATGATAACGATGACGAGGGCACCCTGCTGGAGGACTGGGTTGATGACGACGAGGATGAGGGTGTGCGTCTAGAGGACCTGCCAGACGACTGGGACGGTCCAAGCGGCGCAGTGCTCGGTGGCGCTATCCCTCCCAGTAGCCCAGAGCCCCCGGCAGCCTCGAACCCCCATGGCGGCCCCAACCAGCTACCCTTCTCTCCTGCCGATAATGTCTCCATGGGGCTCGATCCAGATTCGTCCAGTTTCGACGCACCGCCGCTCAACTTGCGCCCGTGGGGATTTCTTGGGCACGTGGATGGCGCAGAGTGGGAATCCTTGCCTAAGCCTAAGCAGAAGACGAGGCCACAGCCGCAGCCGCAGCCGCGGCTGAACATGGAATTGAAGACAAAGCCGAAGCCGAAGCCCAGAATCGCATCTGGAACGACAGTTTACCGAGGCGGTAAATCGATATGGGACCCGGATCCTGGGTATGTTGACGAGTGGGGGGCCGCGCCGTCACGCAGGGGAGGTGCCAGACCCGGAGCCGGACGAAAACCGAAGCTGAAGGAATTGCCAGCACTTCCTCCAGTCTCCGGACCGCCGACCATCCCTCAGGAAAATCCACGCCAAGAAGTGCCCCGGAAAGGAGAATCAACTACGGAGACCGAACCTGTGCTCACGGACACGCCAAAGCCTCGGCCTTCAGGTAGGGGAGGGGCCCGTCCAGGTGCAGGCCGCAAACCAAAGGCCAAACAGCCCCCAACAGAGCCCGTCTCTGTCCCTCTAGTAGAGGCGCCGGTACGGGCAGACAAGCCATCGATACCAACAGGAACAACACCATTATCCTCAGGCCAAGCGTTAGCACCGGAAGGAAGGATGTCGACGCCAGTATCTGAACCTGGAGTCTCGGACGCGCCTAAGCCCAAGTCGGGTAGAGGAGGCGCGAGGCCAGGAGCAGGACGTCCACGAAAGATAAAGCCGCCGCTGCCACAGCCGGCACCGTCCGTGGTGTCCTTGGGTGAAGCGCCAACGTCAGATCCCAAGCCGGCCTACTTGGAAATACAGAAACCTCGAGCATCAAGAAAAGGAGGAGCCAGGCCGGGAGCTGGACGGAAACCAAAATCGAAATTACTGCTACCACCCGCTCCTGTGGCGAATGGGATCTCAGCACCAACTGGAGGTGCTCCCGAAAGCAACCCTCCCGAAGCCAGCAGTGTAGCCACATACCCGCTTAATGGGAGCAACCAAGCCAGCCCAATGCGAGATAGACTCATCAAGGGCCCCATAGCGAGAATCAAGGGTCGCAAGTCTGCTGTGGCATCCAAAATACGTCGCCGTCGCTGGGGCATCGCCAAGGCTTACAAGCGGCGGATGCCGACTGTGGAGGAGGATTTGCCGGGTGATGATGACGACGGCGACAACAATGACAATTGCCGTCGCTCTGGCCGAGACCGGAGGCCAGTCGATTTCCTGGGCAAAATACCGTGGAGCGAGGTGCTTGGATTCGACGTGCAAAACCCCCTAGCTGCCAGCCTATACGCCGAGGGGGTATTTGACGACGGGGACGGCTACGAATCCATCAACAGCGAAGAAGACGAGGGGGAGGATGAGGCGGAGGAGGAGGAGGAGCAGGCCCAAAGCTTACCAACCCCGCCAGAATCGGGACACGACACATCTGACAACGAACCGCACCCTTGGCAGTCACTCCTCCCTACCCCTGGACCCGCGGCCACGGAAGCCTCTCAATCGAGCGACAGGATCACGACGATACCTGATTCCCAAGGGACTGAGCAGAGCCCGCTTCCCGTGCGAACCATCAGCAGGCCGCAACGGCAACCGACCCCGGAACCGCCGTCTGTCAGGGTGGAATACGCCACGGGTGACGCGAGCTGTATGCTGTCAGACGACGAACAGCCTGTCTTATTCAAGAGACCCAAACGAAAGCTGCAGCAACTGCAGCAACCGAGCAAGCAGAAGCCGCCCCAGGAGAAGGCATCTGGATTCGCTGCCATCAGCAGCAGACCCCAACCGAGCACGGCCGTCGCAGCGTATACTACTACCGCGCCCTTGACCACACCAACTGAAGCTGAGTTGCCGAAGAAGAGAGGGAGGCCTAGGAAAGCATCGACTGAGAAGGAACCGCCAGCTTCACTACCACCCGACGACGGTGCACTGAGGAAGAAACTCAAAGTCTCTGCAGAGGGGCATGCTTCCAAGCAAATGCCCAAGGCCACTTTCGCACCCAATGCAGCTGCTGAGGGAACCAAGAGGAAACGGGGGAGGCTGCGCAAGGAGCCTCTGCCAGATCCTGAACGATGCCCTGCGCCTGTCCCCTCGACCCAAACATTGCCAGATGGGCCAGCTACTATCAAATCTATGACAGCTGTTGGGAGCGCAGAGGATGAGGAGACCGGACCTCTGTCGAATCATCCTCCTTCTCCTACTCCACCGCTTCCTGTGACTGATACCATGCCAAGCGGGGAGGTCACAGGTCACGGTCAACCTACGCTGGGAGAAATAGAGCTGGGGGAACCCTTTGATGATCAGTCTACGGCTGCTCCTCTGGAGAATGAACAACCCCGGCTAGCAACGGACAAGGCGGATACGCTGCCCGTCGATGCCTCACCTCGAGCTGATACATCTTTGCCCGTCGCTTCTCCTCCAGGGACGCCCGCACCCTCGTCGGACGACCTTCTGCTCGATGCGTCTACGCCCAGCACATCTGTGCCAGACGAGTTCACGCTAGAGGCGTGTCTGCCAGATGTGTTTGTGCCAAAGAAGTCTGCCCCGGATGCTCCGACTTCTGTTTCCAATGACCCTGTCACTGTGGCAGAGAAGCCCACGCCAAATGAGGCTGCAATGGACGCATCTGCACCACACGAACCTGTGCCTAACGTTGATGCGCCTGCGACATACACGCCTGCTCCAAATGCCCCAAGCGAGCCTGCAGTGGACAAATCTGCTCCAAGTATTGAAGCACCAGACGTCGTCTCCGTGCCAGAGGATGAGCCTGTGCCATACGTTCCGCAATTCGAAACCGCTACCTCGGAGATGTCTGTTACAAAAACCCCTACGCCGGTCATTCCAGCGCCAAGTGTATCTTCTCCAATACCCCTCACGGATAGATATTCAGATATGCCATCGCTGGATGCACCCGCATCAAGTGTGCCACAGCCGGAGTACAAGTCACCTTCACCAAGTGTGGTCGTAGAAAGGGCCCCTACTCCGAAGGTCCTCACGCCAAAGGCAGCTACACCAGTTGAGTCTATGCCGGTCATAGCTCTGCCGAATGACCCTACACCGAGAGAATGCACGCCAAAGGTGCCTTCTCCGAGGGTCCTCACTCCAAGAGCCCCTAGACCGAAGTCACCCACACCAGAGAGGCCCACGCCAAAGACATCTGCACCGACAATCTCCGCACCTAGCGTGCCCGGCAAAAGCACACCCCGGCATACACCCGACCGCGTCATCCAGGACTCTCAGGAGACAGACTCCAGTCCCGCTAAGCCCCAGACACCTCCCAAGGACAGCAACATAACACAGCGAGCGGAACCACCAGCCTCCAGCAAAGAAGAAGGAAGGCGACGACTATTCAAAGAGACCCCACCCGCAGCTGCGGCAGCCGCGCAGGAGACGGCAAGCGGCAGTAGAGCGGCTGCTGTGGCAGCGCCAGCCTCAAGAGACGGCTCTCGACAGAGGCCGGCGGAGAAGGTGGTGGTGGCAATCCCCGACGGTACCGAGGCAGCAACGTCGCTCAAGAAGCCCGCCGAGAAGATACGTCAGCAGCCAACGACGCACGAGCATACCGGTCCGAGGGCAACCTCGTCACCTACGCCGCCACTACAAGGTCGCCAGGGACAGCAGCCGAAGCTAAAGCTAAAGCTGAGACCGAAGCCAAAGCCTCAGTCTCAGCTTCAGCCCCAAGCTCAGCCGCCGCCGCCGCAGCCACGGCAGCAAAGACATTCGCCCCCAACCGTCGTGGCCTCCGGCACTGCCAAGCCCAAGCACCGCGACACAACCCGCCTCTCCAGCTCATCCTCACGCCGCCGCTCCATCCTCTCCCTCGTCCCACCCACAGGTCCCTCCTCATTCTCCTCCTCTAAGAAGAACCGAAGCAAGTCTTACATTGACGATGACGATGACGACGATGACGACTTCCTAGGTCGCGCAGACGATACTGTCAGCGTGTCTAAGCTCTTCAGCAGCAATACACCACAGCCACCGGCAGCACGAGAAAAATTACGCTGTTCTGGCGATGCCCAAACCACCACGGAGGTGTCTGTCGCTAAAGATGGCGGCAGCGGCAGCAGCGGCAGCAGCAGCAGCAGAAAACGTCGTAGGTCAGAGGCGGCGGCGGCAGGTCCCAAGAAGATGTGCGGTGTTGACGGGTACAAGTGCGGCAAGGACTTTTGCTTTACATGTCTATGATTTTGATAGAACATGTCCCATGTAGCATATACACTTCACTTGATAATACTCCCTAGAGTACGAATGAAAATCATCAAGGCTACCAAAAACAATAATATTGAACGATTATGTCATACTAGTAGTTGATCATTGATACGTGTAGACGGGACGAACCATAGTATAAAGGAGGGGGGTATATATTCTTTGTTTTCTTTTGTATTTATATTTTGGACGGGAGAGAACAGTGTAGGTAGGATATGAGATTCAAGTAATGTTCTTGTTCTTCCGAGACAAGGGGGGGAGGGGATTCGAAGAGAAACCCCAATTGTTGCACAAAAAGCAGAAAAAGGGAATGAACACAGAAAAAAAAACAGTGGTCCGTATAGTGCAGAGAGGGGGGAGAGAAAAAGAGAGAAACAAAACTGCCTGACTGCCACTGGGACAAGAAGTGACTCCATTAGTTCTTGCACTCCTTCTCTCTCCCCTCCCCCCACCCAACCTTCGTCCATAGGTGATAGGCCCTGGACGGCCCATCCAGTCTGTTTTGGTGGTTGACAATCGTTACAGTCTGTGGCCCAGGGAGTGAAAGGATGGAAAGAGCAGAGACGGAGGTGGTGCTGTTCCATTTTCTTGGTGCTTTCCCCTTTTCCTCTTTTGTCCCATGAGACCAGTTCCCCTTTCGTCTTGCAGCCCCTCTCTCTGGTCATACGAAGTAAGACTCGTCCGAATCGTTTGAGGGGGAGGGCACCACTGGTCGTCTTTCGTCATCATGGTAGTTGGGTCACATTTGCGGCATAGATCATCTAGTTCGCAAGAAAAAAAAAGAAGATTATAAATAAAAAAAAGGGCCAGGCTCATTTCCCGGTCTTGTCTCGTGGTGACATTCTTTCCATTTCTTGTTTCTTTCGTTCTTTAGAACTTGCCCGAGCCGTTGGCCTTGGCACTGGCCAAGTTCTGCTTGAAGACTTCGGGGTCGCGCACGGGGTCAAAGTAAGGATGGGCTTGAGCCTCCTTGGCAGTCAAACGTTCCTGTCGATTCGGACGTGTTAGTCAGGGTCACACGTACACACACGCGTGAAGGGAAGAGGGTGCATAGACGTGACGTGCCTGGTGGTCGTAGCGCAGAAGCTTGTCGAGGAAGTCAATGGCCTCGTTGGTGACGAAGCGCTGGTTCTCGGTGGTGACGAAGCTATGCCAGGGCTTCTTCTGGAAGCGGCCGAGGATGTCGTCATACTGGGCGTCGAGCTCGATCTCGTACTTGTCGAGGTAGTCAAAGAGGTCGTCAGTTCCCAGGACCTTGGCAATCTTGACGAGCTGGTCCGAGTTGCTGTTGCCATGGAAGAAGGGCTCCTTGCGGAAGATCATGGACGCAAACATGGCGCCGAGACTCCACATATCCAGGCTGTAGTCGTACTCCTGAAAGTCGACGAGTAGCTCGGGGCCCTTGAAGTATCGGGAGGCGACGCGGACATTGTACTCGGTCCCCGGGTGGTAGAACTCGGCCAGACCCCAGTCGATAAGGCGGAGCTGTCATCATTACATGCGTTAGGTGAGAGTGACAGGCAACGGGGAGGAGGCGGAGAAGACCGACCTTTCTTGTCTCATGATCGATCATAACGTTGTGAGGCTTGACGTCCCTGTGCATGATACCCTTGCTGTGGCAGAAGTCGAGGGCCTTGAGCAGTTCAAAGATGTAGTAGCGAACATCGAGGTCGATGAACTTGGGGTAGAGGTTGCGAAAGTCGGTATTGTCGACGTACTCGAAGACGAGAGAGGGAGTCTTGCTCTACGGTGATGGTCAGTAGCAGAAACCGGGCGGAAAGAAGATGTTGGTCAATCTTCTCTTGGCGAGAGGGCATACTTGAGGGTCGCGGACGACATCGAGGAGCGCAACAACATTGGGACCGCCGGCGAGGTTCTGCAGAATCTTGATCTCGCGCTTGATCTTCTTCTTCTTGACCGGCTTGAGGACTTTGATGACGCATTTTTGGTAGTTGACGACGTTGATGCCTTCAAAGACTTCAGAGTATTTTCCGCGGCCTGCAGTAGACAATAGAGAATTAGCCAGACGTGAAGCAGACGAAGGGGTGTAGAAGGAGAGATGGAAAGGAGGGAGCATACGCACCAATCTTGCGAACAACCTCGTAATTTTCGAGAACGCCCCAGCCTTGATTTCATCCATTAGCCCTAGCTGCACAAACGTAAAGCATGCGATCATCACGCGATATCAAGTAACGAGGAAGGGGGATGCGAACCCAAGAAAAGGGCCAAGAGGGAGATGATAAAGAAGACAAGACAAAAAAGAAGGTGAGAACTCACTTATATTGACGCTATCATAGTCCCAATAACTACGAGGCATGCTCTGGTTGACGTCGGCGTAGACCCGCGCCATGATGAGCAATATGGGCGCGCCTCAAAAGGCGGGCGACACACACGAAACGGACGTCGGACGTCGGTTGAAAGAGGAGGAGAACCAGGTCAAGGGCCAAGGAGCGCAATGTCGGGGGGGTTCGGATCGGGTCGGTCGTGTTGTTGTTTTTTTTTTTTCAAGGTGTCGACGTTTCGCAGGGGGGGGGGATGGATGCGTAGAAAAGCGTATTGATTCTTTCAGGCGCAGGACAGCATGTGATGGGTTGGTGTGGCGGGGGGCAGGGAGGGGAGACTGTGTCGCCGTCGTCGCGGTGGCGGTCTTGACAAGGCAGCAAAGGGGATGGATGGAGATGCAGGTCAGGCACCTTGGGGTGGATGGATGAGATGATGTTGTAAAATACCAGCTGGCCCAAAGGTCTCAGTCAGCCTCTCTGCTCTCTGCTCTCGGTAAGACCTCTCTGCCTTCTTCTCAAGTGTGGCGTGAGAGATGAGGGAGGGGGGGGGGGGCACACACTGGAAGGAGGGAGGGGTGGATGGACACCAGCAGCAGGCAGGACCTAGAGGAGGGGGGGGGGCCTGCTGAATTCAGTCGGGTTCGTCGACTAGACTGCCTAGAGCCATAAAATTAGTGGGAACGGGTTGGGGTTAAGACTTGAGAACCATAATATGAGTCCAGCACGAGTACAACGAGTACAAGTATTACAGGTAGACTCGTAGAGGGAAGGGAAAGGAAGACATATCAAATTGGATGATTTCTTGATAATAATACTATTATCATTACTATATTATATGTATACAGGTTATACATATGTAATTTTGTTAGCATGTTCGCACCAGGATGTCAGTACCAAAGGTCTGTTAGTATTACTTCGCTCGCAGAGGCATCCCCATGCCCCACGGATTGATTGGATGACAAGTCGTTAGACGAAGGGAATGAAATGATTGGGCTGAAGGAGTCAGTAGGGGAGACAACCAGAGGCTGGGGAAACCGTGCTAAATCTGGAAGACTGGAACGATGGAATGACCATGAATATTACAGGTAACAGGGAATATCTCGTCCCTCATACGCAGCATGCATGGTCCATAGATCAGTACGCCTTTATACTCATACATGATGCCAGCGCTAGCACTCTCATTGGCACCCACTGATACCCACTGACACCCATACCAAAGACCCTGCGCACACCATACCATCACATCACATCAATACCGCCCTCATGATGCCAGCACGCGAACATTCGTCCCTGTCGTCATCTCACCTCATGACCAACCTATCAACAAGTCAGCTTGCGTCTTTGAACATGTACGTCTCTAAACAAGGTTGTGGAGCGGGGCATCATCAGAGAGAAGATTATTTACTCGACATTTCGCAGTCGTCAGATGTCCCCAGGGGCAAACCCATGGTTCCTACATCTCCGACCGCGATCCGACTAAGGATGACGATACAATGCTTTTCATCATGATGCAAGGGGGCTTTTTTTAGATTGACCGGCGAATATGACGTACCTCATATGTGTGGCCTTGGGCACTATGGGCACTCATATAGAGTTTCATTGAAGAGCTCTCGTTCCACAGCAGGAAGGGTGTATACTCAAGAAGGGGGCTATACAAGCAAGCTTCAGGTTCGTCGGCAAGCTATCATGTCCTCCTTCAGTCGTAATCCAGCGTGTCAAGGCCCTTGTCAACGACATCCCAAGTTCGCTTCCGCAGGTCAGGTTTCGGCTCAGCTCTAGGATTGGCCCAGTTACCGACCCTCTTCTTCCGTTTTTTGCTGCCTTGGAAGGTAGACGGTAAGGTTGCCGAACCTGCCACTGCCGGATTCATCGGGGAATTCGTATTGTCTTCCGAAACAGGAGTTGTTGAGTATCGGGTCATTGCTGCCTCCTTCTCTTGCTGCCGCCGCAGTGACCGTAGCTCAGAGTGGCGAAGATACTCGATTTGCTCGTCAGTCAAGGTGCGCTTCACCCCATCATCGTAGTATCCCAACTCATCCTCTTCCCCTTCCCAAGTTTCCTCGTAGACCTGACTCTCTTCCACAGTGTTGCCGCCATTTCGAGGATGGACAAACGTCTCGCCAAACTGGGTTATGGCAGCGTCGGAGAAGTGGGCCTCGAAGAAGGCAGAGAGATCGTCCTGTAACATGGTTAGTACCTGTTGCTATATAAGTCAAGAGCCAATATTGTAAACACACCTTGGATACCTGTGGCGCTTTGCAGGTTGTATTTGTCTCCCCATGCTTGTCGCGGTGCGCCGACATGTCGATAGTAAACGTCAAGTTTGTTGGTGACGACGCGCCTTGCGAAAAGTTAAAGTGGGGTCCAGCGGTGAGCTTAGTGGTAAGTCACGTGTACCCAGAGCCAAAGCAACCTTGGAATATATTATTCGTTGTACGGCCGTCAGTGGCTACGTCCGTTCGGGTCTGAAGAGAGACACCTCAAGAGGACCTAAGGAGGGCTAGAGCACTCTCAAATGCACGGACAACCTCCTCATCTATGCAAGCCTCATCAGCATTAGCTCAAGTAACGGCAAAAGACGGCTATGTCGAGCAAAACCCACAATGCTGCTGTTTCTGCGCCATTCTCTCTTCTGACAGGTTCACAAAGCGTCTGCGCGTCTGTAGTCTCTTCACGGCTCGCTCGTCATCGTGAGACGATGCGGCGGAAGCCCAAGTTTTGAAGTACTGCATGCTCAGCGTTAGCATAATGGGGTTGCCAGCAGGTGATGAGGCACCCAAACGTACCGTGACCAAATCCTCGACCTCCCGGAGTATCTCCCTCTCATTATCGTCCGCTTGAAGAAGTGCCTCTTCATATCGCCTCTCGAAGCTCTCCCAGTCGTAAGGAGAAGGGACGGAAGGTGAGCTCAGAACGTCGTCTTCAAGAATAGTTGACTGGTCTTCTGGTCCATCCGGTGTCTTTGAGGTTGCGCGGACAGACTGGCGTGTCTCTGAGTCGGGAACTTCGACCGTCCTGTCGATCCCTGTCCGCCCATTGCTTTTGGGGGTCACGTCGCCAGCAGGTGATGATGCCATGACGTGTTGTTAAAATGCAACAGTAGCGAGATGCGTATGGAACGCGTCTGACAGCCTGGAGGGGTAAGTCAAGGAAGAGTACGAGAACAAGAGAGAGAGAGAGAATGCACATGGGTTGGAACGAAGTGTGTATGGAAGCTGAAGTATCAATGAGTTCCAGCGATATTACTATTAGCAATTTGGGACATGTTTTGAAAGGGGAAAGCAGCTCCTAGCTGAATTGAATAGAATCTACGGTCTTGATTCCTAGGCAGGCGCGCGCCAAGGTGGTTCCTGCCTCCAGAACCTACAATTTGCGCCTGAGGCACAGATCTCGAAACATAGGCAAAAGTGTAATTGGGATAATAAATCAAAAGGCTGTGTGTGTTAAGAAGCCCTTTGATTACTGGTCGTCGGCATTTTAAAACTCATACTCCCTGTCATTAGCAGTGAACCTTTTGAAACACAACTTCTGTCGGCTGTGGTGCGCCCAGGGTGCTAGTCGTCAGAGCAGCCCGCTTTCGGGGCTCACCGTGAGCGGGAGCGTGCCCGCCCGAGCATGTGCCTGCCTGTATTACAGGCTACAGCCGCTACCTGTAGATTAGATCAGGGCCCCTCCAACGCCACCGCGTGACCTCACAATGTAGATCTCACTAAGTGCATGTACCCACAACCACCTACCACAACCCGCACGTCATCTGCCCTCTCTTTTGTAATGTTTGTTAGTTCATCGCCATCTTTCCATCACGAAGTTTGGCCGCTATCGACTTCAATTTAAGCTGCATAAACTCCCAGGGCTCTCTGTCCGTCTCTCGGTCACGCCTGTCACCGCCACTCTATAAATGGCCCTGGCCTGATCCCCCATCATGGAGTGCGACATATGCCAGCGCGGCCACCATCCGAAGCGCCTTCCCTTTCTCTGTGCCGTCGATGCCCGCAACCAGGCTTACGAGGATCGCATCAAGCATCTCCAAGTCCTCATCGACAATGATGATCTCCGTCGACGAATCCAGAATATGTTGTCCGACAAATCTGAACAGCAGCAGCAGCAGCAGCAGCCGAGTAGTAACAACACAAATATCATTAGCACTACTAGTGCTAGCGCCGCCGATGCCTTGGAAAGGGCTCGTGGACAGCAATTCATGGCTGAAGAGCGGACGACACGAATTCTCGAGGCGGCCGACAAGCTAAAGAGCGACATTAAGTCGGCTCGCGACGAGGTCCAGGCGAGGAAAGCCGACCTCGCCCGCCGACGGTCCGACCTGGCCAGCATCTCGAGTGGCCTCAAGGAGCGACGCGCCCAGCAGCAACGAGATGTCGAGGTGAAGATAAAGATTACCAGGTTCCGCTGGTCCCAGAGCGCCGAGGAGATGGCGTCGACGCGCGCGTTCCTCTGCCAGGAGGCCGCTGGTCTTTACGGTCTCAGTCGCACGCCCAGACCCGGCTCCAAGGGAAAGTTTGAGTACCAGATCGGCAGGGTTCCGGTCGTAAATCTCATGGATATGAATTGTATGTTCGGGCACACACACTTTCTCTTTTTCTGAACAATCATCTGACTGACCCCCCAACAGCACTCTCACCAGAGCTCATTACAACTTCTCTAGGCCACATCACACGCGTCGTAATACTAGCATCATACTACCTCTCCATTCGCCTACCAGCAGAGATCACCAGCCCCCACCGCGACTATCCATATCCCACCATCCTCAACCTCTCCAGCTCCTACAGGTACCCAAACCTCCCCTTTCCGGGTACTGGACCCTCCGCCTCCTCACCACCCTCACCGTCCGACCCATCGGCGCGCCATCTCCCCAAACCCCGGCCCCTGTACATCCACAAGCCCCTCACGCAGCTTCTCAAGGACGACCCAGCCGCCTACTCTCACTTTATCGAAGCAGTCACACTGCTGGCCTACGATATTTCCTGGCTCTGCAGCTCCCAGGGCACCACTTTCAGCGGCAAGACGTCCTTCGAAGACATCTGCCAGATAGGACGAAACTTGTACAACCTTCTCATGATGCCCTTTGACGCCAACCAGCCCGAGAGCCAGTCCAAGGCTGAGACGGACGAGAAAGACAGGCACAACCCAATGTGGGTAGGCCGCTACTCTCATGGAACAATGTTTTACTTCTTGGGCGGGGCAGAGGGCGCAGACCTCATCCGCAACTTCAACCTGCCCAGCCCCACCAAGCTAGCCGACAAGCTCAAGAAGAAATTAGTGGGCGACGTACCCGCTCCGGACTGGGAGGTTCTCGACGACGACGCCTGGAAGATTGAGGACATACCTTCCGAGATCATAGGGCAGAACCAGTCGACATCGGCGGTAGCAACGTCAAAACCCCGGGAGAAGAAGAAGTCGTCCTCGTCACAATCTACCGCCAAAGGCTCAAGTAGATGGACCATGGTCAGGCTGTGATTTACTCGCCGGTACGGCAGGCAAGACACATGTATATATATCATAGATGAATCAAGATTTTACAATGACCGGGAGCGATCTCTCGTTGTTCCATAGTACAAGACACACTTTTAGACTTGATGTCATGACGCTCTTTACAATATCAAGATAATCACATAACATGCTACTATGCTGTATAAACGGCATTCTCAAAGAATCGCTTGGCCTCCCCCCCCCCCTTCCCTATATAAGAAGGCTAGGCCGAAGCTTCTCTAGCATTAAAGAAGGCCTAGTCAACGCCCTGAGAGAGAAAGAGAAAAGCTCAAAAAAAGACGCCATAGTCCAACGCCCTGGAGAAAGAAGAAAAGAAGAAGACGGAAAAATCTCCAAACAGCAAAATCACAAATCCTCTCAAGGCCACGTCAAGTCATTAAAACCAAAAAAAAAAAAATTTATGGCGTGTGCAATAATAGTTTCATGCCCGCGTCTTAACCATCTGCGGTAGACCTTCCTTCTTCCTCCCTCTAGCGAGCAGCCTCTCCCTGAGCTGCATGGCAATATCGCTCCACTCCATGGCCTCACCCGTGACAACAGTATCGCCAATCTGGGTGGACAGGAACTCGGTCACCTTGGCGACGTTGAAGTTTTCGCCGTAGACGACCTTGATCTGCGGAGCGATGCCGAAGTCGACGGCATCGTGCCCGGCGCCGGTGTTACTGCGCCCGTGGAGCCCCAGCGTGACCTCGACCCTCGTTTGCAGGGGTGGGAGCATCATGGATGTTGTGATGGCGACGCTGGAGTCCGACGTCTTGCTGACCGTCGTGGGGAAGGTCGTATTGATGGCTTCGATTTGCGCGCTCACGTAGCGCGCCTTGTCCCACCCGCCACTGACCATGCGCAGCATGTCCGACACGGGCGTCTTGTTTTGCACGAGAGACCGCACGCCATCCCGGATGCACTCCAGGAACAGGTCTTTGTCAGCTGTCTTGGTCGAAGACCGGTTGCCGCTGCTATTGCCGTTGCTGTTACTGATAATGTTACCGCCCGTCTCGTCGTGGTAGTCGGCAATGTACCACAGGTCGATGCGCGAGTTGGGCTGCCCCGGTTGGAATGATGCAATGTCAAAGACGAGCTCAATCTCTCGCTTGTACGTCATGGACAGCATGGTGCCAGAGATGCCGGTCACGGCCCATCCGTATTCACGCTCAATGGCATCGACCCGGTCTATGATATTATTGTCAGCTTTCTTCCGTTTTCCTTTTGCTTGGTCCAAAACCTTTGGGTTACAGGGAAAAGGCTTGCCTCGGAAAGCATCAATTTCGGAGCTCGTCCATCCCCGGCACTCTTCGCGGATCTTTTCAGACGCCTGAATGTCAGCCTGGCAGTCGTCCTTCTTCGCAGTCAACTCTTGAACATTGGTCTCGGATTCCTCGAGCTGCTGGCGGAGCTCAGCGATTAGCCTCTTCTTCTCGGCGATGCCCATGTCGAGGCCACTGAGTTCGTCACGTGCCGACTGGAGTTGGGCCGGGTCTGAGTCGGCAAGTTCGCGGGCCGCCTCTTCCAGATTTGCGCATTCCTTGAGCAGGGCATCGTGATGGGACACGATATCAGGAAGTACCGAGTCAAGAATATCCTTCTGCTTCTGAAGCAGCTTTTCGTCGCCGTCCATTCCCTCAGAGATCTTAATGAGACCCTCCTTGAGACCGTCCTGGAGCTTCATGCGCCATTCGTACCACATGGCTTTGCTGAGAAGACGGGCATGGGTCTTGACATTCTTGAACTGGTTGTCCATGAGCGCCTTAACATCCGGTGTGGCAATCATGTACTCGCGGAAGAGTGGCGGGTTCTCCTCAAAGGTGTCGGCCTCGATCTCCTTCATCATACGCCGGCCCTCGGAAATGTACTTCTTCAACTCGCGGCAGGAATGCTGGTATAGTTCCAAAGTGGGCACGGTGCATGCGCCTGCCACAACGCAACGCTCAAGAGACGCATCATCTTCGTCTTCGGCTGCGGTGCCATCTTTGAATGAGCTCGGCGCCACGGTATGTCGTCGCTTGGTAGTTGTCAGCTCCATGAAGCGGATGGAGGTCATGTTGAGGAAAGTCTGTAAATGGATGCGGCCGTCGCCTGCTTCATCCTCGAGCTGAGCCAGGTCCTTAGTTGGCGATTCGTCAAAGTTGAGAGTTCGTGTCGTAGGCTGGTCTCCGACGTCCCTGAAACGGGCGTTGGCAGCATCTTTGCTGGGTGTCGCATTCTTTGAAGGGGAACTTAGAACTGGCGTGTTGGAAGGCTGATCGAAGTTGGTGTGGGAAAGCCTCGTAAACCGTCCAGTCGTGTCCGGCTTCGGATGACTGTTCTGCAACCTGACGTTCTTGACAGGACTTCCCTGGTGACCCTTGAGCCTCTTGACGCCGTCCTGCTCCGAGTCTTCATCCTCTTCTTCGTCGAGCTCGGTCGGTCGCTTTCCAAGAAGACCTCTAGCGCTTCCGACGTGAAGACTTTTGCGGCCCTTCAGTAAGGCACGCTTCGGGCTCATGCTATCGATCATTTCCCTGAGGTTGAAAGTAGCGTCCACGTCTTCATGTGCTCCGCCAGCTTCGCGTTCGAACATGAAGCGATCGTTCTCCTTGACGCCCTCTTCTTGACGTTCGCGATCAACCTCATCAACCATCACCCGGGGGTCTTGGAATGAAACGAGACGCTTCCCCGGGATAAAGTCCGTGGCTGCATCCCCAAGCGATCCTCGGCGATCAAGCATGGCGCTAACTCGCGGTGAACCAAGACCACTACGATCCGCACCAAGGCCTGAGAGCCTACGCTGGGAGGTTGGCACAGTCGGGGTTCTCTCATCGAGATTTCCCACGTTTGGGGTCCCCTGGTCAGGCAACGAAGTGCCGCGCGAAGAGGGTGTCCGTCGTGGGGATTTGGTTGGAGGTCGCGCCGGCGTCTTTTTCTGCGAAGATGGTGGCTTCTGTGGCGAAGCAGATTTCGAGGCAGATCTCGACACTGACCGCGTGAGCCTTTGTCGGCCCTGGGAGGGAGAATCTCTTGACGGTGTACCAATCGATTTCGGAGTTGCTGTTTTCGCTAGGGACGGTGTACCAGAGACCAGCGTAGCTTCCCTTGTGGTCGGCAAGGCTTGTCCGACACTGCGTCGCAGACTTTTCCCTTGGAATGCCCACTGCCCGGCAGCATCGTTCTCTGAAAGGGGAGCTTGCGTCGATTTCCGTGGTGAAGTCCGTCGTGCGGGTGAGCCCTGAGATGACACGGCGGCCTCAATAGCCTTTTCGGGGCCATTCGGCTTATCCACTTCTTCCACCATGATGCGCTTTCCGAGGTTCCGTGTATTCGTTGTGTTATTGTTACTGCTGATGATACCTCCGATGGCAGTAGTAATTTCCATACCAGAGGTAGTGTCTCCGTCCGTGTTATTGTTTTTATCGGTCCCAAGAATACGCCCAACACTGGTAGTCATATCCATGGTCATGTCCATGGTCGCATCAGAACCACCGCTATTGTCAGGAAACGATCTTTGGCGGTTAGGGCCAACACTCTGGCGTTTCTGTTTACCGAGAACACCACCCAAGACCGTAGTCAACTCCATTGACATGTCCTCGTTACCGCCATCATCGGAGTCGACAGGTTCGTCAACCTGTGTTGGGCGTATACCACCGATGGCGACTGTCAAGTCCATGGTTTGTTCTTCTATAGGCTCTTCCTCCTCCTCCTCCTCCTTCTCCTCCTCTAAAGGAGGCTGTTGCTTCGTCGCCTGTCGTTGCTGGCTAAGGATACCGCCCCAGACTCCAGTGACCTCCATTGACATGTCCTCGTCCTGGTCTTTCTCGGGAGATTGATTTTGTATATGTTTGATGATGCCACCGACTGCATTGGTTATGTCCATGTCCATGTCCATTTCTGTGCCGTTGTCGGTCTGCATCGTGTCATCCCTGGTCGGTTTCGGCGGCGGAAGTGCTGCTTCATTTTGCTGGTTTCCCTTCTTGATCCATCCAAAGGAAGGGATGACTTCTTCGCCTTCGGGATCGGAGTCGTCGACATATTCTTCCACGTCTTCATCAAGATTTTGGGTGCTAGCCCTCTGGGCAGCAAGACGAAGAGCCTCATCTAAGGTTGACTCTTCCTCTGTCATATCCATATCAGAACCCATGGATGTGCCTGTTATTTCTTCCGTGACAACACTCATCATTGTGCCGTCATCCGAGTCGCTATTTGAGTCCTCCTCTTCCTCTTCCGTCCCAATCTCCTCTACAACGTCGGCAGGTTCAGAGTCGGAGCTGTAGATTATGGAAGTAACGCTCTCGTCGTCGTCGTCCCGATTCTGGAAGCTGGCGGCGGGGAATCCGGAGTGATGTAAACTCTGTTGGTGTGCCGGGTTGTCGGAAAGTACGTTGGGTGGCTGGCCAGACACTCCAATTCCAGAACCATGATCAACGACAGCTGGAGGCTTTCCAGCAGCGGATGCACGCCGATTAGAGTTTGCAGAAGCTCTTGAGTCTTGCAACTCTTCTATCTCGTGGAAAGTATGGAGTGTGGCCTCTGCAGCGAATGAAACGCGGCGGTTGGCCAGTGATTTGCGGCGGGCATCACGTCTTTCACGCTCCTCCCGCTCTCGCGCAGCAGCTTGCTGCTCCTCCTCGGTGCGCAGGGCAATTTTCGACTGTGTCTGATCGTCGCGGCTGATCGACTGGCTGCGCCTTTTGTCCGGTTTCTGTAGGACGCCTTTGTTCTTCAGCGGCGGGATCTCTGGAAGCGCGGAGATCGTTGGCTTCAAGATGGAGCGCGGAGGTTTCGAGGGGGCGGCGAGTGACTGGTGAGTATTTGTTAACATCCGGCTGACGGTTTTCCACGGGAAGATCCGATGTTGCATACTGCACGGCGGTTTCCACTTCCTTGCTTGAGAGCATCTAGCCCACCAGGTCCTAAACTTTTGCTGCGTGACGACTTCTTACTCGCAGCAGCACCGGCCCTGCCCAGATCCACGGTCGCATTCTCTTTGTCGGCGAGTTTATGTGTGTCATTGACCGAGCCGATAGATTTTCGAATACGTCGAGTAGCCGGCAGCGTAGCCTCACGCTGCGTAGACATCTTGGCCAGCTATTCGGGATATCGCATCGACTCTGTAGTTATGTTCCTGTATGTCGGTAAGGTGAAGATCGAGAACGATGCATTGGGCGCGGAAGTACTAAAATAGCATAGGGACCGCGTTTTGTTGTTTACTTTCCTTTCTCGTCATGGTTGGATACTCGTACATCATACATCACAATACGTGGTACGTACCGTGCAGCACTTTACGCCAGGACGTGCCAAGAGCGGTACGTACTCATATGGCTTAGTCATTATGGAGGAAATACCTATCACGTGTTCGGATAGGCTTGGCATCAACTTTGTGGGCAAAGAGATCACGTGCCGTATAAAACCCACGGCCCGCCACTTTTCCCAGCCAATCCACTTTTTGCAAGCCCTAGCAAGAAAGTGCACGGAAATTTTGGTGTGCCAGAGCCCTACTCGTGCAAAACAATCCCTTTGAATTTATCCCACGCCTTGCCAACTCCCCATACGCCACGCCCGTCTTCCACCAGGCAAATATCATTCAAGATGTCAGTCACCCCGAATACGCGATACAGAACGAACGTCTCGACTTGCGAAATGCTGACATTTTCTTGCGTAGGGCGACCGAGTTGACCGTCCAGTCCGAGCGCGCTTTCCAGAAGCAGCCTCATATCTTCACCAACTCCAAGGTTAAGGCGAAGACCAGCCGCCCCGGCAAGGGTGGCCGCCGCTGGTACAAGGATGTCGGTCTCGGTTTCCGTACCCCCAAGACCGCCATTGAGGGCAGCTACATTGGTACGTTTGCGACCTGTAGATCGAGTGGGGGATCCTTGAATGTCGACGACAAGAGGAGGGAACTGGGATGAGGGACGATCAAGAGAGACTTGTCGAGGCCAGATCACGGACCGACAAGTCAGGGATTTTGGCGATGGCGATTGCGCGAGGAGTGGGATTACATGGCTTGCTACGGGAAGTGCTGACAATTTCCTTCCTCACTACAGACAAGAAGTGCCCCTTCACCGGTCTCGTCTCCATCCGTGGCCGTATCCTGACCGGCACCGTCGTCTCCACCAAGATGCACCGCACCATCATCATCCGCCGCGAGTACCTCCACTTTATCCCCAAGTACGCCCGTTACGAGAAGCGCCACAAGAACCTCGCCGTCCACGTCTCCCCCGCTTTCCGTGTCGAGGAGGGTGACCAGGTCACGGTTGGCCAGTGCCGTCCCCTCAGCAAGACTGTATGCCCTCCCCCGTCACGCCCTACGTACCACGCAAGTGTGGTACTGAGGAACAATGAAACAAAGGAGAGGTGATGGTTGCTAACAGTGTGGAAATCAGGTCCGCTTCAACGTCCTACGTGTGCTACCCCGAACTGGAAAGGGTGTCAAGAAGTTCAGCAAGTTCTAAGCGGACAGCTTCCTTTATTGACAATTTTTTGGCGTGATACACTATCATGGGGAGTGGGAAAAAAAAGTTCTCCCCGTTGGAGGGTCGGGGCACCGGAAGCTGCTTTCATTGATTGTGGAAGAATACAATCGCAAACAAATAAAAAGGATTCATGACTACGGTGGCTACGGCGTTCAATATGACCTCTGATCTTTCACCACGGTCCTTCGCGCGGTGATACAAGAACACTTTTGTTTTTTTGTGGCGGCTACGGATTCGACAGTCCCGATGGCTCATGTGATGATGGCTCATGTGATATGGCGAATATACTACTAAGTGGGCAGTGCCACATGGTATTATAATGATATTAGCAGCCCGGCGTACTACACGTACATTAAAGACTTCTTTTCGTGAAAGATTGGCTATGTAGAGTAGGCATGTGCTGGCGTTTGGGTTCGGTATACACTGTATGGGTGTTGAGTGGATGGAAGAAAAACAATTTATTCTATGCTAGTAGTAGTAGTAATAGTAATAATTTATCACATACTTGGGATTAGATCACAACAGTCAAATAGAAGCCACTGAAAACAAATGGATGATACATTGGTTAACATTATCACGCTCCCTGAAAAAAAGTGATTCGTCCCATTACATTTTTCCAAGCTATGAAGACCTCAAGCCGTGAAAAAATCGGTAATTCCCATTCATAACATTGGCTGCAGGGTAGATATGTACGTACGGAGTAGGTGTATAACATGATACATGTAATATATAGTTGAAATGGAGGTGGGGACGGTACTCCAGGTTCCCCATATTGGGCATAGTGTGGGTTCCAGCCAACCGTACAACCTCCATATCCAACCTCTCTCTCGTAAGCATTTCGCGAAGATCTCTTTCAGCACCGCTAACCTTCCCCATACCTCAATCCCAAACCTGCGGGGCTCTCTCAAAATCAACTACAAACAAGGGGAAAACAGCCTCCTCCGGACATATCGCGATGGGGTGGTGGCCCTTCATCTTTGGCGGCAGCGACAGTTCGGCCGATCCTGTGAACCAGCTGGACCCGAAGCTTCGCGAATTTCTTGAGAAGGAATCTCCCCTCAAGTACAAGAAGAACAGCGTGACGAGCGGCTCGGAAACATCAGGGGCAGCCAAGAATGACGCGGCGGAAGCAGCGCCAAACTCGCCACCGCAGCAGCAGGGGGTGCCGACTGAGAGCCTATACCAGGACGGACGATACGCACACCTATGGAAGAACTACCGACCGCAGGCCGAAGTGGAAGCCGAGTCCATGTCAGACCACGAGCGCCTGATGAGCGTCCTGGAGGCGTATCAGCAGCGCAAGTCGCAGATATCCAAGGTGGCCATGGAGAACTGCGCTGAGGCCCAGGAGGAATGGGTCAACTGCATGAAGCACGGCAAGCTGGAGGACCAGCTGCAGATGTGTCGGCACCAAGTGAAGAGTTTCGAGAAGTGCTACACGATGCAGTCGGTAAGAAGTCTTCCCTCCCCGTGGCATCGCAACTTCTCTCCGACCCGAACAAGACTGACAGGAATGGAAATCATTAAGCGTTTCCTCCGGGCACTAGGCTATGGGTCCGTCGCCAGCCGCCCACAGCACGTAGAGGATGCCATCCAGATGCACGCCGACTCGCTGTACCAGCGCGTTCTGCAGCATGAGCTGGCTGTCGAGAAGGCCAGAAACGAGGGCACTCCCGTTCCCGTCTTCGACCCGACCATTCCGCTTCTCGCGACGACCAAGACGACCATCGAGCCGTCCGAGGAGCTCCAGCTACAGTGGAAGGACAAGCTCGACCAGCTGCCCGAGTCGGAGCGTCCTGCCGAGGAGGCTGCCCTCAGGGCCGATCTGCAGTCCAAGTCTGACGTCGCCAGGTCTATGAAGGAGTACTACGAGTCGCAGAAGAAGAAAAATAACAAGGATGGCGAGGGTGGCGGTGGTCCGACGGGTCAGCCGCAGCAAAAGACCTTTGCAGATACCATCGTCAGTCTGGTGATGGGGCGATAGTTCTGCGAGTTCTCATGCGCAATGTGTACAACTTGACTGTATTTATAAATGATGTAATAAAAAATATAATGAAAGCAACTTGGGAAATACAATCTCTGGGTGGTGAATCGCATATATCCAAGGCCGCCCAAGTGCGGCAAAAGAACTAGATATAACCAACGTAACGGACCCGTATTGTTTTTTGGCCAGCTACATACGTATTCATCCGAGAAGCATGTGAAGGGTGAAACGAGTAGCCAAGCTCACAGAAGTAGAGAGACGAGGCATCAGAGAGCCCTTGATCATTTATCTTGGAATCGCTAGTAATGGAGAAGCAGATAGACAAGCTGCAGCCCATCAATTGTCAGATTAAGAAGCGTTCCGTCTAGAGAAGGAAAAGCAGTGGGAAATTCTCATGTTAGCAAGGTTGCGTAAGGCAATAGACACTCGGTTAGCAATGTTTTGGAGGGAGCAGTGTGACGTCGACACATTACACGACACGATGCCAAGCAGGTCTGGATATTCTGAGAACCAAGGTCCTGATCGTTCTTGTTTTCGGAGAGGCAGCAGGCTATCGAATTGAAAAAAGGAAAACAATCTGCTCTCAATATCTTGATAGTCTTGCTGCCTTGAAGCGGCTGGGTCGTACCGGTCCCCCCTCCGTCTCATCCAACGGCTGGATGGGGGACTCGTCTTCCTTGAGGAAGCCGCCCTGGCGCTGGATGAACTTCTTGCGGAGCCGCTGGTGTTCATGGGCGATGGCATCCATATCGCCGAAATCGTCGAACTCATTGCTGTCGATGGGACGCGAGACAATATCTCGCTCCACAAGCTTATCGGCTATGGTAGCTGAGGGAGGTCCTGAGGGAGCGACCGGCCGGTTCTCTCCCACAAATGACGCGGGGATATCCATGGGTCCCTTTGGTGGATCCGAGGACTTCTCTAAGGCCTTTTTGAAACGGGAAGCCCTTTTCGGTGGCGCCGCCTTGGTTCCCCTCACCGTTGACTTCTTCTCGGAGACTGAGCGCTCCATGACATCGCCGTGTGGCTCGATGGCGGGCGCCACCTCCACCTGGGCCATCTTGGCAGCAGCCGATGGAGGGGTATCGGGCGCAATGTCGAGGTTTTGGGCGAAGCGCACGCCCTTCTTCTCCGACTTCTTGGAGGCCTGCTTTGTCGTGGGCCTTTCAGGAAGAGCGATCTGGGATGACGATGATGTTGGCTTAGAGGGTAATGAGGATTCCGGTTTGACAACGATGCGGCCGATGCGTTCGTCGTCTGAGTCCGAGTTCATATTGGCTTCGTCGTTGATCTTTTGCTTGGCAGCTGAGTTCGAATTGACGCCAAGCCTCTGCTCCAGCTCCAGCATGCGTTGCCGGTAACTGTCCGTAACTACGCGCAGGGTTGATCGGCCGTATTTGTCCTCTTCGTCGTCGTCCTCGTCGCCATCCTCACCCTCGCCAAAGCCTTCGTCGCTGTCCCAGTCGTCTTCCATATCGGATGTGCCCTCTTCGATATCTAGCTCTGCCACCACGGCGCCAAAGTCGCCCATGCTGTACTTGAGCATCTCCTGTCGTAGGGCTGCATCGTCCTCGTCCTCATCCTCGGGAATCACTGGCTTCTGCTTCATGATATCGCCCTGACCCTCGGCCGACTTCATAATGTTCTCGACACGCCTTGCTGCTTGGGAGACTGGTTGCACATCCCTTTCCTCCTCTAGAGCGAGCTTTGTGTCATTGGTAAACGAGACGCCTTTCTTCTTCTTGGGTGCCTGAACGGTCTTTTCCGGCGCCTTGCCCGCAGTACTATCCATTGGCGGACGGGAGACATTGGTAGGCAGTGGTGTCGGTACTTCCTTCGGGCCTTCGCCACCGTCATCCGATGCCACCTCGGCGACCTGTCGGTTTGAGGAGTCCCCATCTACCGGGGGTAGGTCCTTGATACCGGCCTTCTCCAGGGCCTCACGGATGTGAGACATCGACTCCCCAGGTCTGTTCAGCTTGTACGAGACGATGTTGTCATCATCATCGAGATGCTCGACAATCTCGGTGATGGGTTGTCCCTCATCGTCCATGATGTCAGGCTGGCTGACGATAGAAGCGGTCGCGTGCTTGCTCTCCGCGGTTTCCAACTGCTTCTGCAAGGTACCGATGTTTTTGGAGACATAGTCTATGCGCCGATCGAGGACGTTGACGATTTGTTCTCTAGATCGCCGCCTCCCTTCCTTTCCAAAAATCTCGCCCACCTCCTTCTTGTTAACCAGCTCGCCCTCAAACTCATCCTGGATGCGCTTGAGCTCGGCCGGACTCGAGTCGGAGGCGGCCTCGACCTCCTCCTTCAAGGCCTCATACTCGGCATCCCAGGTGCGCCAGTGCTGGAGGACCCTCTGCAGCTCGTTGATGTTCTCTTCGAGGCGGCGTCGGTGCCTCTCAAGGTCGATAAGGCTGTCTCTTGCATTCTCCATAGTGAGTCATTGTGAAAAACGATGACGGAGAGAGAATCGTCTAGAAATTTTGAACAGATATGTAATAAGTGAGTATGGACGTAACGGTTAGTAATATATTGGATAGAAGAATAAATCCTCTTTATTTGTTGGTGACAGAAACATCCTCTCAATTGGGGTCTCTCACTGCCAAGCCGACTTGTTGATGAATCGATGAACCTCGCAACTCCAGGTGGGCAATGGATTATGGGAACATGTACGTTTATTGTGAAATCTTCTCTGGAACCCCGAGAAAGTGGGCGCGGCATGCATCTCGAAGAAAATGCATATATTTTCGTCGACAATATGACGATAGGGCGTAGCCGGCACTAATCAGCGTAACCCAAGCCCGTGAATTTCCACATGCAGGTAGGTTCGATGCAACAGAGCAGGTGAACCCCCACCTAACATCAGTTATATGCTCCTGCGTGTTTCTTGTGTCTATTTCCGTACATATACTTATCTACGCTTGAGTGTTCTTGTGGATATCTTGGTCTATGTCTACCGCTGGGAAGGGAAATAGAAAACTCAAAGCCAAGTGCTTCTGCGGCTCCGTCCACTTCATGCTGGATGTATCGCCGTCCCATCTGCCTCTACACGTCCATCTCTGCCATTGCAGCTACTGCCACTACCGGTTAGGAGCTCCATGTGTCTTCCACTTTAAAGCTCCGAAGGACGCTGCTCTCCGATACATCGCTCCGTCCAGCACCGCCAAAGTATCGAGGTATACGCCCCTGGAAGCCTCAGGCGCCGGGGTTCTGCTCGAACGTGGCTGTCACATATTCGACGAGAGTCTCTCCGAAGATGGCCGTTTGGCCCCGTCGTCTTCCATATTCGAGGACCAGAGCGACGCCGTCTTCCAGATCAAGAGACACATATATAGCCACTCTGCCAAGGACGGCGGTCCGGCCAGCTGCATGTCGCCTAATATTAACAGCCGTCTGATTGAGGACTGGAACCACCCCAAAGAGGGCCAACCCGATGCCAAGATCGTCGAGTCACGGCAGGAGCACCATGCCGATGGGACCAAGAGGCTGCGCGTCCAGTGCCACTGTGGCGGCGTCTCCTTCACATTCACGCGGCCAACGGCAGACATGGTCGCGGATACCGAGCATTTCGCCAAATCCGTCTCGCCGGTCGACCCAGCTAAGTGGCGCGCCACTTGGGACGTGTGCAGCGACTGTCGTCTCGTCAACGGTACGCATGTCGTGGGCTGGACCTACATACCTCGGATCCTCTGCGATCCTCCCATAGCTCGAGACCTCAAGATTGGCACCTTGAGGGTGTATGCAAGCTCCCCCGACGTCCAGCGATCGTTCTGCACCACTTGCGGCGCCACCGTCTTCTTCACCCACGCCGACAGATGCCCCTCGGACGAGAAGCAGATAGTCAACGTGGCGACGGGCCTGCTTAGGGCCCCAGAGGGAACCATGGCTGAGGACTGGCTTACTTGGAAGTCGAGTCTAAGCCACCCAGACAACGGCAGGCGCTTCGATACAGGGTTTTTCGATGCGTTGGCAGCCGGCATGCGGACGTGGACGACCCAGCGCTATGGGAGAGAGCTAGACTTTATAATCCCTCGCAAGAGATACATGTAGCTCTGATCAGGATCTCTTCTAGTGGTGCGACAATTATGTGAAGAGTCTTTTCGTGTTATATTCCTGAATAATAGATAGACTTGTCCATATCCTTAGCCACATACTTCATCGTTGAACAATAGTAAACACCGTGACTAACTGGCATCGAAGCCGAGAAATGAAAGATAGCCTTGACAAGTTTCAGCTCCGCGGACATCTACAGACTACGAGTAGTAAATTACCAAATTCCATGTGATGGTCCCTTTCTTACCTATGTGCAATGGTATATACTCGTAGATTGCGATTTCTCCGAAGTCCAGGTTAAGCAGGAATGAAGGTGTCGGCGATTAAATTCTCAATCGTTATTTTCAGCCTCCTTCCTTCTCAACTCCACACGTCGTTAGAGGCTAGCCATTGGTAATAGTATTCACCTAAAAGCTCATCGTGGTCGGGAACGGTGACCTTCTGGTCTGGACCAATGTATCATGAGGTGGCGCGCCTGATCGTCAGGCAAACCTCGAGGCCTACCTGTACGTGTATACCAACTGCACGGATATTCTCACGCGCCATGGCAACGGCCGGGCGGTCTTACAATGTAAGAAAGCAACAGCATCTTGGCGTGAGCATCTGCCTCTCTGACAAAGGATGATTTCCAGGACGCCATCGACACGCTCAACTCGCTCCAGACGCCGTACCACATCATCGAAGCGAGGCGCAAGGCTGGAATCCGCCCCGGTGCCAATTCTGTCCGGGAGATGAGGGCCTACCTCGGTCGCATCGGCTACTCTGTGTGTTTAACCCACCACCGCCCACTCATCTCAACCTGCTAACGTTGGGGAAAAGCTCTCCGATCTGGATCGTCTCAACATCATCCACGTGGCAGGAACCAAGGGCAAAGGCAGCACATGCGCCTTTGTCGACGCCATACTGTCGCAAGCGCAGCATGCCCACGGCAGGCCGCACAAGACGGGCCTCTTCATCTCGCCGCACCTGATTGCCGTGCGTGAGCGGATACGCATCAACTCGACCCCGATATCCGAGGGCCTGTTCACCAAGTACTTCTTCGATGTCTGGGACCGGCTGGAGAAGGCCACCGTTGCCGCTAATGATGACATCGCCCCTGGGTCTAAGCCCGCCTACTCCCGCTACCTGACCTTGATGAGCTGGCATGTGTTTCTTCAGGAGGGCGTCGACGCAGCCGTGTACGAAACAGGCATAGGAGGCGAGTTCGACGCCACCAACCTTGTTGAGAGGCCTGTGGCGACGGGTATCACGACGCTGGGCATCGACCATGTCTTTGCGCTGGGCGACACAGTCGACAAGATTGCGTGGCACAAAGCGGGTATAATCAAGAAGGACTCCCCCGCCTTTACCGTCAAACAGGTCCCCGAGGCGGAGAAGGTGGTGCTTGAGCGGGCGACGGAGAAATCTGTCGACCTCAAGGTGCTGAGCGTTGACCCCAGGCTTCAGGGCGTGAGAATACGTCCCGATACCCTGTTCCAGAAGAATAATGCGTCATTGGCGATAGCACTGGCCGAGACGGCACTGGCCAAGATTGACGGCCGACAGTCCAACGACAACGGAGAACGACTTCCCGAGACCTTTGTACGGGGTCTGGAGGGCGTCGTCTTCCGTGGCCGCTGCGAGGTCAAGGTGGAGGACAACGTCACTTGGCACGTCGACGGCGCGCACACCGTCGACAGCCTGCGTGTATCGTCCGAGTGGTTTGCCGAGGAGACTGCTGGCCGGTAAGCACACCACTTCTATCACTACTGCTCCGGCGTTCCTGCTGACATGTCGGGCTTCTCTTCTTCTCCTTCCTCTTTTTAGCACGGGACCCCGGGTGATGATTTTTAACCAGCAGGCCCGTTCCGAGGCTGTCAGCTTCTTCAAGTCCATCCATAAGGCCACCAAGCGAGTTGGTCGCCCCGCCTTTGACCACGCCATCTTCTGCACAAACGTGACGTATGCCGGGACCGGGTATAAGCGCGACTTTGTCAATCACCAGTACAACCCCGAAGAGATCAAGGACTTGGTCGTGCAGCACCGATTCGCCGAGAAATGGGCGTCGCTGGACCCCGACTGCAACATTCGCGTCGTACCCACCATTGAGCAGGCGATTAACCTGACCCGAGAGTTCGGGGCGCGGAGCGCTGAGAAGGCGGATGCCTTGATAACAGGGAGCTTCCATCTCGTGGGAGGCGCCTTGGGAATGTTGGAGGACGCAGACGCTCTATGACTGTATATAAAAAGACGTACATGTACATAGCCACATAGAAAGAAAACAAGAAAATCATAATAGACTGTCCGGCTCTAGAGTGCGCAGAACTCCGCCAACAAGATGCATGCTACCCGTGACAAGCGCCGTCTTTCGGACATCGCCCTCAGCGGCAATCTTCCTCACCTCGTCCACGGCGTCGGGCAAACTGTCACATGTCATGATGGTGGTACCAGGCGAGACCTTGGCCATGGTGTCCGCAGCCCCCTTCTGGACAGTAATATCCCTGGCCTTACCATCTGATCTGTCAAGGTCGTTCGTCGTAAAGATGGCGTGGCTGAAGAAGCGCTCGCGGCTAGTGAGCCTGGCGAAAGCATCGATCAGACCACGCAGGAGCTCTGAGGCATCTCTCTCCTGCTGGTTGAAGACGAGGACCATGGGAGGAGCGTCGTCGTCCTGTGCCTGTGCCTGTGCCAATGATGCCGCTACCCCATACAGGCTGTCTTCCGTATGAGCACCGTCAAGGAGCCACCTCAACTTCGGACCGTCGTCGAGCACCTCGCCGCGGCCCCTCAGCTTAGCCGACCGTAGACCGTCGCGCATCCAGTCGGGGATATCACGCAGCGCCCTCAAGATTCCGCCGCCCTCTTGCTCACGCATGCCCAGGTGCTCCCTGACAGCCATGACGGCGAGGGCCTGGTTGTACTTTTGAAAGCCTCCCCCGAACGCGCCCTGGAAACCGCCCCACGCCTCGACGGCCGCATCGTCCACCTCTACCAGGCTCGACACGCCCCTCTCGGCAGCCCTGGACCTCACGACGTCCATGACCGAGGGTCTCTCGTCGACACGTCTCGTTACGGCCGCGACGCCCCGCTTGAATATCCCCGTTTTGTGCCAGGCAATCTCCTCGACCGTCCCGCCCAGCATGCCGACATGGTCGATGCTCAGCTGCGTCACCACAGCGGCGGACACAGCTTCGGCGGGGAGCACGTTGGTGGCGTCGTACTCGCCGCCGATGCCGCACTCGAGAACCACGTCGTGCACGCCCTGGCTGAGGAAGATGTGCCACGCTAGGATAGTTAGGAATCGGAAGTAAAAGGGCTTGGTGGCCGGGCCGTCGGCCTCGGCATGCGATGTTATGGTTCTGTCCGACGCCGCCGCGCTGAAACGGTCCCACAGCTCGTGCACACCAGCCGCAAACACCTCCTGTGACACGGGCGACCCGTCTATGGCGATGCGCTCCCGTGGGCTCATCAGGTGCGGGCTCGTGTACGTGCCCACGCGCCCCGCTCCCGCGCGCCGTAGCATGGAACTGGCGTAGGCGCATACTGACCCCTTGCCCTTTGTGCCTGATACGTGGATGTGCCGTATGCGGGAGAGGTCTTGGGGCGAGTAGCCTGCTCGGCCTAGCCAGTCGATCATTTCTGGAATGGCTGCAGCATTCTTATTGCCGCCGCCGCTGCTGTCCTTGCTGCTGCTGCTGCTGCTGCTGCTGCTGCTGCCTGTTCTGTCAAATAGCTTGGTTATATGGCGATTCGACTGCAGTGCAGCCAATCTGTCCAGGGCTGCGGCGTATGATGAAGCTGTGGCGGCGCTTGTGCTTGTGCTCACCCATCGTCCATGGTGACGACGGCTGTTGACGGATAACGCTGCTTGGGTCAGACGCCAGGGTCCGTAGGCGAGACGCATCCTGGAGAGGCGGGCTGTAAAGAAAGAAGACGGGAACAATCTCACACGTTCCTCGTGTGTTATATGCAGGCTGGCAAGCTGCGAGTACGTGTACGGATACGCCCGTATGCTCGACGTTGTAGATGAATGAGGGTCAAATGTCACCAGTCGAAATAATCCACCAACGGACCAGGTAATAGTATCAGTATTTACTCACCACTATTATATAGGTATGTCTCGACTTCAATTTCAACAACATAGTAGTACTACAGACGCCAATTTTACTTATATATCTCACTCGATATATAGCTGGCACAGAATTCACCATCGTGTAACACCATGCCTATTATTTTTTCTTCTTATCCTTTGTTAAAATGAGAGAAAAAAATCTAATACACGGGCAGCAGAAACCCTGCCGGCCCTTTTGCAGACATCTAGAGAGACCAATGTACACAGCTGACAAAGGAAACCATCCGTCTTAGACAGAGAGAGATAAAGATGTAAATTTCTGTGCTTTGCTTACTCCACCCTCAGGTTCTGAAGACGGGCCTCGGTAGAGATGACCTACAGTCAAGTCAGCAACGGCAAATAGGCAGATACACGAGAGGAAATAGGAAGAGATATAAAAACTTACATCAAGTGCCTGCCTGACCTCAAGGACCTTGCGGACCTCAGCGAGCCAGTCTTTGCTGAGCGTCTTGGCCCAGCCGTCGAGACTGTTGACCTCGCGGGCGGCGTTGTCGAGGTCACCCTCCTCGAGGAAGGTGTGGGCGCGGGTGAGGATGCTCTCAACATCGTCGCCCTCAGCGAGACCCTCCTTCTTGAACATGACCTGGCTGAGCACCCAGGAGGAGGCGTGGGAGGCGACGCCGGCGTCGTTGGGCAGCAGGGAGGCCTTGCGGACCTCCTGAGCGACGCGGCGGAAGCGGTCGATGAGCTGGGCGGACGAGGGGATGCCGCGCTGGTAGGCAGCCGGGTTTACGGAGCCGATGGCGGCGTTGACGGTGGCGTTGTCGCCGGCAATCTCCTTGAGCGCGACGAGCTCCTTGATGAAGGGGGTGGGCTGCTGGGCGCCGGTCGAGGACTCGGCCTCGGCCAGCTTGGCGCGCACGCAGTCGACGGCCACCTGGAGCTGCTGGGTGCGTAGGGTCGAGTCGACGACCTTGTCCCAGCCCGTGCTCAGCTTCTCGAGGTCTGACACAGCCGTGGACAGCTGCTGCAGCTTGCCCAGGCGGCCTTCGCGTTCCTTCTCTACCTGGTCCTGCACGCCCTGGACGAACTCCTTCTTGAGCGCGATGGCTTGCTCGAGCAGCTGGTTCTGCAGCTTCTCGGCCTGCAGCTTTTCCTCGCGCTCTAGTAGTAGCTTGACGCGCCCGTCGTAGCTCTCGCGCACCTTCTTCATCTCCGTCTCGAACTCCTGGCGCCAGTCGAGCTCTTGGTTGATCATGGCCTTCTCCACGCGCGACACGAGGTCCGTGGCCGCCTTGTCGAACTCGGCCACCTTCTCCCGCACCTCGGCGGCCGACTGCTTCTCAATCTCCGCCCGGAGAGCATCCAGCTTGCCGCCAACCTTGACAATATCGTTCTTGGCCTTGTTGATGGTCGAGCCGTACTTTCCGTGAGCGCCATCGGCGTTGATGACGAGGATCAGGTCGTTCACCATGTGCACTAGGTCCTGGATGACGGGCTCGCGAGCCTTCTCCAGATCCAGGAGGTCAATGGGTTTCAGAGGAGCGGCCCTGGATGGCTCGTTGACCTCGGGGGCCTTGGCAGGAGCGGCGGCGGCAGCAGAAGCAGCAGGCTTGGACTTGCTAGACACGGGGGCGGCCTTGGATTTGGGCTCCTCTTTGGGGGGAGCGAGAGTGGCCTTCTTGGCGGCAGACTCTTTGGAGCTGGCGATGGACTGGCGGGGATTGGGGTCGCTAGTGGCCACCCTCCACGACGCACCGCTCTGGGCGGGGATCAGCTTGACCTGCTCGTTGGTGTTGTGGCGGGGTTGGCTCTGGGGGTTCTGGGGGAACCGCTTGCGGAACTCCCTCTCCTCAAGGAACAGCACCACCGGCTCGCCGAAGGGGACGTACTCGACGAAAAAGTCGTGGAAGTTGTCGTTGACGCGTGAGTACCACACACCTCCGCTGAATCCGACGGCTCCCAGGACCATGAGGGTGAAGACAAAGTTCCTGAGGCGGCGAAAGAAGCCCTTCTTCGGCGGAGGGGGAGGAGAAGCCGGGATGGCGTGGGCGGCAGGCTTCTCGTCCATCACCTCGTTGGGCGTCGGGGGCGTCTGGGGGAGCTTCTCAATAGTAGGGGGGTTGGACTCGTTGCCGATGGAGGGGATCGAGGCACTGCGCTCCGACGTCTTGGTTTCGGTGGTCGGGAGGACGATGGGCTTGGGGATATCGCCCTCGGGCTTCTTCTGATCGGCATAGCCTCTCTGTGGGGAGCAGCAGTCAGCCAACCATCACTCGTTACCTGCCAATTTCTCACTCATGGCCAGAGCTGACGCGGTTGAAGGCATTTGGGGAAGTGAATGCTCGTTCCCGGGGGGGGGGGGGGGGTCAAGATCGTGCATACCTTGGACAGAAGAGCAGCCTGTCGCGTAGACGCAGCAGAGGGCCATTGACGTGCGGCGGTAGCCACCATGGGCCTACCACCCAACAGCCTCGCTGACCGTAGCGGTGTTCGCAACATGTCTGGCAGGGCGGATTGTGTGCAGCAAGGGGCCCAGCGATGGGGTGCGAGGGATTGTGCGAGAAGCTGCTTGCAAGAGCTTGCTGTGTAGTTTCGGGCCAGGTCGGATTCCGGACTCGTTTGACTCGGGCTTTGGGGATCCAGCAAAGTCGCTCAGGAGGGGATAAACATCGGCAAAACTAGTCAAGCTAGACCACCTAGGAACTCGAACCCACATGCAACCATTCGGCACCCGATCCGTAGCGACAGAGATGCCGGTGATTATCTATCATGTGCTACTATCTGGACGGCTGCTCCCCCCCTCTAATGCAAGCTTGAACATATTGTATATATCCGTAGACGTATATGCTTTGATTGTCGAGGAGCAGATTCAGTCTCTCCTCTATAACGGATGCACCATCTTCCGATATAGTGGAGACGGCCGCTCACACCCAAGAACCAAAAACAACGCAAGTTACCCACTTCTTGGTACGCCCATATTGTCATATTGCTACTACGGGTAGTAATATATCATTCAGTAGTGAGATTAAGTATACCTGTTTGTGGTGGTAGAGGTAAGTTGACGATTGAATATACGCCGGTATGCCATAGTATTCAGCCTATGGGTGGCACAGGAAGACAAGAGGAGATTGCTCGTCGGAAGCACCGAGTCAAGAAAAGCCATCATTCAAATTAGTAGCAACACCAGAGGGGGCCGCCTCTCTTTCATAGAGTCAATTCCACTTTCTGACGGGGCACATCCTCACAAGGGGCTCGGTTCAGGAAAAGACTGGTTTGCAACATGTTTGAAGATATTAAGAGAAATGAACCGGAAAGGAGAAGTGAAATGAAAAAAAGAAAAACCTCCAAAACCCAAGACTCCCAAAGAATTATATGGCATGCTTGGACTCGCAAGATGAAAAGACGGGCGAGCCAAGGGCCTGGATGTTGGATGGCTGTTGTTTGGTCTATGCCACATTAATAAGAAGAACCCGGCCTTAATCGTGCCAGGTGAATGAAAGACTGGTATGTTTGTCTCTCTCTCTCACCGAGAGCTTGAGGGAAGGGAAGCATGCATACGTAGGTGTTGCTGCTTCCCAACAGGCCTCTCTCCCTCCTCCTTTCGTTGTACCCTCTAGAAAAATAACAATCGAGATAAGAAAAATGAAAACCTTTGAATCGTTAACGGCTCAGGCCAACACACACGCACACACACGCACACTTCGTTTGACTTAGCAGCTGCACTGCCCGCCGGCATTGGTATTGCCGCTCTCGGGCTGCAGGCTGACGCCGGGGCGTTGACCAGGACGGGCGTGGCGGGGGCCGGCCTGGTCTAGAGGGAGCTTCTTGGCAATCGAGGTGAATAGTTCGCGGACGTTCTCGGCCGTCTTGGCCGACGTCTCGAAAAAGAGGAGACCGGCCTCCTTTGCGTAGGCCTCGGCGTCGGCGGCGGAAATAGCACGCTTGTCGGGCTGCTCCGTCACCAGATCGAGCTTGTTTCCGGCCAGAGCGATGATGATGTTCTCGTTGGCTTGGCGCTGGAGCTCCTTGACCCAAGCCTTTGCCTTGTCCAAGGACGACTACGACCGAAAGTGCCGGGTCAGTATATTGCGGTTGTGGTTGCGCGCCGGGGGGGGGGGCGGTGAGCGCGGGGAAGGGTTACCCCCCCTCCCCGCTACCTTGAATCTCTCTAAACTTTGAACGTACAGATTGTGTTATATCGTATACGACGACGGCGCAGTTTGCGTTGCGGTAGTACATGGGAGCCAGGGACTTGTATCGCTCCTGTCCGGCCGTGTCCCAGATCTCAAACTTGACCGTCGTGTTCTCATCGAGGGAGATGGTCTGGGTAAGGAAAGCAGCGCCGATGGTGGATTCGCGGAAAGAATCAAATTGGTCCTACAATCCGTCCACATTAGCCTCGCCACCCCCTGTCGGTTGAGCACTCATTGTGTTTATCTGGACTGACCTTGACAAACCGAAGAACTATAGAGCTCTGTCATCAAAAGAAGAAACGTTAGACAATGTCGCCTCGGATGGATGCATGGTAACACTGATATACCTTTCCCACAGCAGATTCACCTATTAAGAATTGTAAGCAACTGGACATGGCGGGGTGTGTGATGATGGAGCGACTCACCGAGAAGAACCAGCTTGAACTGCGCGAAACGGTTGTTGGTGCCACGGGGGCCGGCGGGACCGCGAGAGGCCATGGTTGACGAGGTCTAGCGGAGAGAGATGTACTGTGAAGGGTCAGGTGGATGACTTCCCCGGGGGCGAGGGAGAGAGGCGGTCGGTTGTTGTGTGTGAATGAACAACCGAAGCAGGGCGTGCTTGAATGTTTTGGAGTCCAAGCCAAGTTTCAGTGCTGATGGCGGTGGACAGAGCAGGGAGACTCGAAGGCGGGGGAGACGTGATCGGACGGGTGGGAGAGGGATGGTCGGAAAGGGTTGACGACGACGTGGAGGTGAGGCTCAGATGTTGAGGCCGAAGGCGATGAGGGTTGGGCAGTCGGTGGTGGGTAGTGGTAGAAAGAATGATGATGATGATGGGGTGCTGGTGGGTATCGGGAGCGAGTGATGCAGATAATTGTCTGGATACGTTTTAGGTACCGCAGCACCGAGGACTGGAGCATGGCAGTGCGACACACGTCAGTCGACGGTCCATTGGGCAGACAGTAGGCGGGCAGTCAGCGGGCATCCATAGAGGCTGGTCGGCCATAGGCCATCCACAGGGGGAACTTCAGGCCATGCAGAGGCACAGATAGAGGGAGCAGTCCACCTGTCTGTCGCAGGCACCAACTGGTCAAATACAGGTACTGCACCGGAACCAGCACGCTGAAGGTGTCCAAATAGTTGCGGTAGGCTGGGTGACATAATCATTCGCAGGCCAATTACAGGTATCCGCACAGGCAGTAGAATTGTACGAGTCATGTAATGCGCTGTACTTTTCCGTACTCTCGTCACCAACAGCTTAGATACAGTTGCTTGTGGCGCCTACACCCACCGTATCTTGTACAGATATGTATGTCTATCCATAGGCCCGGGTATCCGTAGCAGCAAGACCTGAAGCCCAGCCGTATAATATATACATGTGAATCGTGATAATAGTAAGGTAGTAATAATGGCCAATTACACCGTACCTTGGGTAGCCAAGCCACACTCTTACAGGGCAGCTACAGCGGGAGCTACAGCGGCAGCTATAGGCCCCCCACCACCCTACAGCGCACTCACAGGCGCCTATGCTGAAATACAGTGCTCCGTACCCCACTGTACTGCCATTCCCAAGGATCCAGAGGCCCATATTTAATACTGTGCTCGTACTAGCCAATTTACAGAGGTCAGGGCCGGGTATTGCTTGTTCCTGGGAAATAGATCCAGAAATAGGCAATCACACCTTACAGCTACAAGGAGATCGAGGCTTCCTCTTCATCAACAACATCCCACCTGGTGGCAGCAATCTCGAGAGACGCCCCGCCTCAAGGAGCGAGCCCAACAAGTGGTACGGCCATCGTATACGACTCTCAAATCCCCTACCGCGTGTGTGCAACCGCCGGGCTGTCGTGAAGCTACTATCGCCATGGCGCTCCCTCAAATCTCCAAGTGGCCTTATCGCGACATCAACCTCAAGGTGGCCAACGACTCCTACACCTTTACGTCGCCCTCATCTCCTGATGCCCCGGCCTTGATTCTCGATCGTCCGACCGGTGATGCCCGCCTGAGCGAGGGATCTATCAGCTCTTCCAAGCGAGTCTCGCGCGTTTCCAGCATCGCTGGTATCCTCGGCATCATCCAGCTCCGCCTAGGTTGGTAGCCCCCCACCCCCACCCCTTTCCATCCCCCATCCCTCGAAGAGTCACCAAGACGGGCGACTTGAGGAAGACAGGGGGTGGTGATATGTCTGCAACACTTTGACGGGTTGAAGAAGGAAACTGACCTGTTTTCTTCCTACCGCAGATAAATATGTCATCGTCATAAGCAAGGCTCAGCCCATGGGCCGCCTCAAGGGCCACATGGTGTACAAGGTGGTGGCCACCGAGATCCTGCCCATGCGTGAGCGACAGATCCACGACCCAGACGAGGATACATTTATCGGCCTGCTCAAGTCCTTCCTGGCCTCTGGCCCCATGTACTTTTCCTACTCGATCGACCTGACCAACTCGTTTCAGCGCCAGTCGCAGGCCGACACGAGCCGCCCCCTCTGGATGAGGACCGATGACCGCTTCTTCTTCAACAAGCACCTGCAGACGGGCCTGATCGACTTCCGCCTGAGAGGGTCACGGAGCCAGCCCGGACCGCAGCTGAGCGTGGATCCCTTCATCCTGCCATGTATCTTTGGCATGTTCGAGATCAAGCCGACCACGTTCAAGAAGACGCCGCTGTCGCTGGTCCTGATATCCCGCCGGTCGCGGTACCGCGGCGGCACCCGGTACTTTACGCGCGGTGTCGACGAGCTGGGCCACGCTGCCAACTACAACGAGACGGAGCAGGTCGTCATCTTCAACGACAGCACGTCGAGCGGGCTTCACGGCTACGCGGGAAGCTCCGACATGCAGAGCGGCAAGTACGGCGGCAGCTCGGGCGGCGATCACGACATGCAGATATTCTCTTACGTGCAGACGCGCGGCAGCGTGCCCACATTCTGGGCCGAGATTAACAGCCTGAGCTACACGCCCAAGCTGCAGGTCCGCAGCACCGAGACGGCCATTGCGGCGGCGCGCACGCATTTCGCCGAGCAGATCAACATCTATGGTGACAACTACCTCATCAACCTAGTCAACTCCAAGGGTCGCGAGGCCAAGGTCAAGGAGTCGTACGAGCAGATGGTCCAGGCCCTGACGTCGTCGGCCTCAGGCAAGCTGTCGGACAGCAAGCTGGCGGTGCCCGACGGATCCGCGTCCTCCGGGGCTAGCGGCGGTGCCCTGTCGGACGTCGACTTCCGCCGGCTTCACTACGTCTACTTTGACTTCCATACGGAAACCAAGGGCATGAGGATGGACAAGGCGTACGGGCTGGTAGATCGGATGGCGGCCGAGATCGAGGCTCAGGGCTACTTCCGCGGCGTGGACATGCCGGCCAACAAGGATGACATGATTGACGCACGCAGCTACCAGCGCAGCGTGATGCGCACCAACTGCATGGACTGCCTGGACCGGACCAACGTGGTGCAGGGCAACTTTGCGCGGCACATGCTGGACCGCGTGCTGGTGGACCAGGGCCTGATGCCCCGTGGCGCCACGTTCCGCGATGAGGACCCGGCCTTTGAGCTCCTCTTCCGCAACCTATGGGCCGATAACGCCGACGTCGTCTCCCGCTCGTACTCGGGAACGGGCGCTATGAAGACGGATGTCACACGCATGGGCCACCGCACCAAACTCGGCGCCCTCGAGGACGGCCGCATCGGCGTCACCCGCTACTTCAAGAACAACTTCCTCGACGGGCCCCGCCAGGACGCCTTCGACCTGTTCCTGGGTGCTTACCAGCCCGGCGCGGCCAACATCGGCACCACGCTCATCTTCGTTGACAGGCGCCCGCTGCTCATCCAGTCCGTCCCCTACCTCCTCGCCTTCAGCACCTTTGTCATCCTCGTCGGCCTCTTCACCAGGCGTGATCCCGAAGCCAGCTCCCTGCCTATCCGCATGTTCATCCTCTTCTGGACGGCCGTGTCCCTCTGGTGTGTCAGCTTTATTACCAAGCACGGAATGCTCTACGTAAGGACCCTTTTCCCTTTTCCATTCTCAAGCATCTGTCTTTCCATTCCATTTTCCTACCCCTGAAGCACAAAGAGAGGGGAGCAGAGAGAGAGAAAGTACTGACATAAACTCAGGTGAACTGGCCTCGTCTCAACCCCAGACCCTTCGCCACAGAGGGCTACTCGGAGCACTACGCCAAGGCCCGCAAGAACCCCGTCGTCGGATCCTTCGTCGCCAAGCACGAGAGAGGCCTCAGCACAGCTCGGTACATGAATGCCGAGGAGGGCAAGAAGAGGATCGAATAGGTTTCTTGGTGTTTTTTTTTTCTGTTCTTCTTTCCTCCTGCCTGTGTTTTTTTGTTTAATTCTTTTTAATCTCCCCTACTAGGGATTATTCTTTGCATCCTTTTTCTTTTCCTTCTCTGTTCTGTGCACGTGTGTACTATGTAACACAAGACTCTTCTCACAAGACTCTTCTAACATCTTTCCTTTTGTCTGATAATAACCACACAAGAAAATCTCATGGGGAAGGGTGTTAAAAATAGAAATCAAATATATACATCATTTTAATCACCTGGTTTTTTCTTCAATACAAGAGGTGCGTACAATATCTAATCTGGTAGGTTCAAGATAAGAGATGGTATGTCGATCAAGTAGGATCAAAGTAGAGACAAGGCATGTTGACAAGTGTCGGGGTTAGAGTAAAGAGACAAGACAATTTTGATTATAGCGAGAGAGAAAGGAGAGAGAATGAAAATTAAAAAAAATTTAAAAAAAAAAAAGAAAAAGAAGAAGCATACTATAGTTATTAATGTAGTCTTTGTACATATACGAAACAAAATGGGTAGGAGGGGTATCAAGGAAAAGCAAAAGCGACTGCTTGTCTGTACAACAACAAAGAAGAGTAGTAGAGGAGAGGGAGGGAGGGAGGGAGAGTAGGAAAAGGGGGAATCAGAGGAGTTGAGAATGAAGCGAAAGAGAGGTAGAGAGAGGAGAGAGAGAGAGAGATGAAGAGAAGAGGAGAAGAGAAGAAAGAAGAGGGAAAGAATCAAAGCCACAACAGCCATCTAACACTCCTGTATATCCCTCTGCCCAACCCGACAAACACCTTGAGCACCGTGACGACAAGCCAGACGTACCACATAAAGCCTACGAGGAGCCACTCGACAGCCTGCCAGAGGGCGCGCCTGACCCACCGGAACCTCTGCCGCCTCTTGCGCAAGAGCTTGTCGATGACGTCGGCCACGTGCTTGACGCGCAGGGGCTGCTCGAAGGCCAGCTGCCCGCTCGTCGAATCGGCCTCGTCGGCCGCCTGCCGCGCCATCCCCGACAGGTCGTTGGCCACGTGGCTACGCACCTCCCATATGCAGCGTTGAAGATCCGGGGCCGTCTCGGCCGTGAACACATCCACCGACTCCTGCAAGCGCTGGCTCGACGCCTGGACCGCTGCGCCCAGCGCGCGGGAGCCGAACGCGTACATCTCGCAGGTGGCTATCTGTTGCTGCCGCTGCCGCTGCTGCCGCTGCTGCTGCCGCTGCTGCTCCCGGCCGTGTTCCGAGCTGACGTCTTCGGTGAAGGGTGGCAGGGCTAGTCTTGGTGGGTTGCGTAGCTCGTTGGCTCGTCGGTTAATCTCCATGGCCTTGATGCCCGAGCTTAGGATCAGGGCGCGCATGCGGGCCACCTCGCGACGCGACAGCTGCGTACGCTCCGGGCGGGCCTTGCTGTTCTCCGTGAGGGACCAGTCCTGCCTACGTGCCTTGTACCGTGTGTCTAGTGGCGACGCCACGCTGGAAATGTCGCTCAGCCGTCTCTTCTGAAGAGACGCAGCTGCTTCTGCTTCGCGGGGCCCACCCCCGTCAATAGACTGGTGTGCTTCATCCTCGTGGCTGATGCTCTTGACAGCTGCCCCTGGGCCGGGAGCGGCGCTGCTTATGTCGATGCGCGGGGGCTTCAGCTGCTCCCACTTTGAGGGTTGACGGCTCGGTAGCCTCGGCTCATCCGGTGCAGGTATGTGTAGATGCTGGTTGGGGCCGTTCGTTATGGACGAGGACCTCCTGTGCGCTTCGCTGGCACGCTGGAATTGAGGCATCGAATCGAGAAAGTGCTGCTGCTGCTTGCCTTCGCCGCGCGTGGCCCGGTCGGTATCAGGCTCATCACCAGAGTCGTCCGTGATGATTTCTTCCTCATCCGAAGTGTCGCTGTCGTCCTTTCTCCATAGCAGGTCGCCGAGCTTGGACACACTGCCGCGTATGACGGTATCTAGCCGGGGACCCTTGAAGAAGCCGCGCACGCCGATGGACGGATACTGATCTTCGGAAGAGCGATGGCGCGTGACGCCGGCAGAGCTACGGTGTGCCTTGGGCGTTGGGGTCGCCGCTGCTGCCTCGTCTGTGGCCGCGTTGGACGGCCACCTCCCTGACGTGTCGGCCGGCTCGTCTTCGGCATCAGACTGCGACTCCATGCCCGAGTCGTATGACTTGTCCATGAACTTCCTCCTAACCTTAGACAGACGGTTCCGCGTCGGCGACACCGAGAGCCTCCGAAGAGCAGGCGGAGAATCGAAGGCAAAGTCGGGAGCCTCGGAAAGGGGATCCCTGCCACGCAATCCAGGCGAGACAGGCGCTGACAGCGCCGCTTCCGCCATGATGGCAGAAGACACTGCCCCCCGGTCATCCGTCACGTCGATGCTGTGCCGCCCGATGGGGTGCGATGTGGGTGAGTCAGGGTGGCTGCCGGCCAGCAACCTCAGATCTGAATCACTGAGGTCTGCAACTGATGTGTTCCTGCTGTGGGCTCGGCTAAGCGAGTGTGAGGCGGGAGCCTCCGCCGGAGGATATAAGGACTCGCGAGGCGGCTCGAGATACTCGGCATCTGTCTCGGCCACGTTTTCAAGCTCTTGCTCCCTCGCCTCTTTGGCCACCATGCTGAGCATCTGTTTCTCTAGCAAGTGACTCGGGTCGCTGGTGATAGTCTCCCTCCGAGGAGGGCGTGGTTTCTTGCCACTATCGAATCTCACATCGCTGTCGGTGCCCGACGCGTCGGAGAAGGAGTCCCTCCTGGCGTGGACGTCGTGGTAGCTGTGCAGTGAGCTGCTGTGCATGTGGTGGAAGCCCTTGAGGCCGTGTAGCTTCTGCTTGGCGCGATCTGCTGTGGAGCCTGGCGCTTCGTCGTCGCTGTGATCAAGGCGCAGCTCCTGAATGTTCAGGTTCTCGTCCTTGGAGCTAGTTGTCCTTACTGCCGTCAGGAGGGGGGTTCCATTGCTGGACTCGTCGACGCGGCGTGACGCCGGGCGTGTGGCAGGTTCGGCAGCGGCCGGGGAGAATATCCTGCGCCACTCACGGTCTTCGATGAGCTGCTTGTGGTGGTCCTGCTCCAGCCAGTAGGCATCCGCGATCATGTCGCATGGGTCAAAGAACCAGTCTACCCTCGGCCGCCGGGCGCGCTTCGTTCTGCTCTCCGACAGAACCTGTCCGTCCTGGCCTTCCTGGCCTTCCTTACCCTCGCGGAAGGGAGGCATCGTAAAAGCAGGCCTGGCCGTGTTGGCCACGCGACCCGCAGGGTTCAGCTGAATGACGCGATCGACCCACGCGTGGACTAACTCGACGTCCCCAAAGCCCAGCTGCTCACCCTCGATGACCTTCCGCTCTCGTGTCCGAACCTTGCGATTCCTGATGTACTGGAGGGGGTCGTATGGCCGGCCAATGACAGCAGCCTGGCCGTCTCGGCTAGCCACCGCCTGTCTGGAATTCTTCGGTGTCGCCTTGGGGGACCCCTGATTACTAGCGGAGGAGCCTGATGCTTCGTGGCCGGGTTTCAGCGGGGGTAGATATGCGAGGAGACGGCGGTACTCGGCCATGAGCTCGAGATGATCCTTGGCCTTTTGCACTCTGGCGAGCGTCGACGCTGAGACCTGAAATGGGAGCTGCTGTGTCCCATCCTGGCCACCATTATTATTATTATTATCATGCCCCGAGGCTAGCATAGAGCTGCTCGCTCTGAGCCCCGAGGGTGTCCTGGGCGGTCCCGTGCGAGAGGCCCTGCTGTTTTGCTGAAGGTACACGCCCAGATTGTTCCTGGGAGCCGAGTCTGGGAGTGGAGCCAGACGCGGCGGGTTTGAGGCCGAAGCATGTCGACGGGACGAGGCCCAGCGGCGGGACTCGCTCAGGTTCAGTGCCATGTTGACAATCTGCGTTGAGTCCGCATCCAGGGCTGCTGCTGCCGTCGCCGCTGGCTGCTGACCCATGTTCTTGGTCACGGCTATGCCGTCGCCGCGTGCGGTAGGGGACTCTGGTTCTCGGGAATTTCTCCACATCGGCGGAGTCGGCGAGGTCGGCCGTCGCAAGGGTGAATTCGACTCCTTGCCCTTGTAGTCATTATGCTGGGCACTCCTCGACCGACGCTTCGAATATTCATTGTTGTCGACACGGGAAGTCGCATCCTTCAGGATAAAAGCGCTACTCAGGCGCGGCCTGTGTCTCCGTCGCGAAGAGATAGACGCATGGTGCTGTTGTTCGTACTCGTCTTCGTTCTCGTGGCGAGGATCGGTCGTGGCACTACTGCTGCCCCCGCCGGCGCTCCTGCTCGACTCGCCCGTTGTCGTCGCCGCGTAAGCAGCCCTGTGGTGGCGTGGTTCTGGAGTCGTGGGTTGGCGTCGGTCGTCGGCCATGGCGCCGGGGCCGTCGTCTGTCACATGCTCTATCATGTACGCCTGTTCAACATGGCTTCTTCCGGATGGACGGTTGTCGGCGGTGAAAGAGAGGGGAGAGGTGGACAAGAACAGAAGAGATGAGAGATGCGGATGCACCCCCTTTTTTTCCTTGCGTCTCCACAGCCCAAGGTTGATGGTTATCGCACTTGCGTAGGCAGACAGATGAAGTAACCGTGGTTGAGAGGGAGAGATTGGGTGGTGGTGTGGAAAAAGAAGGTTAGAAAGGGATAATGCGTGACGTACATGTACCCTAGGCAGCATCAAAATGATGGTTCAGGTCTAGACCCGTCATTTACCGCGACACGCGTGGGTTAGTACGTGGGGGGTACAGACTCTCTGAGGTCATGCGCTCTGTCCTTGTATTAATAATGAACGTTCCTGTCAGCATCGAGAGATACACGCGCTTGTAGTTGATCTACATGTACTATATCAATCCTCTTTTTAACTCTCTTTTTCGTACAATAATATTCTACAATTGATACATCTAGATTTCCGATGAAGTTGATAATATACAGAAGATGCCGCCTCCTTGCCTCTCTCCCTAAGAGTCGAGGGCACCCACAACCTCATCACAGCGGGTACACAACCCCTCCTCCTCGGCAGCCATATACCTCCAACACCTAGAACACTTGTGATCGACAGGCGGTAGGACCGTCACCTTGCCACTCCAGCTGTCCCGGATAATCGCCTGCTCGTAGGACCAGGCAGGCTGCTGCTGCTGCTGCTGCTGCTGCTGCTCCGGGTTGACGGCAACAGACGACACGACAAATATGTCCTCGAGCTCGTCTGCGTACCGGGTCAGGCAGTCAGACACATGCTCGGCACCATCGATATTGACTATGACGGAACACTGGAGCGAACTTCCGACGTGCTTGTCCTCGCGTGCGCTCTCGAGAGCCAGTTTGACGGCGTCTCGGACGGTAGAGAGGACGTCCCAGTCTTGTCGTAGCTGCGTGGGGTCTCGGTCAAGTCGCTCTGACTGGGTGAGGGGTGCATCGTAGAGCTGGCGAGCAGGGCTGATGGAAGATCTGTGACGGTTGTCAGTATGTCACGAATACCCCTTGGGTGGGGGGCAAGGGGGACCTGTTGAGAGCTTACCCGTCTTCCATCATCCACTGCGGGCGATGCGCCCAGGCTTCCTCGACGAGGTTAGGCGTAATCGGTGCCAGCATGCGCAGGAAGCCGGTGAAGATGGGCTCGATGACACCTCCGCCATCGCCGCAGTACAGCCTGTCCTTGAGACACTCGAGGTAGAAGGCGGACAGGTCGTTCGCGAGCCAGCGATTGATGATCTGCACACCCTGGTAGAACTCAAAGTCGCGGTAGGCCTCGCTCACCTTGTCCATGGTGTCCTGCAGCTGCATGAGGGCAATCTGGTCCAGCTTTGTGAGCGGGGCCTGCCGGCTGGACTGGTGCAGAGACCCGACCAGCATCTTGAGCGTGGTCCTGTACTTGATGAGCGAGCTGTGCACGGGCTGCAGGACCGAGGGTCCGATGAGCATGTCCTTTGTGAAGTCCGTCATGGCGACCCAGAGCCTGAGTGCGTCGGCACCCAGCGCATCCGCCTTTGGGGGGCCTTTGCCCTTGGTCTTCAGGGGTGGGAGGAGAGTGCCGTCCATGACCTGGCTGGGCGCCAAGGTATTACCGAGCGACTTGGACATCTTCTTACCGTGGTCGTCGAGGGTGAAGCCGTGTGTGATGAGAGTCTTGAAGGGTGCGTCGATGGCGGTACCGGTCTTGCCGTCGGCCTTTTGCTCGGCCACGTACGTGAGTAGGCTGGACTGGAACCACCCGCGGTGCTGGTCGCTGCCCTCAAGGTACACGTCTGCCGGACCGGCAGTCTCGGTCCAGCTGCTACCGCTGTCAAACCACACGTCCATTGTGTCGGTGCCGCGACGGTACGTCTTTCCCCGCTGCCGCAGCGAGGCGGGGATCCACGCGGGCTCGTCGGGGGCATCGGAGAACCAGGCCTGGGAGGTGCGCTGCTGCATGACGCCGATGATGTGCTCGATGGAGTCTTCCGTCATGACGGAGTCGCCGTCGGCATCGTACAGCGCAGGGATGGGCACCCCCCACGATCGCTGGCGTGATATACACCACTCACTGCGGCCCTTGATGAAGTTCTCCAGACGGTTGCGGCCGCTCTTGGGCACAAACCGGACCTTCCTGAGGGCCTGGAGCGCGTCGTCCTTGATGCTTCCCACGTCAGCAAACCATTGGGCCGTGGCCCTGGTCACGACGGGTTGCTTGGTCCTCCAGTCGTACGGGTACTTGTGTCGTAGGGTCTCGGTCCCGATCACGTCGTCGGCGACAATGTCCAGAACAGCCTGGCTGCCTCCGTCCAGGATGGTCGGAGCCGAGGTGAGCCTCTCCGGATCTTCGGGGAAGGCCTCGGCAGTGAAGTGGCCATCATCGTCGATGGGGGCGAAAGCCTCGATGCCGATCTGCGCGCACGCCTCGTAGTCATCCTGGCCGTGACCGGGGGCGACGTGGACGAGGCCTGTGCCAGAATCGGCCGTCACAAAATCGGCGTGGATGATGGGCTGCGTCGGGGCAGAGCTGCCCCTCAGCTTGTTCCGGTACCGCAGACCAACCAAGCTGGAGCCGGGGATATCCTCGGCCACGACAGCAGCATCGGGGGCAAACTTCTTGACAGCATCGATAAGCGTCCCGGCGACAAGGACACCGTAACCATCCAGCTGGAGCACCGAGTACCTGATGTCGTTGTGAACGGCGATAACCTTGTTGGCGGGTAGGGTCCAGGGCGTGGTAGTCCAGATGGCGGCGTAGAGGGGACCCTGGAGCTTCTCCAGCCCGGGGACTGCCGAAGCTCCCTCCTCGATCAAGTACTTGACGTAGGCTGCGAGCGACTGGTGGTCGTCCCTGTACTCGAGCTCGGCCTCTGCGAGAGCGGTGCGCGTCGACGTGGACCAGTAGACGGGCTTGTGCTTTCTGTAGATGAGCCCGTGACGGACGAGCTTCTGGAAGACGCGCAGCTGCCTCATCTCGTAGGCGTGGTCCATTGTAGTCCACCTGGCGTCCCAATCGGACATGACGCCAAAAGACTTGAAGCCCTTGAGCTGGTCGGTGACAGTCTTGGACGCGAGGCGCTTGGCCTGGTCGCGGATCTTGACGGGGCTCATCCCCTTGCCGTTACCCGTCCCCAGAGCCTTCATCTCTATTGGGAGGCCGTGGCAGTCCCATCCCGGACGGTATACGACGCGCCTGCCCCTCTGCACCTGGTTGCGTACAATCATGTCCTTGAGGATCTTGTTGATGGAGTGGCCGATGTGAAGGGGGCCATTGGCGTAGGGGGGGCCATCGTGAAGGACAAAGGGGTCGTCATCATTTTTTCGCTGAGTCGATTGCCACGCGTAGAGGTCATCGGTGCATTGTTGGAGGTATTGCTGCTGGAACTTGGGGTTCGGCCGAGCACTAGGCTTCTCTGTCAGAGAGCCCAGTCCTGGGGGCTTTTGGGGAGAAGGACGGGAGGTGGAGGGTGACTTACGGAAATGTCGACGTGGGCAGCTTCAGAGTCGACTTCCACGACTTTGACATTGTCGTGAGAGGACCATGCCAGATGGCTGCGGAGGGGGGGGGGGGTTCAGTTTGTAGAGGTGGTTTTAAAGGACAAGTGATTTTGATGGTGCTACATTTCTTAGTATATCCGAGGCGCTAAGACCTGCAAGGCTGAAAGGGGATCGAGCAGTTACATCACTACTACGACTACTAATTCCATATTGCACGATCATCCAACACACCTGCTCAACTGCGCAACTACACACACGCACACAGACAGATAATGGCTCCTGTACGTCGCTATCTGCGAATATCCAAATATTCCGTCCTGGAATGTCGCATCTACCTCGACAACCCTTCCTTGGTGCAGTCGTGGCTGCTGAACCCGCGCAACCCCATACTCCCGCGGGTCATCGAGAGCGTGCGGCCGTGGGTGCTTCCCAAGCTGCGCGAGGAGCAGGAGAGGGCGGCCAGGAAGAAGACGTCTAGCAAGGCGAAGAGCATAAAGGACACGGTCATCACAGGTACTGTTTTCTTCCCCCCGGTTCATCAGTCGCACGCAAACTCTCAAAAGCATAACTGATTGTGAGGACCGACAACGGCGCAGATGACTTTGAAGTGTCCATCTTCCTAACCGAGACCAACACGCGACACTCGATCCTGGCCAAGCATAAGCACTTTCACGACAAAGCGCCTCGGCGCATCCAGTCAAACGCAAATAAACTGACTGGCGAGACCGACGATCATCCCGTCGATGTGGACGCCTCGGTCTCGGCAACGGCAACGACAGCAATACGGCAAGAGAGCGACGGAGAGGACGACATTCGCTTGGCGAACATACCGGAAACCACCGCGGGGCGTGGAGCCAAGCGTCGCAGAAATAGTGCTTCTGCAGCTGCAGCCGGCGACGACGACGCCTCGGCGGTCGACTTGGCAGCAGCATCCGACACCGATACGGGGTCGTCTTCGCCCCCGCCGAAACGTCGCAGAGACAGGGGCCGGGCAGACGCGCCACCCGGTCGAGGAGAGGGCGACGACAACGACGACGACGACGACGAGAAGAAGAATATGGCCATGGACGTCTCGTACGAGGGGTTCGCCATCTACGGGCGCGTCTTGTGTCTGGTTGTACGCAGGAGGGACGGCGGCCGCGGCAGCACCGGTCAGAGGACTGCCGGCGGTGGTGGGAGAGCTGCCGCTGCACGCTCCAATGCTGGACAGGCAAGCATGGAAAACTGGATCGCGTCGACGCAGATGCCTGTGGGGGAGGCAGTGCCGTGATGGGGAGGGAGGGAGCATCCCCACCGAGAGCCAGCCAAGAGAGGAGTGTGCGTCTTACGTACAAGTTCCCATCGTACAAGGTTGTCATTTGCAGGGAGGACCACGCCCCTTCCCCCCCTCATGCTATGCATATGGGGTTGTTGGCTGCGCGAGTTTTCGAGGGCGTGTAATATGGACTGCGATCAGCAGTGGTGGTTAACCAGAAAGGAAAATAGGGTCCCTTTCCCTTCCTCTGGTCTTTTCTTTTCTTTTCCCCGCACCCAAGGTTTCACGTGTAACAGATATACACGAGACTGCAGGACATAGCAACGACGACGACGACGACGACGACGACGACGACGACGATAACAAGGTTGGTTTCAAGACGATATGGGGGTGTGGGGAGGGGTGTGCCGCGATGGAGGGGAGAGCGGCATCGTACGGTAAATACATCTCGTACGAGTGACGATGCCAAACACACGGCCGGTCGATAGGTCCGAGTTGGGAAATGGTGTCTTGTTAGAAAATGGCCAAGACAGAGATGCAGGTGAACGGACGGCTCACCACAGGTATTATTCGTACTGGTCGCAGTGATAAATATCGTATGTGATATCACACCGAATAATACCGTTTACGCGGTGTCTAATCTAAGGATCCAGGCCAACGTTAGGCGGAGGCGTTGATATTGACAACGACGACGCAAAAGAGAGGGAGGGATATCCTCGCACATGTGCAGATTATAATACTGTATAATACAGATGTGGTATTACTGTCTTGACCTGAGATATAATACAACGCCCGCAGCGGCAGAGGAATGGACTCGAGCAGCAGATGATTGATGACTACAGAGTATTTATATCCGGGGGGGAGGGGGGGGGGATGATCTTGCACCACGCCAATTGCTGCCTCTTTGCTCAGCCACGAATTCGGAGCAAGACCTTGGTAATCATGCATCCACATTGCTACGAGCTATCCGAAGCTCACTATTCCCACGGTATAATCGGCACCGATCGACGTTGAAGAACAAAGTCCACGTCAGTCACGATAATCTGAGCCTGGGACTAATCCGTATTACTGCCCGTTCCATTCCCTACGAGTCGCCGGAAAGGAAGTCGGCCGTTGATTACACTGTCAAGGCTTTCACACCCCTTTTACCCCACTCCTGTACAATTGATTTTCGATTATATTCTTCAGGAAATCATTTGAATGTTCTCTTTTATTTTATCATTTTATTTTATTTTTCCGGAAAAAAAAAGTATCATCTATACCCATAGCCAAACCCCGTGGTTGCGGTGTGTTTTCGAGCGACTCCTTGAAGCTCCTCATCTCCTTCACGCCTTGACTTCGTTACTGCACTCTTGAGACCGCCACGGTCACGAAATCGGCATCCTAACAGAATAAAATAAAAGTACTCATTTACACGACTACGTTCAGTGCCACCGAGGCTGTCCTCTCTCTTTTTATCGTAGTGCCATCACCTCCTCATTCTTCTCTACGGCTCTGGTCACGCCTTCTGCCTGGACTCAATATAATTAGAGGAAAACAAGGCAGAGGAGTGAAGAGCAGCAGGAAAGCATGAAAACAACAACAGCGAGAAGCAAAGGGAAAACAAGCTGCGAGGCGAGCCCCCCAATTCACTGCCACCACATGATCGCGTCGATCAGAAGACTAGCGATGAAGGCGTCAGACCGCCCAGCGTTTCTCAGTAGCTCAGGGGGGCTTCGATCACGCTCGCCATCATCCGATGCCCTCCTGCCGTTAGCCCGTCTCGCCTTGATGCCGGTCGGAAGCTCTATAGAGCCGCGGGAGCCTCCGAGGCTCGTTGCCGGGCTCGTCCTGCTAGCTGGGCTGAGCGTGTCGGACCGGCTGACCGAGGCGTGGTCGAAATCCATCTTCATGACACGTTGCAGCTCGCGGTTCCAAGTCAAGTTGCCATCGCTTATGTCGTCTCTATCTACGAGACCGTAGGCTTTGACTTCCTGAAGAGTGCGCTCTGACCCGCGCTCGAGGTTCACACGACCTATCTTGGCGACTCGCTGAGCAGCCTGGACGTGCAGTCCTAGACCCGCATACGACATCGGAAGCATATGCGTTGCGAGCATGCCATCACCCACGACATATGGCAGGAGTGGCGGTACCATGCCGAGGCATACTGGTATCGTGGATCCCTGCTGCTCTGTAAGACTCTCGTACACGCTGACCTCGCGTAGCAACCGATAACTGTTCCACTCCTTCACCTCCTTAGCCATAAATGTACATACGTACCCCGTAACGATAATCTTGAGAAGACAGCCAATTGCGCCTGCTAGACCTTGCTCTGCTAGGCAGTCGCAGTCCTGCTCGGCGTTGGATAGGAGCTGTAGCTGCACTAGTTCGCGAAGCTCATCTGGTGTCAACGCATGCTTGATCGACACCCGCCAGGAATCACGCCGTACTGCTTGTATATGCAATAGGAGATTGGGGCAACTAGCGTCCATCTCTTCGCCGTGCATAAGGCCGCGTAGGCATCCCTAGGTACAAGAGGGCCTGATTTTTTTTTGGCGGTCTGAAAGTCGGAGGAACCTGAGGCTCAAGCTCATTATCATCTCCGCTCGGGACCGGGGACAGCATCGAACCCTTCCCCCATCCCGAGGTAAAGTTGTCAAACAAGACTTTCTTCTGCTGGCCACTAGCTTTCAAAGTATGCGTTGAGGATCCTCCGAAAGGGTATCTAAAAGAGTTGTGCGGATAAATTAGGACGTCTTCCTCTCGTTAAGGAGCGATTCCGGCCCTAAGAATTCGGAAGGGAGTTCTTCCTCAATCTCCCTACCCACAGCACGCATGCTGAGAATAGACGGGAAGGCCCGGCGATGGCCAAGAGCGTCCTGTATGCGGAGAAATGATTGCCGACACATATTATCAATATCGGGCCATACGCGTATCTTATGCGGATGATGTTTCCCTACAATGCTTGTTGGGCTAGATGTTGTTGCATTAGACTTTTCTCCCTCTGATAGTGTCTGGGGTCGTGATTTCGCTATTGTAGGAACAAGGCGTCCGAGGCTGACGTTGAGGCTATGGACGGAAGACAAATATCCATCGAGATCCTGGTCTTGATGTTGCTAGCAGACATGCGGGTTATATAGTGCCATTAGGAGTCATACCAAGCTGCACTAGGGCATGCCGCACCGTTGTTGCTGCTCTTCCTCCCGGCGTCGTTGCTCTTCTTCCCGGCGTCGTTGCTCTTCCTCTCGGCGTCGCTCTGCGACTTCTCGGCGTCGCTGCTCTTCCTCAAGTTGCTGTCTCAGCCTTTGCTATTCCTCCTGTTGGTCTCGGGATATGGCGGTGCAGCAGCTCATCGTTGCGAGATTGTAGTCGAAAGAAGGGGTGGGTGCAAAAGTGTCGAAAGTGAGGTTGATGATCATGGAAAGATTGACATGTGCGAAGACGACGGCCCTACGCATTGTTGCCGAGATAAAAGGGCGCTTTGATCCCTCAGCTTACACGCGCCAATCAGAGAGCCAAAGTAGGTCACAGCTACTATTATCCGACGGCCCAGACAATCTTTGACGACGACGGCGAGGTTTTGCGCAATTGCTGATGCCACTTTGCACTTCAAAGCTCCTTTACTAGAGTAGTCAATCTACGAGGTTAGGCTTGATCGTTCGCACCAGAGATTTACAGTGCAAGTACAGATTACCATGTTCCCGCAACGGAGAAGTCCATCCTTTCCACCGGTGCCCCGTCACGACGATCAAAGAAGATGCCCGGCCCACATGGGTTTTCCCGTTCGAAGCGATGAGGAGAGCAATTGCAATCACGACATGTTTTTACTCTCTCTTCATCGGTTCTATTTCGTCAGAGCTTCTTTTGCTGATTGGGGGGGGGAGGGGGCGGGAAGGGGTGGAAGGGGGGTTGTCTATATATCTCGTACGACTTGCGTTCAACACTATACTCGTACGAGTTAGGATTTATCCATACTAGACTAAGATACCCATATTTACGTCAATCGTGCGGGCAGGGCAAGATGGAGTCCTCCGTCTTGCCAGGTAGCAGCATTATTACCTTGGTAGCATTGACAGGGAAAGATTATTTGACGGTTATTATAACAGTTTGCATTGCTCAGAGGCGTGCATACACGTAGGTATATTACCCCGTCTGTTCATGCGCAGGGGGGTCTCGCGAGGAGGAGCCTCGACGAGAGACGGGAGCGTGGTATTGAGTCGCGTCAATACCAGATTATCTCGGCCGTTCGCGCTGCATACTCGATGTGTTCGAATCAGCACTGCTAGCATTTGATACTCCATCACGAGGATATCGTCAATGTCGTTGACGGTGACGATCTCGATCGAAGTTGGATAGGAATAATAATCTTACGGTGACGATCATGCGGGCACATCCATTTACGGTATCAAGGGAACCAGGCCCCATCAGCCGGAGGAGGACCAGTACGGAGAAGGAGCACGGAAAGTGACGGGACCAAGAGACTCGAGTGACAAATCCACATATCGTATTATAATATTACGGAGCAGGAAAACTCCAGTGACGTCGATGAGCGGGCATCGTGCGGAATTCGAAACTTGAGCGATAAAAGAGAAACTCTCTCTCCCTCCCAACCGCGTATCACCAGACTATTACCATGGGGGAGAAAGTGACCAGAATACGGTTCACAGGTAGGAGTAGTACGAGTATCGATTGGTCTGAACTCTTGAGAGTTGCCGGATCGAACCATCAGGAGGATGACGGCTAACAAGATCCAATAAAGTCTGACGCGAGATGCGGAGCAGACGTGCGCTTCGCGACATGACGACTGAATGTGATGCGGACTATGAGTACGGACTCCGAAGGATTCAAATTTGCCAACCCGGGGGGTTGCTACCTGTACGGCGACGCCAATGGTATCGGCAGGCTTCTTAGACCAGCTGTGTTCCTGGAGGTCGGTGGTCATCTGATGACGATGTAGCAAGGATATGCCGAGGCCCCGAGGGAAGATACAGGAAGAAGACTGTCCCATCGATTGGGACTGTCCGCGACTGACGACGTGGGGGTATCTGATTTGGTACAGCCATGTTGATTGGGACTCGAAAGTGAAGCTGGGGGCTCTGTACTACGGTGTGCGAGTAGCAGCAGTATATCCAGGTCGATGACCAAAAGATGGGTAACCAACCATTCCGTGTGTGACCGGAGCAGTGCGACGAAATGGAATATGTAGTACCCTGCGGCTAAGACGTTGCTCCGTGACCTTGCTCCGTATCGATCAACATGGGTCAATATAAGAGCATCATATGCGTGTTCGGAGCAATAGTCGATGGACAGAGACTTGTGTGCGAATCCCATGGTGAGTGAGAGGAAATACGACGGACATCACGCGTATCATGAAATACCCTATATACACGGTAGGATCAGACGCATATCGTAATACTCGTCGTACTACTCGTACATGTATCCGTAGTAACAGTTTCTGCTAACAATGCTTGCATCTACACAGATATACAGCATGTATTACCACTTAGCAGCAATAGACGGGAAGAGCAAGCCACGATGACGGAAAGGTGTCATTCCTATCCGTATTCGTTGTCCATACAAGTATTCCCTCGTCCTCATGCTCACTCCATATTGGTGCTCCATATCGGTAAGGCCTTTGTTCTGTACGGAGTAATACGGAGTAATGTAAAATGCGATTCAATCTATGGCAATGTCCATGTGAGCGGCGAAAGCCGTCGGGCAAGACGAAGTATACATGTACGACGTACGAGGTTTAGGGAGCGGTTCAAGACCCTGGCGTGTCTGCCCGCGACTCCATGCCCGTACATAGGGCCACTCGTACGAGTCAATCATACTCTCTTGTACTATTGCCTGTCTCAAATGAGAGCCGACACTATGATATGCGACCATAATCTTCGATTGAACACTAGTACAAGGTACCCGTAGTGCACAACGTCTTCTTTCTTCTTCTTCTAAAAAAAAAAAAGGCCAAGAGACCAATATACCCGTATTACTCGTACGAGTAATACATAGCCTACGACAATAATAGTCAGGAACCCGTGGTCCAATGCCGACGCCAAGAGTGACGGAACATCCCGTATACCCAAGAAAGGGAAAAGGGGTCATGTCCAGCCAGTATCACGCAGTTTCTGCGTGCACAAAACGAGTAATGATGAATTACACTGTCTGTGAATGGCTTATTTTTTTTTCTTTTTTCCTTTTCTCTCCCTCATCCTTTCCATCCTCTTGACGGGGCTGAGGGAAAGTAAATGAAAGAAGGAAAGAAAACAAAAACCATGGGATAATCTCTATTTCATTTTATTCTGATCTCCCCTCCCTTACAAAGAGGTTGAGGGGAGGGTCGGAGTACATCATCGTGGGGATTGGGCACACGGACGTCAGTGATGGGACCCGGAAGATTGGGAAATTAGGTGGCGAGGAAAGAAGAAGAGAGGAGGAAAAAAATAGAAGGCGGAAAAGAATTTTCGGTCGAATGCACGGGGTGTCCGATACTGGGAAAATATCCCTGAAGCCATCGTGGGTTCTATATTTTCTTTTTCTTTCTGGTCTGGGCGTTGGGCTTCTGCCATGGTTTCCTCGTGGCACACGTCACGCCGCAAGGGTGAAGGGGGCGCTCAGACCTGTAGCAGGGGGGGAGGGAAAGAGGCGGGGGGGGGGGGGTGGGGTGTGTAGATTGTTCTGCCCTGGCCCTTAGGTCTCTCTGCACTATTCTTCGCCTTTTCTTCGCCTCCCCCCCCTTGTAGGGTCAAGTATGGGAGGTGATAACACAGGTGAGCGAAGATTGGAATATTGTCAGGTCTCATTGTTCTTATCACCTTCTCTGTGCCCTTCGGTGACGCAAAGAAATGTTGGGGACGATATTGATGTTATACGTTGTAGGGCTCTGCCCGGGTGAACATGCTCGTCGTTACATGATATACGAGCATTGATACGGGGTGAATGCCAGATGCCGCATATCATGCTCTCTGTATTGCTCTATACGAGTACACTGTCCTGTCCTTTACGAGTACACGATATTATGAGTCGGTCCTCTCACCAAGTCTGCACTCTACTACTCCGTACTAATGCACACCGAAGCTCGCATGCTCAGGGTCACCACACGCAGACCGCGTTTCGAGTCGAACCGGCACATTGGATCGGTGGGGAAGGCGATTCAGAAAAGGGGGTTGTAGACGCATCATTGGCATCATCTGCCTGCCCCTTTTCCCTCCTTTACTTGTATTTTACGAGACTACGAGTGATGCTCGGGGTGACTCCGTAGTGGAAGAATAGGCTAACGGTATTATATATACAGATTACATATATACTCGTAGTATAATATCGTTCGTGATACGTGTAACTCCGTATTCCCCCGTGGGAGTCTGCTCAGAGATTTCAGGGACCAGTAATCAACGAAAGTGCCAGAATGTCGTATGTGTCCTCTTTTATTTTTATCTTTTAACTTCTTTAATATATTTACATACTTCACTTCACCGACATGACGACTTTGGGT